GTGGGAGGGAGTGGGAGGGGGGTTGGTGCCGCATGAGAGCATCCACGTGGGCGGTTCATTAAACACTACTCCTGGAAGTCCTGCATCATTATAGAATTAGTCTCGAGCGGTTGAGCTCCGCTTTGTTTTAATCCAATAATATTTAGCCGACCTTGCATTCATACCCGCTCTGGATCTCCGTATCGTCGAGTGAACCTATACCCAGGAAAAAAAGAGCCGCAAATACGAGTAGTAACTCTCGCATAATTTTTTATCCCTCCTCTATCCAAGTAGAATTTTTCAACGGAAAAATCGCGATATTTTGAAATTCAGTCCCGGTTCTTTACGATTTTTTGGCGACAAAATCGCTAGGATAATTGACATCTGAGCGATTGTCCCGATCTTGTCGCGGTTGTATCTCTGTAAAATTGCGTTCGATAAAATCGAAGTTTTATCTCAATTTATCGCGATTTTTTGTTCAGTGATATTAGGATAAATCGTTATCAATAAAATCGCGATTTAATTACCAATTTATATGTGATGAAATCGCAATTTTTCTCAAATAGGTATCCCATAATATTGCAACAAATTGACGTTGATAAAATCGCGATGCATCCGATCATGTTACACCTTGTCGCAATCACTACTACTTGGGTACCATTTCTTATTTTCTCCAAAAAATAATTTTTATCAGGATGTTTGTCTCATGAAAAATTTGGCGAAGATGACGAAGACGGAAAGAGGAAGGAAGGGGGATGGAGAAAAATCATTTTTAATTACGAAAGGCGCGCATGTTTTTTTTACCTCTAAGACAATTTTTTAATTTCAACTGGAGACCCGCAAGGATTTTGTAACGTTGATTCATTTTTTGGTATCTAAAGGTTTATTACGATTTTTTTTTTTTTTTTTTTGGGCCTTGAATTTAAATTTTGGTTGAGGAAGTACCTTAGAGTATTTTACCGTGGCATAGCGTGCTTTTGTGAAATATCATCAATTGAGCTGCCATTTAAAGCTATGGAAAATGATCGATTAACAGGGTTCTCGCATCGAACACCTTAATAATCGATTCTTTAGCATATAGCTTCACAAGGGGAAATATCAATAATCGATCATGCACGTCTCGCCACTAGTATTTCAAGACTATTGAATGCTTCTGATGAAAAAATGGTTATGCTTTTTGGAATCTGCGCAGAAGAATACGAATTGAATTTTCAATCAGTAAGTAAGCACCACATTCGCAGAATTGGACCAATTTAAATGATCGGGGAATAAAAATCTTCTTTAGGAATTTAGGATCTTACTTTGAGTGCAATAATCAGAACCAACGACCAATTTATATGGGTATTTTGAAATCATCAGGTAAGGCCTGTTTGGGAGTAGAATAGAACAAAGAAATTTGTTGTCCAATCATTTACTTAATGAAAGTTCCGCCAGTATAATGATTTTACTTATGATAAATGCACTTGAACTCGGTCAAAACTATATAAAATCCTAAAAATTATTCACATAATTTTATAAATCATTGTTTTGTTCAATAAGTGATTCAATTTCAAACGATTAAGTATATTTTGATCGCGAATCGTTTACGTAAAGTTGGCATTTAAATAAATTCATTAGAATTCGAGATACCTAGTGGTTTTTTTGTCATTTGACAAAGTTGTGCATACTAATTTTTCAGAATTTCATGATTCAAGAAAGGTAATCTAACCTGTTTACAACTTTAAAACAAATTTTCAGAAGATGTACTAGCAAATAATAAGGAAAACATAAAATTCAGAAATGAAGAAACAAGATTTGAGTATATTGATCATTTTGCCCGCAGTGCAAAATCGACAGTTTTTCTTCCTTGAAATACAGTATTAAATTGGCACACTCAGAAGAGCGTGTAATGAAAATTATGATCTCAGTTAGGTTTTTTTGTTAGGCAACTAAACTAACTCCATGACAAAGCGTAGAGTATCACGAACAAATGAAGGCGCCCCAAGCCGAGATCATATATTTTAAGAGGCTATGCAGCCATTACCCAGTAAACCTTTACTATGCCGATAGGGAATATTGCGATTTATCATAACAACACATTAACCGCTTGAAAATAACCGGTGATTGCTAATTGCCCGGGACGGATGAATCGATGGCCAAAGTGCAAAACCACGTATCTACGATTACAACGTCGCAGGCGTCCTGTCATTCTTTATATTTTCTTCGGAAAACTGGTCAACGTAACTTCTTGAAAAGTGCCATGACGTTTCTTTTCTGCAAGCGGAATATTCTGCGTGGATTTCAAGCCGTATAGTCGGCTTGTTTTTCTTCGAGAAAATAAAGTCGGAGCGGAAATTTTAAAACACCGTAATGGAGATACGTAGTTTTGCACTGTGACCATCGATATCGTATTGCGATGTCTTATCATGCTCTTTTAAACTTTCAATAATCGGCTCGAGCTGATCGTTGAAATTGGTAGACCGAACGATAGACAAAGAAGACAAAAAGGATATGGATATGGATCCTAACTGGTGTAAGTGGTTGGTTGTAATAAACAAAGGAAGGTAGGTAGTAGACCAACTAATGGCAATCCACGGGAGACCCTATGGTTCGACGGTGAAGAAATACGGGGAAAATAATACGGGATAAGTGCGTATCGTCGATTGTGGTGTTTTGAGATCTCCGTTTCTATTTTATTCTTTAAAAGGAGACCGAACAAACATCATGCCTTGAAGCTTTCACAGAATCCCTGGTAAAAATTGGCAGTAGAATCTGTGTCCCAAAATACCATAGACCTACAGCCGGCTGTAAGATTTCCAATAGCTTCTATAGCCGGCTACACAATTTCTTATAGCCTTTCATAGCCGATGGCGATTAAGCAACAGCCAGGGGATGAAGTGTATGTTAAACGTTACTAATTACGGATGCTAGGACTCAGTGAGTTTTTGGAGTACTGCTCTCTTTTTGGGCCGTAGTATCTTGATTTATTTTGCGGTGAAAGCTCCGTACTTTTGATGGATGCCTGCCATTACTAATATATTAGAGCGCCTTCAGTTTCGTATGATACTGTGCAATACCTCTGGTGTGAAATAGTTGCTTCAAGCGCCGTGGCAGGCGGGCAGCCAGCGCGAAACACGCATTGGCGCCTACAAACCTAACTGGGATACTTCACGCGTTGCGCAATGCGTGAAGTATCCCTGTTAGGTTTGTAGGCGCCAGTGCGTCGCCGCTCCGCTTTGTGCTAGGCTCTAATATTTAATCTGGCGGAGTCAGCGTTTTTCAACTCATGATTTTGAAATGTTTGCACGCTCTGTATGGATTATTCTCATGGTAATTGATGAAAAAAAATATGTATTAAAGGAAAATATAATGTGTGTTTTGTAAATATTAAGGTGGTTCCGTATCAAACTTAAGTATTTCCAAAGAACTCGGATTTCTACACAATTTCTTATAGCCTTATATAATCGATGGCGAAAAAGCATCAGCCAGGCGATAAAGTGTAAAGCCCGGCGATAGGAACAATAGCCCGGCTGCATAATTTTTTTTCGCCTCGTATAGCCCGGCCGTATGATCTTCTCCGCATTCTACAGCCAGCTATAAGATTTTCTGTAGCCTTCTTTAGCCGGCTATAAGAATTCCTATGGTATTTTGAAACGCAGCTCTTATCGCCAACTTTTACCAGGGATATTCCTTATAAAGAGAAGAAAAATCACTGAAATTTTCTGAAAATGACATTCAATACTGCCGTGCTAAGGAAAAACGCCGTATGAGCCTTCAGGCGTTGCCAAATTTCCTTTGACAAATCACTAATTTTCAAGAAAACTTGTTCATATTTTTCTTTCAATTTCTCAGATAATTTTGCTCGTAAATTGATCTGAAGAGTCTGAAAATTTCAATGAGAAATATTGATACTTTTCCTCAAAAATAAACATTTTGTTGGAGGAAACTTGGCAACTCTCGAATGCTCATACGGCGTTCTTCCTCAGCAAGCAGAATAGTTCTCCGTGTAGAAAATAAAATATGACGGGTAGTCTGCAACGCCGCAAAGCGAGATTCGCATTTCTGCAGTTTCACCATCGAGCTTGTGCATCATTGTCTCCCTTGATCTATGAGAACCACTCATTTCAACCAAAAGGATGGCTCCATACTCCTTGCGTCTTATTTGTAAGTAGCTTTGTCTATCAACGTCAAGAATGAGCCGGTGGGCCGATTATTGAGATTGATAGACAAAGCTATAGACAAAGAAGACAAAAGAGACATGAAGGGATCCTATTGGTGGAAGCGGGTGGTTGCAATGGACAAAGAAGGTATAATAGACTAAGTAACAGCAACCCACAAGGGACCCTATAGTTAATCTATCATTTTCTCCCTTAGTCTATGGGAACCACCCATATCAACCATTGGGACAACTTCATACTCCCTATGTCTTCTTTCTATATAGCTTTGTCCATCAATGTCAAGTATGAGCCCGGTGGATTTTGGGGAGAGGACTCCCTCACTTGGCGAGCATCATCCGCACATCGCCACACTTGTCGATGACATCTTGAAGGGTCTGAATCTGCTGTCGGTTCTCCTGCTCGTCGAAGATGGTGAAGGGGGCGGGGAGTTTGCCGGTCTTGGCGTCGGCCTTCTGGATCTGCTCGGAGATGGTGCCCCACTTGTTCTCGAGGTTGATCGTCTTGAGGTCCGGGTAGCTGGAGACCCAGTTGTTGACTCGGTGCTCGACGTAGCCGAACCTGGCCGCTTCGGAGACCATCTGGATGACGACGAGGAGGCTGTTGGCCCGGACCCTGAGGTCGTCCGGCTTCCCGGCCAGTTGGTAGATGGCCGTGTTGAGGCTCTCCAGGCCGAGCTGGACCCCCGTCCGGGCGCCGCTCGCTTTTTCCATGTCGTCATAGTTCCCCGGGCCCATGTCCTTCGTCGACTTGATCCCGCGCCCGAAGAAGTCCGTCGGCAGTTTGTCGTCTGGGCTCTCCGCCGTGAACAGGTACGCCTGCAAAGTGAAATACCACCGTAAATGAGACGTAAAAGGATCTAAAGCGGAAAGGACAACTCACAAAACCCTGAGTTAACCGCCACAGCGGTTAGTTTTACATCTTGATATTTCTAAAGTAACTGCTGTGGCGGTTAAATCCAGCGTTTTGTGAGTCGACGCACACATTTTTACATTCAGAATGTTGAATCAGCATCCTTTCACGGTCTCATTTTGGGTACAGATCCGGCATTCCTTGGTTGCACCGAAAAAAAAAAAGTTGATTTAGGTAACATTCTGGATGTAAAAAAGTGTGCGACAACTTGCAAAACGGCGAATGAACCGCCACAGCAGTGAGTTTTACATATCGACGGTGAAACTACCAAACCACGTATCTCGGTTTGCGACGTCGCAGACTTCCTGTCATACTTTATTTTTTAAATGAAATACTACTGAACGTCCTGCAGTCTTGAAAATTTCTGTGATTTTTCCTCTTCGCGCGGAGAAAATTCTGTGAAAATTTCAAGGAATGATATTGATTTGGTCTACTTCAAAAAAATAAAATGCGAGCGTAGATTTTTAAACACCGCAAACGAGATACATGGTTTGGTAGTTTCACCGTCGTCGATATTGATATTGCTGTAAAGTAACTGCTGTGGCGGTTAACCCAGCGTTTTGTGAGTTGTCGCACACGTTTTTACAACCAGAATGTTAAAGTAGCATTCATTTCTCTTCGGTGTGCGGTGTCTCGGAATCTTCACTCCTAATTTATATTTTAGAGAGAAAACTATTCAGTAAATTTTCTGAAATGTTTTCTTTTCGGCATCGTAAAATCGTCGCCTTCTGGCCATAGTATACCTAACAAGCGCCATGCGACGTTTCGAAATTTTCTCCGCAATTTTATTATTTTATAGAGAAATTGTTCATTGAATCCGTTTGAAAATTTTCGGACAGCTTTGTTGAACGGTTTCTCTGTAAAAAATTGAAATGGTAGCGGATATTTTGAAACGTTGCATGGCGCTTGTGATACTTTGGCCGGAAAGTGGCGAAATCATGAAGAGAATTAAGTAAAAGTTTCAACAAATTCCATTCATTTTTAATTATAATGGATGAAACGTTAGAGGACATTCTGAGACACCGAGATCAAGAAATGCCCAACGCTTGAAATGCAGACCGTCGTGCTACATTATTCAATTTTAAGATTGGGGTTTTCGACAAATTTAAAAACTTAAACGGACTTTAAGACGGATGAATGAGCTGCGTTTGGTTTTAATTCTATTTTTCTGCAAAAAAAAACTGAATTTTTGAAATTTTCAGGGTTGGGCTTGGGTCGTCGCTGGTCTACATGATCCAATTTTGATCTCCACCTCAAGGACCTTCTCTGCTACGAAATAGGAAAGCTACAGTTGCGCTTGGCAGAAAAACGTCCAATTTGCGGACGGCTCCATATCGACGGTGAAACTACCAAACCACGTATCTCGGTTTGCGACGTCGCAGACTTCCTGTCATACTTTATTTTTTAAATGAAAAACTACTTAACGTCTAGTCTTGAAAATTTCTGTGATTTTTCCTCTTTGTGCGGAGAAAATTCTGTGAAAATTTCAAGAAATGATATTGATTTGATCGACTTCAAAAAAATAAAATGCGAGCGTAGATTTTTAAACACCGCAAACGAGATACGTGGTTTGGTAGTTTCACCGTCGATATGCGGGACTCTTCCTGAGTGCGGCGGCTTCGGCCTGACTCGAGGGGATTTTGATGATTACCTTTTCATGATTAACGGCGAATCCGACTATATAGAGGTTAGAGGCGTCAACGGCGAAGGTGACAACTTTGTTGTGGCCGAAGTCGAACTTGACGCGGACGAAGCGCTCGTCGCGACCGAGACGGTTCTTGGGGCAGAGACGCGGGAACTGGGCGCCCCCCTTCTCCAACGTGCTGCACTTGACCAGCTTCCGCAGTTCTATGATGCTCTCCTCGAAATGCTCGACGTGGAAGTCCATGTCTTTATCCGCGCCCTCAGCACTCCTCAGGTTCCACCACAACACCAAACACCAACACAGCAGAGTTCTCCATGCTACGGCCTCCATTTCCTCACTAGATTCCTCTGCCCAATCCACCTATTAAGAGGAAAATAACATCACGGGAATCTGAGATAGTTTAAGTGAAAAAGCAGGTTAAAAAGGAGTTCTGAAAATTGGACTATTTTTACCGAACGGAACTACTGGCGAGTGGGAAAGACGGGGTGTGTTCTACAAAGCTGCACAAGGAACAATGTCAAGGTGGGTGGGATTCCCTTTGGAGAAAAATGAAAAAGCGGGATTTTACATTGTGTCAAACGGATCTATGTGCCAACTGAATGCAATCGTGAGCCGTGGGCATGTGAAAAGAGCTTTCGACGGTGAAACTACCAGACCACGTATCTCGTTTGCGATGTTTAAAAATCTCCACTCACATTATATTTTTTTGAAGGAGATCAAATCAATATCATTCCTTACAATTTTCACAGATTTTTTTCCGCACAAAGAGAAAAAATCACGGAAGTTTTCACGAACTGACGTTGAGTAGCTTTCTATTGAAAAAATAAAGTATGACAGGAAGTCTGCGACGTCGCAAACCGAGATACGTGGTTTGGTATAGTTTCACCGTCGCTTTGTGGACAGGGCTCATGAATCAATGCCAACCCGGAGCGACAACGGAGACGGCTACGTTGCCGCTGACGTCACTGGCGCTTTATAGCTCCCATTCATTCTAAACACCCTCGACTAACGAGCACACCCCTTCTTTCCCACCTGTCTCTGGTTCCGTTTGGCAGAAATACGTCCAGTTCTGTTGGTTCACTCATTGCCGTTGTTTAAGTAGAGCACGAAGGTAAAACCTGTGGGTGAAGACACAAATTCAGGGTCATTGTTCTTTTTTCAAAAGAAAAAGAAAAGGAAAAAAAATCTGGGATGAAATAATTTGCGTTGCTCGTGGCCGGTTTCACGCGACGCACGCGTGATCAACGGTTGCCTTCACGCTAAAAAGAACTAAAATTGCTGAGTGTGCCAGTGAATTAAATCAACAGGAACCATGAAGCATAGCTCCGTTTTATTTACTTCATATGCACTAAGTTCTTTTCAGCAAAAATACACCAAATAAGAAAGGCGATGGAGCGGTGCGAGTGATATTGCTGGCAGCCGAAATTGAAGGCGTGACGCACTAAAACAGGAGGGGGGGGGGGGGGTGTGGTCAAGCCTACCCTATCCTTCACTACAATTGGAATTTGACGCAGAAAAAAAATGTCTCTCAAACTCTGTAAAGTTGCTTTATTAATCTTTCTATTTTTTCCTTTACCACGGAAAAAAATGTTCAATATACCTATTCCATTATTAGGGCAAGATTCTCCAAAAACCCCTGACGTGAGATGGAATACATATTTGGAATTTTTTTTTCGCGAACTCAGCACTAAAACAATAGACAAATAAAGTAAGCACCTTTACAGAGCTTAAATAGATATTTTTCCGTATCCATAGTGATTGTTGAGTAAATGAAGAAAAGAGAAGCCATGAAACCGTAGTAGGAGGTTCTTGTATGTATTACGTAACACCTTCAATTTTGACTGACGGCAACATCACCTACACCGCCCAGTTGCCCTTCGCCATCTCTTCAAAAATAATAATTTGACTCAAACGTTAGTGAATTTTATCCGTCACTCAGTTTCGGCCACGAGCGATGTAGTCACTTTCTTTTTACAAGATGAAATTCTCGGTAGAAAATAGAGTTATCTTAGAACTGAATTTAGTCGAGTCATGATCGGAAAATGTTTCCGGTCCGCACGCTAACTGGCGGCGACTATGCAGGGGACGTAAGAGTAGAATTATACTCTTTTGAAGTCTAAGTGTATATATGTGCAAGGGAGAAAAAACTACTGCACTTTTAGAGTCACAGTTCTTCCAACCAAGAATTTGAAAGTGATAAGCAAAAAAAACAAAAAAAACTACTATTTCTTTTTCAGAGCCACAGTTCTTCCAACCAAGAGTTGAGCAAAAATAGCAATGTTTCAGCATCAGAGTAAACGAGGATAAGCGCTTTTTCCATTGTTTACTATAGAATGGAAAAATAATTATTTGTTGAAGGAGGGATGAAGTGGCGCGGCGTAGCAAGTGTCTGGTAGAGGAGTCTCAATTGGACTGCATTTTGACATATCGACGGTGAAACTACCAAACCACGTATCTCGGTTTGCGACGTCGCAGACTTCCTGTCATACTTTATTTTTTAAATGAAAAACTACTTAACGTCCAGTCTTGAAAATTTCTGTGATTTTTCCTCTTCGTGTGGAGAAAATTCTGTGAAAATTTCAAGCAATGATATTGATTTGGTCTACTTCAAAAAAATAAAACGCGAGCGTAGATTTTTAAACACCGCAAACGAGATACGTGGTTTGGTAGTTTCACCGTCGATATGGAACTTTTTTTTTTTTTTTTGTTTATCCGCCATCCAATGACGTTATTACAGAATTACAAATTTACATCGAAAGAAAATAGAAATATTAGTAGAGAAAAAAATAAATATAGATACAAAATGGTTAATCAATTATTGGGTGGCTGTCGGAATCACCGTTAGGCATAGCATCGGCAGTGCAATTTGGAACTATAAATTCTGGCCCGGTTTAAAAAAACAACGTATGTGCCATTAGTTTCCCTATGCACGTAAGTGTTTTTTTTCAGATGAGCCAGAATTTATAGCTCCACATTACAAAATGCAGTCCTATTTTAATAAGCAAAAACGGAATAAACCTAAATGTCTTCTTAAATTGAGGGGCTTAGAGGACAAGGCGCATTAGCGCAGTTCTTGCTACGTCAAGAAATGCGCGTTTAACGTTTAAAAATTACACGGAGCCTTATGGCGGAAAGAAAGTTCAAACTCACTTATTGATGCTTATAAAAATTGGATTTTTGCCGTGAATTTTTCACAGAATATGAATTAAGATCAGTTTTAGTTGAAATAATTAGTATTTCATTTTTTTCAAAAACTGCACTATCCCACTTGTCTTTCATGCCCCTCAATTAATGTAATTACTCAGAGCCTCTAGGGCTTGGTTGAATTTTTTAAGAAAATAATTGAGCTTAAGGATTATAAGTACTCAGAACTTCTAGGAGTTGGTTGAATTTTTCAAGAAAATAATTGAGCTTAAGGATTATAAGTACTCAGAACTTCTAGGAGTTGGTTGAATTTTTCAAGAAAATAATTGAGCTTAAGAATTATAGCCTTAGAGAAAAATGAATAAGACTTACCAGGAATGCAAACTAGTTTGTAATTCGAAAAACAGAGAATAGCGCACAGCAAATACTTGACTCGTGTCGAAGGGGCCGGCTTTTAAAGAGCGACCTTTCCAACTTTGGCACACGCGAATCTGGGCGGTAATCCCAATTCCGCAACTCTTATCTCTTGCCCTCTGTCTCTGACAATCTTCCACTGCCTCTTTTCCTCCTTTTTCACTCGTGTATGAGTTTTTGCAACATTTTTAATAAGTCAAGGTTCCTCTAATTAAGCATTCACTCGTTTGATGACGGTGTCGTTTGCAGTGTAGTGTGTTTTACAAAACAAAAACGAAACAAGATTTCGACTGGCTCTTTGAAATTTACCAGTGGCTCGAGAGAGTCTAAGTTTTGGGATAGTCTTGGGTAGAAATAGGTAGTTTTGTGTGCGAGGGGCTTGGAGGACAAGGCACATAAGTGCAGTTTTTGCTATTTTGAGAAATTTTAGAAAAAAGTTTAAACTGACTTTTTGAAGCTTTAAAATTGGAACTTGGGTGCGAATTTTTTTATAGAATATGCATTAAAACTGGTTTTACTTGAAATCATTAATATCAGAATATCGACGGTGTAAGTCAGCAATCACATTACTCGTTTGCGGTGTTTGAAAATCTTCGCCTCTTTGTTATTTTTTTAAAGGAGAACAAATTGACATCATTCCTTGAAGTTTTTGCAGAATTATCTTCGCACAGAGAAGAAAAATCACGGCAGTCTCAAAGAATTGTCGATGAGTAGTTTTCCGTTTAAAAAATAAAGTATGGCAGGAAGTCTGTGACGATGCAAACCGAGTTAGGTATTTGATTGCCGACTTACACCGTCGATGTGCAATAAGACTATTTTTACTTGAAATCGTTAATATCAGAAAATGCATTAATACTAGTTTTACTTGAAATAATTAACATCTGGTTGTTTTCAAAAACTGCATTTATGCGCCTTGTCCTCCAAGCCCCTCATAATTATGTCCCTCTACGACAATCTGATTTTCCTGTATACCTGAGAATCTTTTCTTTTTCTTTTTCCGCCTACTTTTTCTTTCTTATTGTGTCTATTCACAGAAGATTTTATTGAGATATATACCGGTTGGTTTCCCTCTAAGAAATAAAGCGAAGTCGGAGATTTCGAAACGTTATAATAGAAATACTCGTTTTTTACTTTATAGTCACCGATGTGTAAATCTTGAATTGACGTCAGATTTCAAAAAATGAACATTTAAGAAACTGCTATCAGAGAAGGGATGGGGGGGGGGGNTTTTTTTTTTTTTTTTTTTTTTTTTTTTTTTTTTTTTTTTTTTTTTGTGAAAGGCTCTATTCGAAAAAATGGGGAGAGAAGAAGAAAGACCAGGCGTGGATAATAAAATAAAATAAAGTAAAATAAAATAAAAACGGAATGAAATGGACCATTCTCGAAGTTCTTAACCTGAATTACTCTCACTAATGTGTAACTTCTCAATTAGTAAAATGATCGTTTGAGACTCTAAGGAAGGAAAGAGAACCTTTAAATTGTCTGGAAATTGCATTGTGAGTTCGTGAGTATATACATTTTTTAATTTAATACTGCGCCCTCATGCAATGAGGCACGGACCCAAGCCAACCTCTGGTCAAGTTTCTCCCCGACACGATTTTCTTTACAAGTTTTAGCCTCCTCTAAAAATAAAAATACGACTCTCTCCTTAGAGCGGAAATATTTATTGAAAACCTGATCTTCATTACTGCGTTTTTAACGTATGGTTTTTCTTCGCTCAGTCAAAAATATTCCGCGGAAATTCAGCAAAAACATTTTTCCGTAATATATTCTCTTTGAAAATATAAATTATGAGAGCGCGAATTTTAAAACAGGGCAATAGAAACACGTGTCTCCGTGAACGCACTGTCGCGTCTGTATATTTTAGATTGACAGTGACAATACCTCCAATAGATGTTATGAAAGAAAAATAAACTGATTTGAGCATATGGCTCGATAATACCTCCGAATTTTGAGCACCAAAGCGCCTATTTGCTTACCCCCCCCCCCCCGAAAAAGGAGGAAGTAAAAATAAGGGAGCCTCAGTAGATATGGGGTTGCGGACTTTGTTACGGATGAGCGTCATTTTGAATTTTCATAGCTCTCCCGGGCTTTCCATGTACCAATCAAATTTCCAGAATTTTTGCATGTGTGCCTACCTAACAAACCAGTACTACACTTTCACATAGATTCTTATTAATCAAGCATTTGAGCTCCATCATTTAATTAGAGTTACAAAAGAATCCTACTTAAATTTTTAAAGAAGAGTACCAAGGCTAATGAAATAAAGACGAAATAAACGATTTATTACTCTAATTATTTGTCATTCTTGCTTGTCAAATATTAAAGTTTTTTCTCGCCTCATTTTTGTAAGACAGCTGTAGTGGTAATTCGTCAATGTTGTTTTTGTTTCAGCCAATCAGATGTTAGAATGACGTAACTCATCCCGAAGATCTTCTAACCTAAACCACGAAACATTGAAAGAGTTTGTTGACATTTTTCTGCGCACATCTGGTCTGGGCCAGAAGTCATTGCACTGAAACACCCCTTTTTGTGTGAGAACCACCTACAACAGCAGTTTTCCTCTCAACTTGAAATGATATTCTGCTATGACTCCAAAAGCGCATCAAGCTAGGTATGACAATCACATTTTCTCATTCACTTGTCGTGCTAAGTATGTCTGTTCTTGGCGAAAGGCTGAGCTTACCGTCCCCTCTCCAATATTGGCTTTCCTAATTTATACTCTTACTTTTCCAGATTGCAGGAATTCAAAGAGTTATTGGATGCCCCGAAGATCGATCTCAAAAGACTGAAAGCTCTGTCTTTTAATGGTGAGCATTTATCTAAATATTATATAGATAACCTGTGGAACGTTGGTTTACAGACTTGGGGATTAAGGTTTAATGCAGATGTTTGGAACCCGATTGTCACAGCGGAAAACATAAGAATGTTCCAAGCAGCTGCATAACAGGAATTGTTTGATTCACAGATCAAATGCGTTCAGAAGGTCAGAACATGATAAGAGGAAACAAACCTATTAGGTAATAGCTCCAAAGGACCCACAGCAATACTCCATTCTTGTGCTTTTTAGACCTTTGCTTTAAACTTATCAATTGTCATTAGGAAAAATAGTCAGTCAAAATCCTCCAAGAACACCTTTTATTCCTTCGATGATTAAATAATTCTCAAAACTCAACTTTTGCACTTTTGTAAGGAAAACGCATCTTGAAAACTTTGATTTCCCTCTAAGAATATGCAGGAGACTTCAATTCTGTCCAATGCATGACCAGACGAAAATTATCTTGCTCAAGTACCATTTCCTCAATTCATTTTCAATTTTTAGTCGATATCCCCAGATGCATTTCAGTGTTGAGTTGACTGCCTCCAAAGTGGTCAAGGAGTCAAGTGTGTGCCAAAATGCACTTTAAAACTTTCCTAAAACCCAAAGTGTGCTGAGATTTTAATTTCTCTCTTTCCTTTCTTTCAAATATCAGATAGAGCTAAATTTTAGATGACTTTTATCCATCTATATCTCTTGCAGAAACTGTCGGGGAAACATATTTTGCCTTTCACTAATTATTTTTGTTGAAGTCAAGAAATGGCTTTTTGCTGCTTAGCAAATTTTCAATGGTTTATATCATGAGTAGGTAATTTTCTCTAGAGAATGACATCGTAATTTTCCTAGTTTTCAAAGCAAAGACGGCAGCTGTAAGTCGTAGAATGCCAATTTAAGTGCTGGAAAGTCATCTCGAAATTCTAATTTTGAAGGTATTTGGAGTGGAAAAGTTTTATCTTGAGTTAATTTTACTCTGTTTTATGAGTTGATTATGTCTAAAGGTAAAATTTATAATATTGATAGCTAAATGTGTACCTTAATCGCAACATTTAAAAATTTCAGACTTTGGTATAATTTCCTCAAGGGAAATTACTTAATCAAAAATTTTCCTCGCAATTTGGTGTAATTTGTTTGAAATGAGCGCAGAAAAATCTTCGAAGTTTCAATGAAATTGTCGTTTAGTTTTCCCTCAGAAAATAAAACATAAGACTTACAACTTGGCAATCTGAGATACACATTTTGAGACTTGAGTCATCAATATTCTGTTGCAGATACTTATCTTGGAAGTATAAATGATATGTTTAAATTGTGCACTTTCAAACACTTATCAATCCACAGATCCCAAAATCTGTCATGTCGGAAAATGTGCGAGGGTATATCTGCCTCTTTCCAGAAGAACTGCTATATTGTTGTGCAGGATAGTAGCAGTAACCATTTGAACCATTTATTATTTTATGTCCTCTTGTTAGCATTAATATATAATCTCATTTCTTTTTCAGGAGTACCAGATGAACATGGGCATAGAGCCTTATGTTGGCGGCTTCTCCTCAACTATTTGCCACCTGAGCGAGCGCAGTGGGATAGTATTTTGGAAAGAAAACGCAAATTATACCAGCAATTTATTGGTAATCATGAAAATATTTTGCTTTGCCCCCTGAATCAGTTAATGCAGTTACTCAATGCATCAGTCACTTTTTAAGCAACCTCATAGATAGAAGGAGGCTTTGCCATCCATTATTATTATGTCAATAAGACAATCAATGACAACTCTGGAATTTTCTAAAGTTTCCTGTTCATGGAATATCTTTAAAACACATTAAAATTACAATTCCATTTGACGGTCATATCAGGTCTTTTGTCATTCTCCTTTTGCAAGAGCTCATGTCAAATACGTTTACCTACACACTTTTAGAATGAGACAGAAAATCAGCTGTCTTTAGTTTGGCATTGAAAGTAATTACATGAATCAAGATGGTAGATCTCTCGTCACTATCTTTAATTGCGTAAACTCATTTTGCCTAGACTCTCTAAGTATCTGACTCTGGGTAATAATTTTGTTGCATTTTGTTTTCAGAGGAGATGATCGTAAGTCCCGGAGAGGGTGAAATGGAGGCTCAAAGCGACCATCCCCTATGTGTGAATCCTGACAGTCAATGGCAAACTTACTTTAGAGATAATGAAGTCCTCTTACAAATTGATAAAGATGTCAGGTTGTCAATTCATCATATTTTTTACAAAGTATTTTTAGTACTATTTTCCATTCATTCTCATCTGGTTTTTCAATGTTAAAAACTGGAAGTAAAGTTCGTATGAAACTGCAGGAATGTGGGTAACTTCAAAATCTGCAATCCTCAATTTAAATTCAGGCATAGACATAGGTGAAACTGAAGAAACAAGTACTTTCAGAAAACGAAAAACATCCCTAAAATGGGCCTGTTGCAAACTTTTGCTAGAGAAAAAATAAGAGTTGTTTCTTGTAGATAATGCCTCAAAAATCACGATGAGCGCATCGGCAAAGTCTGAAATGCACTCATAACTTCACAATCTGCGTAAGAAATTTGCGTTTTTTTAAGCTTCCCGCTTCAAAAACGATACTACGGCACAGGTGAACATTTTGTTAGAGGAGTCGCTCCATCGTCGGCGATATTCATCATGGCCGACGCTTGCGTGCAGTTCCGCGCGTAATTCGAGGAGAGTTCAAGGTCAATCAATTCGGGCGTGGAAAATATGAACGTTAACACACCGATTGTTATCTGGTCTAATCCAGTTCAGGTGTTATCTCGTCCCATCAAACGTGTTTTGGCGGATTGGCGTCGGCCATGATGATTATTGCCGACGATGGAACGACTCCTCTTACAAAATCTTCACCTTTGCCGTAGTATCGTTTTTGAAGCGGGAAGCTCAAAAAACCGCAAATTTCTTACGCAGACTGTGAAGTTATGAGTGCATTTCAGACTTTGCCGATGCGCTCATCGTGATTTTTGAGGCATTATCTACAAGAAACTACTCATATTTTTGCTCTAGCAAAAGTTTGCAACAGGCCCATTGTATTTGTAGTGTGGCACCTGCTCACTTTTTTACTTCATTGTGAGCCAAACCCATATTCTTTCGGCTGTAGACTTCCATTTGCAAACACATGTAATTCTATTTACATTCCTAATTTAAATACTGATTCATATAGAGTAATGAGTGGGTTGGATCGGTTGTGATAAAAACTCAACTTGCATACAGCTGAGTTTGGACTATTAATTGAAGGATTCCCAGCTACATTTTTGGAGGCTATGTGGATCTAACTTACAATTGACCACAGCCAGCAAAATCTAGGATGTAGGCAAAATAAAGTCGCCTTCTTAATGTTAAAATTAAATATTCTAGATAAACTTGGAATTTTGGGATGTTTTGGGCTAAACTAACTGGATGCTGAATTTCGTTTAAACAATATTCTCATTAAGTGATACGGTTTCTATTGATGATTTTTAACTCTACAAAATTTCAACTTGTTTTCAGTTTGATTTTTCAGTTTTTAAAAACATTGTGAAATTTTTTCTTATAACAGGCGACTTTGTCCAGACATTTCTTTTTTCCAACAAGCCTCCGAGTTTCCTTGCCAGAGTGTGGTGTACAGTTCTGGAAGAAAACGCTTGCATCGCCGTGTTCAATTGTCAGTCCTCAATTCGGCTAATGTTGAGCGCAAACACTTAGGAATCCTCAAGGTAAAGTTTCGTTCTCCCTGACAAATCATTTGATTTAGGAGATTCTATTATGTAGTACAAACCAAGTTAGGCTTGAGATATTTGGCCAAAAAAATTTTTTTTGTCTCTTTTGAAAGAAATATCATTTGGTTACAGCTGTGAAACAAGTACGCTAATTTGTCCCCTAGAGGGAAAAGTGCCAGAGGGATTTTAGCTTTCCAACAATTTAGTTAGTTTTTACCTATAATGCCTTTTTTGTAAAAAGACTTAGTACAGGTCAGAGAGCACAATCAACAGTTTTCTTTGCAAACAATAAGCAGTGCACTGAAGGACTTGAAAGACTAAAAGTAATGCGCTGAACAGTTTTCTTCCTAAAAAACAATGCACCAAAAATTTATAAATTTTTTTTCTCACAACTAAACGCCTCTTGACTAAACCTTCCACAAGAGGCATCATAATTTTTTTGGTGGATAAAAAGAAATAAAAATCTTTAAAAATGTCTTTGCAGGTAGGTATATTATCAAATCATGAATAATCGGGACCAGGATTTTGTAAAAATGTTTCTCACTTCAAGTGCTAATCTGTTGTTTGTAGCATAATTTATTGATAAAGAAAGCGCAAGAAGACTATGTACCTTTGGAGGAGGGCTCGGAAGCTCACTGGGAAGTAGTTGAAAGACTCTTATTCCTGTACGCCAAGCTAAACCCAGGCCAGGGCTACGTCCAAGGCATGAATGAAATCATAGGACCAATTTATTACACTTTTGCCTGTGACCCATCTACTCAATGGAGAGGTAAATTTCAATCCACTTTTAAATCTCTTCCCTTAATACACTTACAATATTTATTGCTATCCATCTGGAATTTTCTCTTATTTTGCTTTTAAGTATAGATTAACTTCTATGACAATTATCGCCAATGATTTGATTGAAACGTTGTTATTAGCCTCATCCGCACAATGGAAACCGTTCTCTTTGAACAAGACCTCAAAGTCTAATTACTCACAGATTTTTTCATGTTATTAGAAATTTTAAACCCAAGAAAGATATGAATAATGCACTGGCGTTTCAGCATTTAATCATTAGGAGAAAATCTTAAAGTGCAATATCAATTAAAGTTCTTTATTAATGGTGTGTTTGGGGACAATGCAAAGGAACAGCAGTTGACTGAACTGTTTTTAAACTTGTTTTTACTTATTTATTTGTTTAATCATCTTTTATACACCAACAGGCTGTACAGCCCATCTAACAAAGATTACGCATTTAGAATACAAAACAGCGTCCACAGGAGGAAAAGAAAAATTATGAAACAGCAATTATAACATTCTTAAACAAACAGTAACAACATTAAAGTGACCCATGCGATGAGAAAAAAATCTGGAACTTGATAGCGAAATGAGTCTCAGTTCCCTATCTGCATTTTTCATATTTACAAATAGATTTACAAATATTTTGAAAAAGATACATTTTTGGACAAGTTAGAAATAGTTTTTTCGTATTACATAGTGCAGTCCAATTGAAGACTTTTCTTTATAATTTGAAAGAAAGTGAGCGTATCTGGTGCCAACTCTAATCGCCGTAACAGCCCTGATTACTATGAATGAAAATCTATTTTTTTATGTCTGTTTTTCTTTAGAGCATGCAGAGGCTGACTGTTTCTTCGTTTTTACTAACCTCATGGGTGAAATCAGAGATTTTTTCATCAAGAGTCTCGATGAAGCAGAGTGTGGCATCAACCGCTTGATGAACAAATTGATCAGCCAGTTGCAGCATCAAGATCATGCAGTCTATGAACTTCTGCGCCGTCAAGAACTTTGTCCGCAATATTACAGCTTCAGGTTAGAAAAAAAAACATTTCAAGTCTTATACTTAAAAATTGGCATTTCCTATTTCCTCTGTATGAAATAACCACAATTTTTATTGGACTACATTTTGCAATTAGGAACTAAAATTTCTGCCTTTGTTTAGAAACAGCATATATGTAATTAACTTTCCTATGCTGGTAAGTGTTTTTATAGATGAGCCAGAAATTTTAGTTCCTAATTGCAAAATGCTGTTCAATTGATGACACAAATCATCAAATTGTTTAGTCATCTTTTTTTTCTTTTTTTTGTGAGTGTGCGATGGGCAATAGCAGCAATTAGAAGAAAAAAGATGTTAGCTAGTATTTTCCAGTCCTGTTAAACTTTGACTTGGATTGAATTTCAGGTGGCTTACGCTCATGTTGTCTCAAGAATTTCCTTTGCCTGATGTTTTGAGGATTTGGGACTCCTTATTTGCGGATGAAGACCGATTTTCATTTCTCATCCATGTTTGTTGTGCCATGATAATGTAAGTTAACGAATAATTAATTAGATGCATGCCCTCTTACCTACAAAATGTATTTCATCCATACCTCACAGTTTCAATTCCTGCAATAATCGAGGGATTTTCCTGTGAAAAGTTGTGCATAATTTAAGCTGACAGCATTGAATATTGCTCCAAAAGGAATTGTGTTAATTACCGAAGAAAAGAGTCACACATCAAATCCATCCATTCTAATATCGTGTTATACATTTTTTTAATTAACCAAAAACCCATAAATAAGTTTTCTTTTGTGACATTGCAAGTAAAATAATGAGACTTTAGTAAATTCCCCTCAAGGCAAAATATGATTTTTGTTTGTTTTTTTCTTTAAAAAAAAGAGAAAAAAAAAGAAAAAAAAAAGAAGACCTCTGGAGTCTATTGTAATGCCTTTCTTTTGAAATATTTCAATGACCGATTCTGTATATACCTGAATAAAATTGCACACTTCTTAGTCCTAGAACTGTTATTATGTATTTCATTTTCATTTTCTCATAATTATCTATATAATGCATTAATTTTTCAACTCAAAAATTGTCAAGCGTTATCTCTCGCATAATCTCTTTAAATTTCCTTTATCTTGTGAAAAATACTTATGAATGCAAGTAAAGATGATAATTGATTTGTCATCCTGTCAGAAAAAAGTGGAAGAAAATGGGAAAAAATAAGGGAACCTCAGATGTTTGCGGGTATTTTGTTCGATTTTGCTCAATTATTTGTTATTTTGTGTTGCAGGTTAATTAGAAATCAACTACTGAACAATGATTTTCCCAATAATGTAAAAATTTTACAGGTTTGTTTTTATCCATTTTTTTTTTTTACTATGGATAATGAGACCAGAGTCCTCGCCAAATAAGTGTGCGCACCTCTAGAGTACAACGGAAAATCCACCAGCTTGATACTTGCATTTACTTTCAATACTGAAAACTTATTTGGTGTGGAGTCCAATGAAAAAAGACTCACCGTCTGAATAAGTTCATTTTTGTGGTGTGGATTAATTAGTTATTCCATTCTGTTTTGGTCCGTTTTACATCATTGTTTCTTGTCTTATTCCATTTCATTTCCTCAGCTCTGAGGCATGTAGCATGGCTCATTGGCTCACCACTCACTAGGAATAGAAAAGTAATCAGGCGTCAAAAAAAATTCCTTTTCATTCTCATAATGAAAGATGTTAGTGCGCTTTTGCCATGCTTTTTCATAGTATTCTTTCACCGAAAATACACCCGGAAAACAGGACATGAGGCCTTATATGTAACAATGACGGATGTAAAAAATTACCTTTTCAAAACACACCTAAAAAACTGTTTTTGAAGACACAAAAATTTAATATGTTTGGCTCTGGCATAACTTACAGATCTCACAGATTACATCTCAAGTATTCTCTCAAAATTTTCTCGACGCCAAAACAGTTTTTTGAACGTGTTCTGAAAAGGTAATTTTTCACATCCGCCATTGTTACTTATAAGTCCTCATATATTATTCCCCCCCCCCTCAATGTAACCATGAACTCAGAGACAATGTTGACAAAAAATTTCAAAAGAATGAAAACTTAATTTTAACATTAAACATATATTTGGTTAGAAACAAGAGGAAGTCAGCCTCATAGAAAAAAAATTATCTTTTAATAGAATATGCATATTTGTAATTGCCATTTTTCTTTTTTCTGTTCCATTACTCCTAAATTAAGCTGAAAAGTATCTTAAATTCACACAGCTTTCCTCTAGGGCTCAAAATTTTAATGATAAGATTTACTTCATTCAATTGAATTAACCCAGCAATTTCTTTCCTTTCAGAACTTCCCGCTGTCTGACATCAGCGTTGTTCTATCCAAAGCTGCTGAACTCTCTGCCAAATTGTAAGTATTAACCTCATTGTTTGCTTCTGTGGAATCCCCGTTCATTTTTAGATATGTATAATTTTATAATAACTCCTGGCAGCGGACGGGCTTTTGAAATCTATATTCTTGAGTAATTATTGACATCCTACACTGATTTAAGTGCAATTACATTCTATTATTTACCATTTGTATGCCCTTCAAAACATAGCTGTGTAATAATTTAAGATTGGAGACTAGTGTGGAATTTAAAATAACAAAGTTTTAAGAAATGGGGATTTGCAGTGTATGGAGAGATAATGATCGAAAGCTACATGAGACAATACCTGAGTTTAATCCATGGTGGAAATAAGCAAACATCGGGGCATCAAACAAGATTTGCCAGAATACTGGTTTCTTTTTAAATTTTTGCAACGAAACAAATCGATTGCCCCTACAAGCGCATTTCAGCTATTCCTTCGCAAAGAATCTTTTTTTTTAAATCCTAAAATAAAGCTGGAAGTATGCAAACACAAAAATGAAGCATTTAATTTGACTAAGTAAGCAAAACAGCTTCCTCAGGAAAAAACAGCCGAAATATGCTTGGAAGCTGAATTGATCTGTTTTTCACTAAAAAAAAGTGAAATCTGTAAAATGTAAATTATGTCTGATACCTTGATGTTTATTTACTTCTGGTTTAATTTCATATTAAGACCAGTACGAATTAATTTTGAATGGTTTTAAAATTAAAATCTGCTTTTCATTCACAACGTCAATTCTTAAAAACTTGTTTGATTTTTCTTATCTGAGGTAAATTCTAAGATAATTTCAAAAAGTGATGTTGATTTGTTCTTCTTTTAAAGCATAAAACAGGAGGGGAGATTTTTAAACAGCACAAACAAGATACGTGGTTTGAGAGTTTCACAGTTGATGTATTAACTCTTAGTTAATTTCATTGTTATACTTTTTCCTGGGCTCCTCGTCTTTTTGTAATAAATTGAATTTTTATTTCAGGGGAAATGTTTTCCGGTGAGAGACAAGGAGCTCCTGTCTCGAAAGCAAACGTTCAATTCTCAAAAAGTATCTGTGATCTTGTTATACAAATTTTTATTATTCATACATGTTTTTATTCATACATGTTTATACCTTGTGTATCATTCTGAAAGATCTAGACCTCTGTTTACTCAAAGAACAGAATCATTATACATGAAATGTTTCTGTGTTTGCTATATAACTTTCCTCTACCTGTTTTGTACTCGTCTTTCCCATCTAGTTTTCAATGCATAAGTTTCATTATAAGATTAATAATACTCGCTAGATTCTGATGGCAGCTGGAACTACACTCTCTCATATCTTAAAGGAGACTTATGAGGAACTCCCTCAAAACAACAAACTTTCTGATAATTTTTAGTTATTTCTCGTTCATTATTTTGGTAATATTAGGTTTTGTTCAGTTGTTTGCATGCAAAATGAACGACATTTTGATGGTCAGAGTGCTGAACCACATATATCCATATCGGTGTTTCAAAATTTCTGCTCCTCTTTTATCTTTTCCTTAAGAAACCTGCCAACTTTATACCTTGCCATTTATGCAAAAAAATCAAGGAAGTTTTGAAAGAATTACATCACTAAGTTTTCCAAAGGAAAAATAAAGTATGGCAGGAAGTCTACAACGTTGTAAACGGAGATACGTGGTTATGTACTTTGGCCATCGATTTATCAATGCAGGCCGCCTCACCAAGAGACAGACACTGATTCTGGTTCAGAAGGGAGCAGTTTCAATTTTCTATTAAGTGCCACGAATATTGTGTCTGTTCACTATTTAAACAACGTTCTAAGGCAGCTACTTGTATTTTATTCCTTTACTTTTTTGCTTTCTTTCTGGAAAGACAGCCAAATTTTTGATCGGTTAGCAAAGCATCCACCAATTTTAATGTTAAGCTTGAATATTTCCCAATTCTTGAAGGTACGGCATCGTAGAAGCAACACGCTTGAGAAATACAGCTGTCTCGATTGGTGAGCACGCAAGTTGAAGTTAAACTTCATCAGTGAAAAAATTAATGATGAGAAGATCTTGTGAGAGAAACATAAGCCATAAAAAAAGCACCCATGTTTATTGACACAAGTTCTGTAGTGGAGAAGGTCCAACATCAACAAGCCGACAGCAGGAAAATAAGTGCGGGGTTTAGCATAGAGGAACATAGTGACTTTAAAAGAAAAACTAAGTAAAGGTAGTTTTAAGCTCGCCTCGAAAGTTATTTTCCCCTATCAAAGATCTGATATCTGCCTGAAATATTCAACATGTAGAAACCGCTCTCAAATAGTATTTGTTACGTAAGAATTGAAACTGCAAATCTATTTTACTCTGTTCCAAGCGCATGTCTCTTGGTTCAGTATTCTTGGATGTAATACACCAGAACTTAATTCTAAATGAAAAAATGTCTAACATTCAAATGCCTATTAAAGTTTTAAAATCAGAATCAATGCCCTATTTTTTAATTGTAAGTTTAAATATTAGTTAAAACAGTTTATTTTTAGTCGGTTAAATTGCTTGCCACCAGTGTCTCAACAAGTGTATTACTGTTTCAAAAAAGATCCCCCCCCCCCCCATTTACTGTTTTTCCCTTTCGGTAAGCGATGAAGTGTCAATTCATATTTCCCTTCAATTTTTTTGGACTGTTGCAGCTTTCTTCTGAAAGAAAAACCTCTAAGTTCTGGAAGCAATTTGTCTGAAAAGCTTAATTTTAACGTGCTGTGTACAAGTTTCTAGAAGCTGTGAAGATTTTTAAAAATGAGATAGGAAATTAGGGGGGGGGGGGGAGGCTGCTAAAAAAAATCAAGGATGCACCAACTTTTAAATGTCTTATTTAGTCCTTCAATTTTATTAGGTGTATTTGGCACGTGGCATCCGGTGAAGTTAAGATGTCTCACACAAAAACAGCTTTTAAGAAGCGTTAATTTTTTTACTTACAGTATATCGATGGCTTAAGTAGAAAAATGCGTTTTTCCATTTCAATGTTTAAAAATTCTCCAATTATGTTTCATTTTTTTTAAATGAGAAAACAAATCCGAACATCTCCTTATTGTTTTTTGTGAATCTTTTTAAGAAGTTAAAACATTTTCAGAAACAAAAGAAGTCATTGGTTAATCTTCTTTTAAAAAATTAAAACCAGAGAAAAAATTTGCGCGCAACATCCCAATCCAAAATTTGCTCTTTTGGACTTTAGTAATCGATATGATCTTTATTACCTCGTCTTTCTCCATGTATGCTATTCCGTTTTTGATAAGCATCATATGAGTTTGGCGTTGGTCAACTCCAATATGCGTATCTTATCTGAACTTGTTTTCATTTTTAATGTCTTCTCTGGCTCCTTTTTCTGCGCTGTCTTTTATCAATGGGCTCTAAAGGCTTGGTCATCAGCATGATTCTTTAACTTTTTTATATGAACGTTTGACTCACCATTATCATACAATCTTTAAAAAATTGGTATCTACTTTCAATACTTCACATGATGTTCAGAGATGTTTTCAAGCGATTTCTTACTACGTTTTGTTTGTAACTCTCAGAAGTGAATTTAATCGTTTGTTCTCTCTGTCCTTTATTTTTACTGCGTATCATTTTAATCATAATTTTTATTAGGGACTATACATTTTTAGATTATCTTTCGTGTAAGAGGGGTAAATTTCTCATTCAAATAAGCAAGTACACCAGGTTATTTAGATTGAGCAACTTAGTATTAAATTTTATATTCTTTTTATTTTAATCCCAGGCTTTGAAATACCCTCAACAATTTCCATAATTTACTTCAAAAATAATGTTCGCATATTTTATTTATTTACTTATCTCTTTGTTTTTATTATTATTATAATTCTTTTTTATCTGCTTCTCCACTTCATCCTATACTTTCTCTTTCCCTTTTTACGTCAACCCAACTTACTATCAACTCTTTTGTATTTTTTTCAAAATTAGCTGAGTGTTTTAATATATCATTTACTTTTGTAAGTTGCTATGTGTGAATTATAGCAGAAAAAACATAAGCTACCACAGCCCTTTTGTTATGACATACAAAAATCTTTGCTGAAAAAAGGGAAAGGAAACTGTTATGGGTTAAATCATTCAATGGTACTATTTAACCATGTTTCATACAAGTTTCTTGCAGTGAATAGTTCAGTAATCATCATCAGATCTGTACAGATCTGAACTGTATCTGTGCAGATCACACTGTTCGCTCTTGTATCATGTATTTCAGAAGTCCTTGTACGTTTTCTTAAAACATACCTATCGGATAATTCTTCACTCCTTTTCCAAGCCCAATTTCTCTCTACTTTGGTTTTCATATCTTTTTTTTAAGTTTTGAAATCACAGCCTCAAAGTACCTACGTTGTTTGCTCTTGATAAGCAATTTCTGTTTATCCCCCAAATTATGATATATTGATGGTCAAAGTGCAAAACCACGTATCTCCATCGCGGTGTTTCAAAATTTTTACTCCTATTTTATTTTTTTTTAAGAAAAACAAACCAACTTGACAGCTTGAAATTTCCTCAGAGTATTCTGCTAACAGAGAAGAAATATCAAGGAAGTTTTCAAGACATCATGTTGACTACTTTTCCAAAGAAAAAATAAAGTATGACAGGAAGTTTGCAACATCGCAACGAGAGATACGTGGTTCCTCACTTAGGCCATCGATAGGCACCTTTCCAATACCTTTGTTAAGTTTTCTTTCAACTCAAACATTTTTGACTGATTCATATATTTTTTTAACCGTTCTGTCTGTGTTAATAAACTTTGTTATCATGTGTCATTTATTCCAGTCGTTCTTTATTTAATAGAATTTCCCTGCCTGATTTAGGCAAATCTCCTCTGCTAATGTTATTTAGTTTCTGAAAAGCTGGCGAATAATTTTCATTGTTTTGGGAAAGCTATGAAAGTTGGAGAGTTATCTTTTCAAGGAAGTACAAGAATTGTAAAAAAGAAAGGAGTCGATGCGAACAAGCAATTTATACCTAATAAACCTCACACCCACTTTTTTGAAACTTGGTTTTGATTTCTATGAATTCACTAAAAGTAGGAGCATATTGCATCCTAAAAAAATTCATGTGTGAAATCTCAAAGTCCTCCGTAGAGGAGATTCAAAAGTTGAACCAAGGCCGCACATGACAACTGTCTCCGTTCCTTATTTCTTAGGTATGATTAAGCGGGAATAATTCTTTGAGATAGAAATTATAAGATGATTTTTACCACTCCATGAGCATTTTTGAAAATAGCCCCACCAGTTAGAAAATATGGAGGAAAAACCGAGTCAAGCGTTTTGCGAATTAGGAACCAACACCACTACCTATAGAGACATGTGAATTTCGAATTAAGGTTTTAAGCCAGTTTTTTGAAGATTTTTCTCGATTTAAGGCTTAGCGGAGAGTCGTGATGAAGAGTGTGCATGGACTGGCAGCTTCTGTTGATCCTACAGCTGGACCGGTCATCGTATATTCATTAATTACAATAATTTTAAACGTCGCGGCGCCAGGCAACCAGTGCGCAGCGTGCACGCGCGCTGGTGCCTACAAACCCATAGAGAAAACAACGGAGGTTTTTGCATTTTGGGCATCTTGGAATTTTTTGATGGCGTAGGTCGGTACAGCAACTTTTACCATCGATTTTCTTGGAAATGGTGTAATATATGGAAAAAAGTCACTCTATAAAAAGTGCTTGAAATTATATCATAAGTTGATTTCAGCAAAAAAATGGGACATTATGGTCCGTTTTTCATACTTCGAATTCCGGATTTCGCTGGCCAGGTTGTACCGACCTACGTCACAGGGTAAACAAACCTCAAGATGCAAACACCTCCTTTTTTTCCTCTGACCTTTCCTTCACGCATTGCGCAACGCGCGAAGTATCCCTGTTAGGTTTGTAGGCTCCAGCGCGCGATCGTGCAATGCGTGAAGTATCCCCGTTAGATTTGCAGGCGCCAGCGCGATCGTGCTGGCAGCACGTCGCATCGCTGAATGACTCTCAGTGAGATTTTCTGATCGGAAAAGCTCTACTTATGAGCCCGGTGAATCGCGCGGGGAGCCTCGGGACCACGCGCAATCGATTCAGTGTCCAAGATCTTACAACTACAAAAGCTGTCCCAAAAAGAATGCAACAATGGCGATTTAAAAAAAAAAACTAAATCAGATATCCGATATCGATTTGCGGGTTAAACAGAGCTCTAGAGAACGTAATCACTAATCAAATGAGACCTTGTTGAGCTCATTTAATAAAAAACTCGCCGATTTTTAGCGTTTTGAAAATGACGTGTTGGCAAATCGCCTGCACGATTTTTAGGATTTCTTTTCAAGAAAAACAAACGACTTGCAAAACACTTTTCAAAATGATTTGCAACTCGTTTGTTTTTCTTGAGAAAAAATTCTAAAAATCGTGCAGGAGATTTGCCAACACGTCATTTTCAAAACGCTAAAAATCGGCGAGTTATTAAATGAGCTCAACAAGGTTTCATTCAATCGGTGGTCGGTCACACATGCACCGGGGAGCGTAGCTAACTCTTTGGAGAACGCACATTTTTATCTGGACCGCGTTAAGAAGAAAGGAACCATCCCACTTCAGCCATTGCCAAATTTAACTGAACAATTTAATTTTTTACATAAAAACGGTTGTGCGGATTTCTAAAAAAAATTCGGTGAATTTTTCTCATAATAAGTATGAAGCAAATTCCTAGAAATGTCCGAAGGAATCTGCACAAACGTGCTCTTGTAAAAAATTAAATTGCCGAGTTAAATTTGGAAATAGCTGATGTGGCTTAAAAGAAATGTTTAACCCCTATTTTCACAAACTAATTTATTTTTTTCTACGTTCAGATTTGGCAGGAGAAAATAAACGACCGGAACTAAAAAACATTCTAAACTCGATGTTTTCGAAAATGTGGGCTGGTTCCTTTCTGATAAACGCGGTCCAACTGATGTGCGGTCCATCTCACGCCAGAAATACAATGTGAGGACAACCTGTTGGCAGATGTCGTCTATTTGAGTCGCCGCATTATGAAACTGAAGTTGAAGGAAGCGCGAACAAACAGGAAAAAGAAAAGTATACGTTTGCATCGCTTCCCAGGCTTCGATTGAACCGATCAACGGATGCCGTCAACTCATTTACAGAGGTGTCATCAATTTAAAGTTCGCCTTCAATTTCGCCGTATAGGCAGTAAACTTACCAGAAAACATAAAAAATGGTCTCTCCCGAAAACTCACATTTGTTTAGCTTCATAAATACAATGCGTAAATCTGTTCGCAGATATCATATCACCCATTTAAGGTTCGCCTTCAATTTTGCCGTATAGGCAACATACGTGTGGGGAGCGCGATAATATGTATGATGGTTGGTGCGCTTAGCTGTGTGCATCGATGTGTATTTGATAAGAAAGTTTTGTTTTTGTTTACACAGCAGATTTTCTGATTTTCAGATTTTCCGTGCAAGTTTCTATGTAATTTCTATTTGTATGTACCTAATCGTGTATTTTCTCCTGTCATTGAAGTGATAACTCGCAGAATAGAATTTCTACCCTCGTTTTACTGTTTGCTGTTTGCAGCATGTGGATGATCTTGCTCACAGCACATGCACATGAAAAAATTCAGCATGAATATCGTTTCTTGTAACAAAGTAAGTTCTGGCATTCTACCTAAAATGCAGTGGAATTTCTGTAAATGTCCATGGTTTCATGGAACTACATCATTGCCTCATTGATTTTTCTGAGACTTCAATTGTTTGTAGATCGAAATAAACACAATCATTAAGAATGAAAATGATTCGGAGTACAGGATTACAGATCGAATCAGAAAGGTGATTCTGACCCTTTTTGTCCTAGTTTTCTTTTTCATACATGACAGCTAAAACATTATTATTATAAATATTCCGAGATGGAAAGATTAGGTGTTACTGGGAGACTCAGCGGAAGAAAAAGTTATCTAATACAGCAATATGATTTCGGCAATTGTCCGTCATTCAGATTGCATCTTATTTTCAGTTTATTATCCATGAGTTTTTTCATTTTAAGGTAGAATGTTCTTTATTTTACTGTCTCTTTGCTTGCAGAAGTTGTCGAAAATACTATGAAATGTACGTTCTAATGAAAAGAGCGACTCAACATCGTGCGATTTACTGTTACGGGATTCTAAGTCTTTGGATTTTTTTAATGATTGCAGGTACGTAGATTTATTCCAAAAATTATCCAAATATTTGTTAAACTCAAAGCAATAATCAGAAAAACTATGTATAATTAGGATTAAGACTGTACTAAAGCCATCAGAGACCATGACTTTTCCAAGTCCTTTGAGAGATGCTTCAACAGCGGTAGCAATTTGAAGTGTAGCTTTAATAGGTCTGTTTCATGTAAGAATTGCAGATCATTGAGAGCACTATTCACATATTAACATCGCCCCATCAGAGCTCGTACCAACATATTTTAGCCCTAACTTTTCAATGAAAGATCGAAGTTTCATGGATGAGTTACCTCAGTAGAATTTGCTTGATTAATGATCATAAACACAAAATCATTGACAGTATAATATTAATGTCATGTCAGAGTAAACATAAAAAAACAAGTTTCAATGAAACCTTCAAATCCAGTAATCATGTTTAGTTGATTTTTCTTCATTTCATGTGGGCTGGTACTTACTTAGTGCGCGTATAGTCTAAAAATCTCAAGTGCTGAAAATTGTTTCTCCTCACCTGAACCTTCCACGGTTTTTTTAAATTTCCCAATATTTTTCCAGGGACCTACAAGTTTGCAAACTTTGATAATGTGATGTCAACTTGGCTTCGCAAACCCCAAACTCTGCCCGCTGCCCAAGCTCAAAAGAGACTTCGCGATTTGAAAAGACGAAATTTGCTGAAATCATGCAACTTACTGGAGGACTTAACTCTCGGAAGCGAAGGTTAGAATTTGAATTAGCCTATGAGTTTTCGCAGCAGGGGTGCTGTCAGATGTAATTCATGAGTCTCAATCAATCTGACTTTTGATTTCCCTCAATGTCCTTCGCTTTTTGCGTCCCCTGTACACAGGAACATATTTCGCTTGCCCTACTTCAGTATTTACTGAAACATAAATTGTAGTGAACGTTAGAAGGAAAAAGATTTGCATCCAGATAATAATTGTGTGATAAGACTTAGTTGAACTCATCGTGTCTAAGACCGGGAAAAACTGGAAAAATCAGGGAATCCACTCCCGAAACCAGGAATCTCTTCTTCTACCCCTCAGAGACAATTTTAAGGCTTATATCGTTGCACCTGAACTGCCTCTATTGACCTCGTGAATCTTCAAATCATCAGAAGAATAGAGAAGCTTTCACTCACCAGATAATATAAATATCAAAAACGCTTTTGGAATTAAAAATTCTTTTGTGCACCAAAAAATTGGCTGAAAGATCGAGGGGAAAAAATCGATATTCAGACCTGAATCTTTTGAAGAGTGCTATAGTTTTTCTCAAAAAAATCCTGGGGAAATGGGGAAAAAACTTTCGTTTCTCGTCAGAAAATGAATTTCTGAAAATCAGGAAAAAATTAGAGAATGGGCATGGCGAAGAATTCTAACCACCATGTTTGAACTAAATTAATTGTTTTTCTTTCAGGTGAGTCCGATGAGAACTATAATTTAGAGGGTGTCATACTCTTATTACGGCATGGAGATCGAGGCCCTCTCTCACATCTGCGCAACATCTCCAGCGTTGATTGTGGCATCAAGACAGAAGAGTCCAGTAAGGAGTTTGAGCTTTACCGCCAGATAGTGTCCAATATATCGTACAAGTTGCCTCAAAGTTCAATGCTCTCCTTCTTTCTGAGCCATATCCAAAACTCCCCCCAGTCACCGTTACTTCCCTCAAGTCCAGAGTGTGAACTGGGGCAGCTCACTCCATCAGGTATCGTGCAACTGATGAAACTCGGACAACTGCTCCGCTCACGCTATGCAAGTCGTCTTGCACTCGCCGATAAAAATGTGACCAGTGAAGACATTGCGGTCTATAGTACAGCCTACAAGCGAACTATTCAGAGCGTTTTAGCCTTTTTAACCACATTTCTAAATGTAGATGATTTTTTCAAAGTAGTCCATTTGAGAGAGAGCAAAAGTTTGTTGTTCTGTTTTAATGACTGTGCTTGTCACGCTTCGGAAGTATATCAAAAACGTTACCGTGCAGAAGTCTCAAAGTTTTACAAGAACCACCCGAGCGTTATAAAATTAGTCCGCAAATTGTCAAATATTGTATTTGAAGTACCTGACTCAATGCAAAATTCAGATCCATATGTGCTGAAAGATGGCCTGCTTACATTTCTGTGTCACGAGGCGAATCTGCCATCTTACAATCTACGGAATGTGCGGAAGGAGCAAGTGACAACAGTTTTCAATTACATCAACCAAGAAACAAGGGTTGCGGTTCAGAGTCAGGCATTGAAAATGTCTTTCCTCCTCCGCAGCTATGGATTTTTAAAAGATATTGTCTCTCAGATGCTGCGAATCATCTCTGAAAAGAAACCCAGAATGATTATTTATTCTGGGCACGACAAGACTATTAAGTACATCTCGGCTGCATTCGGTATTCTCAATCAGTTCACAGCTCTTCCACCGTATGCTTCTAGGTTTATGATCGAGGTAATTATTTTTCAGTTTATTTCCTATTTTTCTCGATCTAACTTCTTGCACACATGATTATACCCCCTCATGATTAAGCTGTTGGACCTTGTTTAAGATACGTTTACCTTTTTCAACCGCTCGTGCAGCTATACCGTAACTGCTATCTGTACAGGAATAAATAACAGGTATACTTATTTGGAACAGATTTTCAACTTGCTGATTTTATTATTCGTTTTTGTGGTCTGTTAGGACCAGTCACTGTTAATCCTTACGAGCTGGCATAGCCCCCAATGAGTTAAAATTAGTTGCTGGCCCTAGAACTTTGTAAAGATTTCTGGCATTTCTTTGAACTGTATGAGTATTTCAGACCAAAAATTATCGGATTAAATTGCAAAGGTGTCTTTAAAGTTTTAAAAATTTGCTGCAGGATAGGATTTATAGCAAAGACCATATATGGGAGACTTTGCACTTCCTTCCAAGCATTTTAATCTGGTGAGGCGAACGTTACTTATTGGAGCCTACAATCAGATGCGCATAATCAGATGATTGTTAAGCCACTTTTTGATCATTTTTGGGGCCTAATGATGACTGATAAATTTTTGGTCGAGCATTACATTAATGAAGTTTGTTGTTTACTTGTTTACCCACTTAACAGAACTCTGAATATATCGCTCATTGAACATCATTAAGTAGAAATTAATGTTGATTCTCGAAAATAATTTTCACCCTTTCAGATGGGAAGATCGAGTGCTTATTGTCTCTAACCATAGTTCACTGCCCTTCTTACCAACGAAATAAACTCTGAACCAAAATTTCTAATTTACTGTTTCTTTCTATTGGTCAACAGGTCTATAGTTTTGATGAAAAAACTGAGACAGATATTTTCTCAGTCAGGAAGAAATATTTTTTCCGACTTCTCTTCAATGGCCAAGATTTCACGGATCAGGTAACGTTTTGCAAGACAAATTTCCAGAAAGATGGTGCAAACAATAGCAATTTTGTTGTTTGTCCAATCGAATCAATTATCAGGTACTTGCACGATGATTATTTTATGATATTCAATGCTACTAATTACAAAGATGCCTGTGCCGTACCTACGTGAAAATAGTTTCCAAGACAAATAATACAACTGTGTCTAGCAAGAGCCACAACTTTGTCAAACATTTTTACATATTTTTGGGTGCTATATTCAATTGCAACGTAACTTTTTGTAGTTTTCATGATGGACAGAGCGTAGCAAGTGTCAAGAAAAAATTCATGGATAATTTCTTGAAACGCGAATCTAAATTGATGTCAAAAGAGTTCAAGCCGATTTTATTGTCTAAAATTTTCCCAGAATATTCTTCAGAGTTGGCAAATCTATGGCCAAAGCACAGAACCGTATGTCACCATTGCGATGTTTCAAAATTTCCACTCCTCTGTAATTCTTGCGAAGAGTATATAAGCCAATTTAATAGCTTGAGATTTGTACAGAATATTCTGCTTACAAAAAAAAAAGTCTAGAAAGTTTTCAAAAAATACGTTGACTAGAATTCCAAAGATGAAGTTAAGTATGACAGGAAGTCTGCAATTTTGGAACAGAGATACGTGGTTTTGCACTTAAGCCATCTTGTCAAAAAATATACCATAGAAAGAAGTCAGCGATGACAACAATCTAGTTACGTGGTTTCTCAGCGCAGGCATTGGAACCCTTGAAAAATCGAAGTTCAAAAATTCTTTGGCTGTCTTGTAATCACCCATCTCTTGATCTTTAAAAAAAATTGAGTAATATAATCACTGGTCTTGCTAAGCACAGTAGAAGATATAATACCTCTTGGAGATGTTCTTTCACAAAGGAAAATAAGTGACAGACGCGGAATCTTTCAAAGATAATCAAGACTTTTAACAATCAGACACTCAAATGACCTTTCAAACGTCTCTTTGAAGTCTGCATTTGAAAATATCAAGATCTGAAAAGCTCATTTTGCAAGATTTATAATCTTGCTCTCAAATTATTTTAGAAAATTAAGGAAATGAAGAATTTCAAAACAGTTTTAGAGCTCCAACAAAAGCAAGATTCCATCGTAACTCTTTTGTACAAATTGGTCTAAGATGTTGAAAATGCAGGATTCTTTTTCTTAAAGTCCGTCAAATATAATTAAAAGAATACCAAGCACTTGGACTCTGTTTATCAGTGTTGCAGCGCAACACAAACTCCTGCTGTTTTGAAATATATGTATGTATCGGAAACCGGACGTTTTATACCAGTTGATTCAATTTGTGCTTTCTCTTTTTGTTAGAAAAAAAAAAAATAGTTCTCAAGTGTTTGAGCTTATTTTATAGCCCAAGAAAACGTTTCCAATTCTTCATTTCATTTAACGAGACTTGTACAATTTTTAGTTCTAAGTTTAAGGATTTGTGGGCTGTGATATTATTACCAAATGATACTCGTCAAATTTTTATTTTACGAGGGGGACTTTCTAAGTGTAGAATAAGTTTTAGGATAGAACTGTGCTCGAAAATTTTTCATTTAACTCCATGAAATGCATGCAGACTGCTGCATAGTTTCCTCAAGCCAGGGATTTCTTTATCAATTACTGAAGTTCTATGTTTAAAGCGCAGTCATATTCATTGGTTTTTCTTTATTTTTATTTTGTCTTTGCGTTTTAGAAACTAAGTAGAAAACGCAAATTCCTATCAAAAACCTTTTGATGACAGATGTAAAGAGCTTTTAAAATATTTTTAACAATCTTTTTGCAAATCTTCCCTGAAATTTGCGTGTCACTTATTCAAGTGAACTTGTCATGCTGAATCGAAAAATATTAGACAAACCCTGGTGAAAATGATTGTTACAATTTAGACTCTAATGTATTCATAGTGACGGTCATTCTCTTGCATTTTTTGTAATGTGAGCATGAAGGATTTATTTCGAATTCGTATTAGCTTATGAAGACATGTACTAGATCAATGATAGTTGACTTTTAGATGGGTAGAGAACAGCATCACATGTTGGGTTTTCACACCTAACAAAATTGACGACAAAATGTCCTCCAGGCTTGCAAGCTTAAATCTCCCACCTCCTAATTGTGAGTCATAATATTTACGCCGCTCCATACCATTAAATATCTTAAAGAAGTAAACCCAATGAAAATCCCTAAGGGGAACAAATTAACTTGCTTGAGGTTAACTGGAGTGCAACATATCTTACCGATCAGGTTAAAAATATCAGCAAATTTTGGCTTTTTAGCCAATTAGAGAACGAGAGCTCCCACGCATGAACCTGAAGTATCATTCTCAAAAGCGGGATTCCTCTCGGGAAAATATTTTCATTCGATATAGTAATCAACCTTTGTATTGAATGCAAAGTTTTTTTCAAGGAGGAATCCTGCTCTCATCTCTCTAAATTAATAAGCCATTTCTTGGTTGAGAATGATTCTTTAAGTTCATGTGCAGGAGATATCACAGGGCCTAAAAGAGGAAATTCGCTGAGATTTTTTACTTAATCGATGTCATACATAGTACGCTAGTTCAACCACACCAAGAATCTGACAATTTACTTTTAACCCCTTGAAAAATTAAGATTTTTAGGTTCGTGTTTCCTCAGGTAAGCTCCAGGGTTATTCATAAATCTTGCACCACTGGAGGGGGGTGGCCATTTGAAATTTTCGAGTTGCACCCCGCCCCCCTCTCCCTGAGGGGGTCAAAAACTGGAAAGTACCTAAAAAAATCCCCTCTCAATATGAGGAAAAACGTCACAAACGGCAAATCTATATCCTAATTAGAACTAAAGTTATGGCCAGTGGTGCGTGACTTTTGAATAACCCTGTATTTTCTTAAGAGTTTTCGAGGCCCATCCTCTTGGAACATGGGTTCACCCCTATTGAAAAAAAAATCACATTATGAAGGAATACCTATTGCTAATTATGACAGCTTTTTTGTAAAAATTTTGTCAAATGATCAATTTATCATTTCAATGTTAAATTAGAATTTTTCCTTTTTATTTTTGACTGCTCAGTTAGTAGATAGTTCCTCCTTATGTAAATTTTATCTTATAGGCTCGCTTGAATGTGAAATGAAGACAAATTATTTTTATTTGTGTAAACAAGAATTGTCTGTTGATGTATTTGTATATTTTCCCTGTTGCATCGATGTTCCTTCTAGTTTAAATAAATCTTCTTGGTTTTCATACTTTTATGTTCTTTTTGGTGATATTGTGCCTACCGCTAAAGGAATAAAGGAACCATCATTTACTTTTGGTTTTAAATAAATAATATTTCCAACTGGATTTGGATTTAGAATGAAATTTAAGATGAGTGACAACAATTAAAAACAACTTTTACAAATGAAACCAAACAAAAATATAATTTGTACAGATAATACTGTGAACACACACATTACTTTACATTAATGAAGAAACAAAATTAGTATATCTTGAGGATTATAATTTAAAACCTGAATGAATCGCAACAACTCCGAAAGTTAGGTTTTCATAGGACACACAACGAAATCCGGCAGATCTGATCATCTTGCTGAAGTCCTCTTGATTAGGAAACTGTCTGATACTTTCAACTAAATATTCATAGGACTTCCAGTCACCTGCAATCACTTGACCCATCACGGGTATGACTTCGAATGAATACCTATCATACAGCCACTGTAAAACTTGGTTGTTAACATGACTGAACTCCAAACATAGAAATCGCCCACCAGGTTTGAGAACTCTGTATGCTTCAGCCAAGGCTCTATCCATGTGTGTCACATTTCTGATGCCAAAAGCAATTGTGTACGCAGTGTAAGAATTATCTTCTATCGGTAACTCTTCAGCATTTGCTAATAACCAACTTATTTGTTCATCCGAGTAGCCAAGCTTCTGGGCTCGCCCTTTCCCAACATTCAACATGTGTTCGTTAATATCACTGATGGTGACGTGGCTTTCAGAGTGTGCATCAGAGTTTCCAGTGTTTTTCAGGTACTTGAGGAATCTAAAGGCAATGTCACCAGTGCCTCCTGCAACATCCAGTAGCCTTGTTCCGGGCACAGGGCCCAGTCTATCTATAAAAATATCCTTCCAAATTCTATGAATCCCAAAACTCATTGCATCATTCATCTTGTCATACGATGAAGCAACCGATTCAAATACTTGATGAACTTTCTCTGTTTTTTCGTTTTCATCGACAACTTCGAAACCAAAGTGCGTTTTGTTACCTTGTGGCGGTGGTTCACTGGCGGCATGCTGAGATAGAAACTTTGGTAAAATTGCACAGTTCAATTTGCGGACTGCTTTCATTGTTGAAGTAAGAACAACTTTTGATGTGTTCATTTTGAGGGATTCAGGAGGAAACACTGTGCTACAATAAAATATTGATGAGTCAAATGTTTATGATTACATAAGCTTTAGTTCATTCACTGAGAATCACTTGAATATCAGGAATTTACGTGAAAAGGGAGAGGCACGATCAAATATCTGATGGATTTGTCTCATTATCAAAAAGAAATGTTACTTTGTGTTGTAGAAATTGTCAGAAAAGTTCATTAGGATATTTTGAACTGATAACAGAATTTGAGGTTATGGAAGGTTATCAATAGTTGACAGTGACAGTGTTGGCAAAGTTATCACCAGGAAACGTTTCTAAAGTGAGAAAATGTTCGTTTTTCAGTCGGTTTCAGCTATAACGATCAAAATTTGGTCCAAATTATATTTGAAGGCGAATTCTCAGCTCAATATTAGCATTCACACTTTTTATGAAATAAATATTTGATTTTGATGCCTTTGACAACAGTGTTCCACGATTTGTTTACAACACAAATCAGTCTCGCCTCTCGCCTCGCCCTCGCCCATGTCTTGCCATCTATTGAGTATTTTCATTGAAGTATTATTAAGTATTTTAGTTAGTAAGCGTTATAAGACAATTATTTCAGGTGCTCACTTAACTCTAGAGTCATTTATACTATCACACTTTGAATTTTGGATCCGGAGCTATGTCAGAGAAGTTCAAGATCAATCGAAATTTAGCAACTGTACTAGACGCTGAAGGGAAGGAAATTAAGGTAAAAACTGAGATAACAAACTCGTTTGCCAGTGTACATCTTCTTTAGAAATATGACCCTTTTGGTCAGAAGTCATCCCAAAGACACAGTCATCCAAGTCAATCGAAAGATGCCCTTAAGTTTCATTAAGTGGTTTTGATGTAGCGAACTTAGAGCATTGTGAAACTAAGCCTCCTCAGACTGTTTGGAGGGTGAGAGAGAGAGAAAATGACTCATGGAAGTTGAACCTCTGGCTTTTTATTGAATTTTTTCACAGCATATTTTGGTGCGTTGTTGGAGTAAACTTTCAGTCAGCATTGGGTACTCAACGCTAATGGATATCTTGTGATCGTTGATTACCCGTTGGGAAACACGTCGTCGGTGGTCTCTGCTGACTAGCTAGACACTCTGATACCGCTTGCACAATTACATTTAGAGGTCAGCTCAACGCTCTCAACTACCTCCGAAGATGGATTAGACATGTTCTGATATCTAAATTAATCGATAATCGTGTTTCGATAGATCAAATTTATTTATATCGATATGCAGATATATCGGAATTAATTAATCGATATCAATCGATATATTTAAGGGGCACGTTCGAAAATGCGTATGAATGCATATCGAAAGGATTCATGGCATTTCACTGATTATTACCTTAAGAGCATGACCATCTGAGGTCCTTAAATCGCCGGTAGGACTGGATCTAGGATTTTTGGGACAGTAGATGTATTTAGAGGCCTTCCCACCCCCCAAGTGCACCTATCTCCTGAGATCAATTCGCGCGTTTTTCAATGGTTTTTTTTCGATCAATAATCAAAAAATATAATCGATAATCGAAATATCGAATTTTCAGATATTGATTATTAAATCGAAATTTTGACTTCCGATGTATCGATTATCGACATCGTAATCGGAACATGTCTATGATGGATGACTTGTTGACTTCCGTTAGGTAAACAGTCCAGGACATCCGGCAATCCAAACGGTGTGGAACAATGCCGAGTATTTGGAATCGGGTAATTCTGTTGCCCAACAGCCCCAAACAGTTTACTTTGACAACGCAGCTTTTATTTGCACTGCAGGAAACAATGGCCAGAGAATGTTTGTGTGGCTTATCTACCCATCTGAAACTCAGATTGCTCTATAATCAGGAGGTCCTTAGTTCGATACCCGGCCAGGCGACTTGAGTTTGACAATCTTAAATAATAGGTGCATAAGGCTGCTTATTGATTAAGGACCAACGGGGATGGAACTTTAACTTAAAGTGCCAGACTATCCTTTCGGGGATATTTGAAGTGTACAAAAACAAAATTAATTGTGATAAAACAAATTTTCAGTTTTTATTAATTATCATGAATGAACTACCTACATTACAAGAACAATTTCTCATTCTCTGTTTGAGATTTATGATGGTGGCCTAGAATTTTGTGCCAAATTAACCATAATTGGACGGAATCAAACAGATAGGAACCAAGCCACATTGGGATCAAACCGAGTAAAAGAGGTTTAAAGTTTGGCTCCTGCATAAGACTCAATGTAAAAGATACGCTTCAAGTGTAATCGCTGCAAAATTTGCGCCAACAAAAACTTTGAATTCTTGGCGATAGATAGCAGAGCAGTGGTTGAGTTCAAAACCACTCATAACTCAATTTTTTCCAAAATGTGGATTGGTTCCTTTCTGCTTAACTCAGTCCAATTAAACCAGAATTTAATTTTCATTGATGGTTATGGTTTTATTAATATGGTCAGGATCTCATCTATGAAGTTGCCGGTGATTGAGAGGCTTTATCTAAAGTCTACCTACAGCTTGCGTAGGTCTGGTCAGAAGACGTTGAAAACATGTAATTCTTAATTAAACCAGATGAACTGTTGGCAATATTCTTTAACAGTTCATGAACGGAACATTTTTTTTTATAGCTACAATGAAAGCAGTAACTCTCAGCAGGTCTATTATTGAAAGTTTAAGGTAGCCAGATTGGGCATCGAAATGTGATATATTGCATGATTCAAATAGGGCTCTGTCTATTCTTGTGCACCAACATAGTTTCTATAATGAGGCCGCTTACCAGCCATCTTGATAAACCTATTCATAGAATTTCAATCTTAGAGGTGCGTTGTTTCTCTCATTTTCCAAATAGTCGTTTCTCTCCATCTGACACCAAATCAGCTCACAAAGATATTCCCTGAGGACATTAATTTTTGTTTTATCTCATTTGACAGGTCCAACCAAGAGAAGATGTGGAACAAGATATCAAACTTCAAGAAATCATCGACCTCCTCGTTGCTGCTGGCTACTTCCGAGCTAGAATCAAAGGTCTATCCGCTTTTGATAAAGTAAGTCTTTCATATTGTCAGGTAAACTTGGAAACTACAACACTTGATTGCACTATTTCAAAGTGTTTGCTGCAATTTCATTGTTTTAGTAACTAATGAGCCATCTTGATTGCTCAAAATTTTCATAAAACATTTTCAGAACAAAGATGCAAAATTTTGGCCTTTTTTGAGAATTTATGCTGAGTAGTGGATCATGATGTGAAAAATACACAGTACTTAGTAGCCTGATTTAACTTTTAGGTACAAGAGGAATACACTTGAAAATGAGTTTAACGAGGTGAAAAGCAACAAGAAAATACAATCAGGATGTCTCAGGCCAGTTGTACACCAATTTTTAAGTAGATTCAAAAACTAAAATGAAAAACTTAAAATACTGGAGTTTGCGCTGATTTGTTCCCTGGTCAGTTGTATGCTCATCTTCCTGTTTTTTAATTTCTTTTTTAAACTTTTGCCTCTAGCTAAGAATGAACATGTAGCTGATCCCAAACATTCTGGTGGTCTTACTTTTATTAGCTTTGTTAAACTTATTTTTTAGTTTACTGCTCTTGTATTTAAATTGGATTTTCTGCAATGTTGCAAACCGAGGTAAGTAGTTCCCGACTATAGCCATTCATACTGTATCAATGGCCACAGAATGTATCAATGATACATTCTGATAATTAAAAATTAAGAAAAGTATAGGAAAAAACTTTAAGTAATCTAGTGAAATCTCCACTGTCCACTAGAACTACATGGATTAGAGAAATCGTTGAGGTGAAATCAAAACTATGTTTTGAATTGGACATAATTGATTGTGATTCAGTTATCATACGCTAGGGTTAGACGATGCTAAGTCAACTGTCATCTTAGCTCACCAGAGACCACTCTTTGCACAACCTCAAAAACTGTATGATTATGCAACTTTTTTATTTTTAATTTCCGTAATATCTCCAAGGAACTCCCTGAAATTATACCTACTTGAATGAACAAGAAACGATAAAATAAGAAGCAATAAGATATGTAATCAAATTTTAATGTTGTCAGTTTCTTTTCTTTTTTTTTTTTGTCTTTCATTTATTTTTTCTTGAAGCAACTGGCAGAAAATGAACATTAATGAAATCTTAGATGTAGATGGGTAGACTTCTTGTCCACCACCAAGTGCTATTGAATCATTCTCTGCGTTTGTTTACAGGTTGTGGGTGGCATTGTTTGGTGCATTGACTCATGTGATGTAGACATAGACGTTGAGCTACTATTTCAAGATGACTTGACAATCGGGCAGAAGATGTAAGTTCTTTCTACATGTTTTTTGTAGTTTGTCTTACCATCTGTCTCATCCTAGCAGTATTGACTGTCAAATTGGACCAGATAAAAAAGTTAAAAAACGAAAAAATGTACCAATGAGGAACCCTTTTTGTTTTTTCTTAAGTGAAATTGGGTGAAATTTACACACAAAAAAAAAATTTGCATCAAAGTCTTAATGAATTCGACTGTCCATGAAGAAAAATTTTCTTTAAGAAACAAAATTTTCCATAGATAGATCTTGTTGAGTGAGGTGGAAAAATTTGATTTTGTAATTTTGACAGAAAATTCTTCTCAGTGTCTTGAAGAATGAATTCAAAGAGATGTAGTTCATTATTTTCCCGTCAGAGAGCGCAAAGTTGTATCATGATAAATTTTTGTGTCCTGATCTTGGCAGATCAGAATTTTGAATAGGTTTTTTTGGCTCCTGCATTCCTCAGACTAGCACTTCCAAATCACGTTAACTCTGGTTTGGTTCAAAATTTTTTGGACGTTTGTCCTAAGGTGCTTTTAAAACAGTTGTCTCTGCTCATGGATCAATAGCTCATTTATGACCTTCAGTTGACTAAGGTCCCTTTTTTGTAGATGGTCACAAATTGTAAAAAGTGAAAATCTATGCAAAATGCAAGGGGAACTGAAAAATACTAATTGAGCAATTCATCTAGGATTTTGGCTGAAGTTTACTAAAATACAATGTCAAAGAATTTTTAGAAGTACAAGGTAATATTTTTTCATTGAAAGGGACAAAAAAGTTTCCTAATTTCTATACTTTTACGGTTTTTCTGAGAGTTTTCCTCCTTAAAATTTAAGATTTTTTAATAAATTTACTCAATACTGCTAAGGCATTCTAAAGCTCTTGCCAAATTACTTTGCCAAATGAAGAGTGGGACTGAAGATCCGTTGTCTACATTTCCCAACAGTGAATAAATGCATGAATCGAGATGGTGGCCTCTCTCTGTAGAGTTATCAACTTATTTGGTGGGAATTCATTGGAATCACCTTTGAGTAATTCCGATAATATAAATATTCTTGTGGCAGTGTAAAATTATTTGATTTTTTTCTTCAGTAATCAATAATTGTAGATGATAAAAATTCAGGTGCGGATTTCCACTCTGAAGATAATTGCAGCTTTTTAAACTGTTGTTTTAATGCTGGCTGTGTGCTTTTGATCTTGACAAATGGAAAAGTGCTACTTAGGTCCATCCAAAATGAGAGCCTGCTGCAGATAATGTTGTGCTCTTTATCATAAGTTCCTCCAAAGTTCATAATTCCTTGTGATTTTACCCCTCAGATCCTTAACCGAAAAAATTGTTGCTGTCCTGCCGAAGATTAAATGCCCTCACAGAATAGAACCGCATCAAATTCAGGGTCTAGATTTTATTCATATTTTTCCAGTTGTACAAGTAAGTAATAATATAAATTCCAAATATCTCATTTTCTTTTCTTTGGTCTTTTCTGGTCCAATCCTTGACTTCATCAACTGAGAAAATCGTTGTTCGTATCCTTAATCCGAGAATAATTTAAGTAATCAAAAGAAAGTTTTTATCGTCTCATCAATCTCAAATATGATGAAATTTGAGGTTTATCACGTTATTTTTTATTAAAAACTTGTCAAAATTTTTCTATGCATCTCCCACAAGAAAGTATGTACCAATTAGATCTTTGATTTTTTTAGCATGAACTAGATTCATATCAAAAGTATTAAAAAAAATAAAAAATGAACTTATGTGCAAAATATTTCCCAGCAATACATTACATTGTAACAATCATTTCTACACTCACTACACACAAACCTACTTAAATATTCTATGATAGTTTCATACTTGATCAGAAAACTATTTAACTTCATAAAAAAAATTTATGGAATAAATTATTGAACAGATGTGAGTGAAGCTCATCCTAATTTTTTTAAAATTTTAGAATTAAAATATTTTCGGGAACATGTAAGTATGTAAGGAAGAAATTACAATTTTGTCAATATATACGTAAACCAGTCAAAAATCAACCTCAAGACGTTTTAATCTTCCATCTTTTTCAGTGGCTTGTCAAACGAGCAATGGAGACTCGGGAGGAACGAAGCGAGTATTTGAAAAACTATGCTGCTAACCAATTTCATAGAGTCTTCCATTTTGCTGAAGGTGAATCTGAGAAGAGCATTCAGAAAGCATCCGTCTCCAATATTCGAAAAATTCAGGTACCAAGACATTTTTACAACACATGTCTTCCGTATCTCATGAAAGTCCCGCTTTTCTTAAGGATGTCCCACTCGAGCAAGTATCGACTTTGTATTGGAGCATTCAAAAGTTTTTGACGTTTACAAAGGTTACTAAGTTCTATATTCTTGAGCTTTTGATATCAAATGATATTTTCTAAAATAGATATACTTCAATATAAAATCATGCATTGAAACACTTGTGAAGTTGAGGGCCTTGCAGGTTCAACAGTTTCATCACTGTCATAAATTTTTTCCGGCTTAATTGCTCCTAGCAGGGTTGCAGCAGTTGGGGAAAATCGAGAGACATCAAGGGATTCAAAAAACTTGGCAAGAATCCGTTAAATGTCATGAAACATGACGAAAGTGTCAGGAAAAAAAAACGCTGAACTAACTTTCTCTTCTCTTGTTGAACTTGTCTGACGTTGCAAATAATAAATGTTGAGTGTTTGGGTTCGGAAGTGACGAATTTTAACCTGTATAACGTCAAATTTCAGGGAAATCAGAGGAATGTCAGGTTTCATTTTCTCAATTTCGTGGCAACCTTGTCTCAGTAATGTAATTTGTTCTCTTCGTGGAAACCTTGTGAACATTTATACATTAATTTTCTCTCAATTTCTCACAGTTAGCAAGTCATTTTTTTTTTTTTAATTTCCTCAGGAAAAACATGGTCCTCAACGAAAATACCTCCGAACAGGAAAACTGCCAGCAGAGCTGATGACTCGTGTTGAAAGTACGCTGTTGGAGTACGGAAATGTTTTAACAACCCAGGTACCACTACAACAGTCATTTTTTATTTTTCTTGATTTTCTAATATTCTTTCTTAGTCTTCTTTAAAAAATTGGATGAGATTCTTGAAAATTACTAGCCTTACCCATAGAAATATATATTTATTTTTTTTTTTAAAAATAAAAATTATTAATCAAAAGTCATTACTAGGACCATCGTTGCTCATTTCTCTGCCAGCAAATGTGTCTAACGTTTTTAGTTTACAATCCTTAAACTTTTAGAAGTGCTTTGTTGCTGTGCCTTAAAAACTTTTTAATACTTTTTGCTCACTTAATAACCATAAGTCTAGGTTGAACGACTTTCTATTTTCCGTTGTAAGTAGTGAGTCCTGCAAAAATTTTATTTTTCCATAGTTTTAATTTTTCATCACTCAAATGATATGTCTCATGTTTGTGTGTGCTTATAGGGCGTTTACTTTTTCTTTTCCAGGGTGGCATCGAAAGTTCCAGTGATAATCAACAAAAACATGAAGTGGTAATCTTTCATTTTCCTCGGTTGAGCACATCAGATTTCATGAGCTACTAATTCTAATAAAAATAACACTTTACTTGACCTAAATTTTTATGACAGTTTGGTATTTATTACTCACAAAGTTCAACCGCACCAATTATTCACTACAAGTCTTTATATTCCATTCTCGTTAGAATACAAATCATAATCAAGTGAGTTTTAAATATTTTTGAAAAAAACTTAAAGCACAAAAACATTAAAAGCCCACATTTTTGCAATCTTTCGTATTTGGTTGTGCGTATCAAATTGTCTGTGTGTGAGTTAATGTATATGGAAAGCTGTCTGGGCAAAAAGATAAAGTACCGTGTAAAAAAAAAAACTTCACTGAACATATTCATTTTCTCCAATTTTATACTTTTTTACCTCCGAATATTTTTATTAAGCACAATTATTGTATTTTTTTTCATCGATTATTTTTTTGCCCGATTATATTGTTTTTTCTCACTGTTATTTTTTCAGAAATAAAAATATATTATCGACACTCCACCGCAACGTTGCCACACAGTCCCATGAATGGCGTTGATGTTTTTGAAACTAAATGTACCTACCTAACCTTAAAAGCTCTTAAATGCCTGTGCCTTGCGTATGTTATTTAAGCTCCTGTAAACCCCTTTGGATCATCAAGTGCTTAAGAAGACGACTCTTCGTTGACTAGAGTTGCTACTAGCCATCTCATAATAGTCTTCTTTTATCTTATTGGACTGTGTGGCAACGTTGCTATGGAATGTTGATAATATATTTTTATTTCTGAAAAAATAATAGTGAGAAAAAAATAATCGGGTAAAAAAAAATAATAGGGTAAAAAAAATAATCTTGCGTAATAAAAATATTCGGAGGTAGAAAAGTATAAAATTAGAGAAAACAAATATGTTCGGTAAAGTTTTTTTTTTACATGGTACTTTATCTTTTTGCCCACATGACTTTCCATAAATGTATGTATATTTTTCTTTTTTTTAATTTTGAGAATAACATTTTTCTTTTTGCTGTCATCCTTTGTAACGACCAACCCATTTGTTTTTTTAACGGTATATTTTGCTTGTGGGAGCTGAATAATTAATTAACTAACTTCTTTCATGTTGTGTGTTTAATACAGGAAAGTAGGAAGGAAATACTGAAATCCCTCACGTCTACAACTGACACGGTGGTAAGTTGTTCTATTATTTGGGCTGTGCAAATATTCGCAATTAAGATTATTCGCTTGACTCTTGCATTACTTGCAAATTGCGAATATTTGCTTCGTAGAGAATAGTGAATTTTCGAACCAACATTTTCGAATATTCGCGCAGTCAAAAATAACGAATTTCCAAATGGCAATCGTGAAACGTCGCGACTACCTGCGAAAAACTTCCATCCAAGACATGGCTAACGGCGGATCTCCTTTGATTATTACCGACTTTGCCGAGTTTACGAACAGCGCGCACAATTGCGATTGGCCTACGTATCTTGGTTACTCCAAGGGTATCATACATTTAAAGCTAAATAACCAAGACGGAAAGAGGAAGAAGTTTATATACACACTTTCATTGAAACTGAAAAAATAAAATACTAAAAATGTGTTTGGTAATCCTTAGATACTAGCTTGACTGCTTGCGCAGTTACCTTCAAATCCTGGGAATGCATACTCAACTGCAAGAGCAGTCAAGCCAACATCCAGGGATCTTCAAACACATTCTTAACAGCCGAGGCTACTATCATGGCATTTCATTGTTTTCTGTGCAGGTGTATGAGCGAATGGAAAATGCTTTTAAAAATTAATCACATTTATTTGTCCACTTTTGTAATATTTGCGAATTTTCGCACTTAAAAAATTCATTTTAAATTATTTGTTTTACTATTCGTAGTTGTGAATAATTTACTTTAATTATTCATTATTCGCGAATAATTGGCAAAATTATTCGCTATTCGCTTCGTTTGAAAAATTCACTATTCGCATAGCCCTATCTATTATGTTTGAAGTCTTCTAAATTTCGAAAATTGTTTTTGCTTCTATAAGAGAAGAGCGTATTGCAAAGTGGCAAGAATTTACAGGATACCTTAAAAGTTTCATATTATATGTACAGTAATGCCCCAGGTATCCGATGATTTGTGATGAGGGTTGTGTTTGTGTTGAATATCGAAAAGGTTAGGTAATCAAAACTACCAACTAAGAAAGTGCTAAGAAAGTGCAGGCTTTGTTCATAACCAGATAGCAGAAGCTCGACCAGCTCTGCTCCATTGCATTTGTAGGACATATTTATTCAGTGAGGTTAAAACACAAAAAACCACTTTTATATTAATATCTTTCCCCGAAAACTGTTTTTTTTGGTGTCAGCCGACTTGTTTTGACAAAAACTCAATTTGACCATGTTGGATATTTGAAACGTCGCATATTCAGGATATCACTGTAAGAGCTTCCTTTTTTTTTATCAGTTTTGTCGCAACAAACAATTTTTCTTTCTTCAATCCGTGTTTTAAGTGGGAGACAATTTAAAAACAGCTCCTGAGAGTGTCCAAGGACCACGTTTTAGATGCATTTGCAATGAGTTCAAAATGAATTGAAATACCCTCGAGTGACTCTTTTGAATTAAAAAATGACTAGGAAAATCCTGCTTTAAGTTTGATCTGTTCTTTAATTTTTGTCTTTAAAAAAATATCAAAACCACTCTTGTCTCTCTAGAATTTGTTTCTTGTAATTTTGGGGAGAAAATCTTTTTTGATTGCTTGTCCTGATAGTTGAACGGTTTAAGTGTATCTGTTGTGTTGTGTTTCAGAGCCGCGTGACCCCAGCAATAGTAGGCAAAATTGTGAGCAATAAAACAAGCGAATTCAGAGAAGCCCAGCTCAAAACAGAGGTTAGCTGCTTCTAAATAATTATTTCTAATTGTACCTACGTAATTTACATATATTGAAGAATTGGCATATAGAGTGTAAAAAGAGCATTACCAGTCATGCAGTGAAGCCTACTGAAAAATTGCCACAACTAATGAGGAAATATTAATTTTCAAGATAAATTTTTCTCATTTGTACAGTTTTACTGAAAGAAGTAGTGGATTTTTAAGGTTATAAAATTTTACTCAGCTCTTTGGTAGTATTGGTTAAAAATCTTAGATAAAAAGGAATGATCCGTTTTCATAGTAAGGTATTACAAATTTTAATCCTGAGACAACTAATTTTCCTCGTTGTAATGAGACAAAGAGTGCTGAGTAAAAGTGTAATGGCTTCAGTCATTTTTGAGTTTACTTTTTTTCTAATATTTTGTGTTATTTTAAATTGATTCATTCTTCAATGATTTGACATTGATTCAAGGATAACATTTTGCATGAAGAATTTTATCCATTGCTTTCAGACTCCTGCCGAGCGAAGGATCAGGCAGCTTAAAGAGAAAGTTTCAAATCTTGGGATGGAAAACAACCAGTTGCAGAAGCACTTAAGTGAAGCTGAAGCAACTTTAAATTCTATTGCGGAGAAAAACGAAGCTTTTAGGAAGACGGAATCCTTCACTGAAGAGGAAAAGCGGTATTGGATTATACAATAATTTTACATATTTCTGCTTGGAGTTATGGAAACTGTGTATAATTGTAATTAAAACTTGTGTATTATAATATTTCATGAAAACTTTGCTGAAATGAATTGCACTATCAGGAAAGGAGAGATTATGATGCATTTCTCTTTGAAGTTTCAAGATTTTGGGAGAGCTCATCGATGTTCATGAATTTTAACTCGAAAATTTTGCTGAACATAAACTGATTTTTCAGGGTTTGCATACCAGAAAATGTAATAGAATGTAATCCTGCAGTCAAGATCTCGAATACATTTTCGCCAAACCAGCGAGCTCGTGGAGCTTTTTTGACTGGAAAATTAGACACTAGTTATCATTTTATAAGGGACGATTGGAGGACACGTCCTAAAGTCCAGAAATTATCATTGATCAATTGACTATTGAATCATTTCTCCAAGTGTGGAAACTCCACCTTAACTGTACAGGTGTTCTTTGTGCCAAAATGATTGTCAAACTCTCTTTTAAGCAGTGGTACAAATGCCTGTTTTTTAGTTTGTTGGTAAAGAGCTCCTTTTTTGTGGATAGTCACTTATATTCTACAATGTGGCAGCAATGAAAATGTAATCGATAATAATAATGTTTGGCATCATGTCATTTTTTCAGGCGGTATGACGAACTGAGTGCATTATTGAAGAAGACTGAAGAATTGAAATCACAAGAAATCAAATTCAAAGAACAGTGCAAGGCGGAGTCAGCAATCCTTCAACAACAAGTCAGGTAATTTTTTAGCATTTGCATGAGCAGAGACAGTCCCTTTTTTAGGAGGTATGCGAACAATCAGACTACTCATGAGCAGCGGTCTATGTGGCTGTCCTTAAAATATATGGACGCATTTCTGTCAAATGAAACTATATATGTGCATTATGACGTGAGCCCTGTTATGCATATATTCTTATGGGTCTCTGAGCTCAGGTCTTGATGCACATAGTTCCGTCTGACAGAATTACGGGCATACAACACTAAAGTTCGGATTTTTCAACCCCTTTTCACGCTTTTGTGAGGTACTTCCTTATTCTCTGTCATGTGAACACAAAATAATGTAATGCTTTCCTCTCCCCTGAAGCATTACATATCTTATTAACTAAGAACGTTTGAAACTGGAACTTAATGGTTGGAAAAAATGTTTTGATAAAAGTTATCTGTTTGCAAAGCCTCAGTACATTTTAAGAGATCTTATCAATTTTTGGTGCAGTTTAACATTAAAAAAATTTGACCCTAACCATGCCAAAAGCTGACTTCAGTACGAAGTCATCGAATTGTGAAGTCGAGTTTTCCATCTTTTTTCAAAATAAAATTGGTGATTGAATCTGTGGCTATGGAAGATTGTGTACCCATCAATGTGATACATTTCTCTACAATTTTAACTTAAAATTATAGGAGAGATTTCCAAATAAAACTGTATTTCTGAGAAATTGTGTATTCATGAAAGTGTATAAAAAATCCAAAGGTCAGGAAGTATGTAGACTACATTATACAGACAATTTTATAAAATTTGCCTATAGTTGCTTTATATTTATTTAATCTGAATTTTTTTTTTTTTTTGAAATTAGTGAAGCAGAAGCAATGGTGGCAGAACTCCAAGATGACTCGCAGGGAATGAAATCGCAGTTGGAGATTTTGGAGGAAAAGGTTAACAGCGCTCGTTTGGAGCTGGGTAAGAAAACACGTGCTGTCTCTGCACTAGAACGCCAGCTGGATCAAGTACCGGAAAATGCAGAGCTGGCGCAGTATCAATTGCGATTCATGGAATTATACAGTTTAGGTAAAAAACACATTTTTTTGATCTGGCACACTTACTTACAGTTTACTTATTTTTGATAAAATTCCATTATCAATGAGGCCTTTTAGTTGAAATACGAGAATTAATAAAGGGAGACAATGAAGAAATAATGTTAAGAACCCTGAATGTATTCGGACTGGTATTATTCATGTATTTCTGGAAAAATGCAATTATTGAAAGATCAATATTTCACAAAAGCTGATGTTGATAACTGAAGTTATAAAATGCGAATCTCCAATCGTGCCGATGCAAGTATCTGCGCATGTTTTCTTTTTTGATAAGAAAACTAATCAATAATTTTTCTTGAAAACTTTCTTACATTTTCTTCAATTACTGAAAATTATTTGCAGACAATTTCAATAAGATATTTTTGATAGTTCTTTCACAAAAAAATAAAATAATGTTTGAAAATTTGAGACATTGCTTTTGAGATATCGATTGTTCAATTTTAGCCATACCTGTTGAATTCACTTCTATATATTCAATAAGTTGCAGGTGTAATAATACGTTAATTTTAACTTGTACGTTTTTTCCAGTTGCTGCTAAACACTTAGAAACGAAACAATTCTACACACGCTATAACGCACTAAATGATACTCACCGCTACTTAAACCGTGAGCTTTCGTTACTGAATTCAATCACCGATAATTTTCAAGTGTGAGTATAGTTTTATTTTAGCAAGTTCATTTGAAAGACCTTATTTTAGCTCTATCTTTATTTGAAGTCCATCATTCTTAATGTTGAATTTCTATCAATAATTGCAGAGTAAAACTGCATTTGAACTGCCAATGACTGGACTTTTTTTGGAGTACGTATAGGAATCCTTTTGAGTAGGCAATAAACATGTTCGCTAGCCATCAAATTGTGAAAAGACGCACGGTATTCTATTTTCTCTTCTCTTCCTCTCATATTTTTCTTTCACCAACCCATTTTCAGGATCCGTTTTTTTATCTCTTCTAATTTATCATAATTTAAGGGAGTAAGCATCTGTGCAATTTTTCATCTATCGTTCTTTTCCCTGGTCTCTGGAACTATTTTTTTTTCCGACTTGACGACGAAGCAAATTTTTTATGCAGCTCCTCTCATGAAGTAATTCTTTGTCAAGCCAACTTATCTTTTCTCTTTCTTTTCTCAGGGCCATGTCCAATTCTTCTGGGAGGGATGAATTTCTGGAGAGCGTTGATAATATAGTGTCAAATTCATTTTTTCCCATTTTTTTTCTCAGGGCGATGTCGAACTCTGCCGCCAAAGATGAATTCTTGGAAAAGCTCGATAAAATAGTCGAAGAGATCCAGTCAAATAAATTTAAGGTAAACCTCCATTTTCTTTTTCTCTCTACAAGCATTTTAACTTCAGTGGTACAAAGACTACTAGAAATCGTAACAGTGTACGTCTTATTCCCAAAAATTGATTCAAAGGAATCTTTTCCTCTTAGGTGTAATTTATCAATGAGTACTTAAAATTTTAGAAAGATAGGAAGTTTGGATGATGAAACTTTTTTAATGTAAGGTCTCAAAACTGAACCTAGTTTATTTCGGCTGATTAATTTGTCGTGCACTCTCATTACTGTTCATAAAGATTGAGGATTCAACAGTTTTTCCGCTTCCTGCCTCTAAAATTTTGCAGGCTCAAAATGACTCTGGGTAATTTTTACTGAAGGTATCTATCTTATTTCCTGGTAATCACTTATTTCCAAACGTCCCCACAACCACAGTGACAAGTTTCTGCAAATTTTAAAATTGTTTAAAGTTTCAAAGTTTGGACCAAAATATTTGCAGACTTCTTTCAGAGCCACTTAAAATTATTTTCTTTTAGAGCCACTCTAAGGCCTTGACTCTGCGTGATGTTTCACAGGATTTTTCCTCAGTAGTTTGAATCGCAAGAATGAAACTTCTGGGTTTCTTTCCCGTTAAAAAACACTTCTTGTTTCACAAAATTACTTCTTGTTTCTAAGTCGTTCCTGGGACTTCACAATTACTCTTAGTTGGTACTGTGATTAGTATTGAGTTAACTAACTCAATATTTTTCCCAACTTCGTAAGTGAGATTTTTTCCTGGGACAAAGCCCATGAAACGTCCTGTGGAGACAAGGCCAAAGATTACAACGAAATAAGAAAATCTTATTCTAGATACCAAAATTCCCTGATTTGTCCCGACTTTTCAGGATTAACTTAAATTCACCGACATTCCTTGAACTTCTCAACCTAACAATTTTTTTTAATCATTTCTGAAGAAGTATCCAATCACAAAATTGTTTTCCTGTCTATACATGAGCTTCCTTTACTTATTCCATTTTTATTTGCAACTCTTAATTTTTCTTGCAGGTGGAGCGACGGAGAAACGATGAGAAATTAAATCGTGATGAATTGAGCGCGGAGCTCTCATCTCTACAGGATAAGCAACGACAATATGTTGCCGCATTGAAACAGCTCAGCGATGAATACAAAAACAGCTGAGACTCTTTTCATCGCACATATCACTGCATTTAGCTCATCAAATCGTTTAATTCTGCCTGTGATAATATGTTAATATGATGATATTTATCAAAGTGTCCTTTATTTATAGACTGACTTTTATTTACTTATACACGATCACTGAATATATAGATTTGTTACTCTCATCTTGGTTCGTTTATTTCGATTTTTGGTTCATGCAGTAGCACCAATGTATAAAAAATTCGATCCATTTTTATTGTGATGAAAAATCGAGCAGCACCAAAATTTTGAATTTCGAAATTGACCCTGAAGGGGCCTATGGAGAGTACCTGGGTAGTTCCAGCACTGAAGAAGGCTGGAAAATTTTGTCTGTTTTGTTCTACAACCAACGGTTTACAAGATATTGCCATTTTTTTGTTTGATTCATTTTCATGGCACTGTGAAGTTTGACCAGCGAGAATTTAGAGGATTCAGCAGCATGGCTGATAGAGTTCGACAGAAATTGACAGGTTTGAACTTACGAAAAGAGGTTTGAAGTTTCAATCCTCCAAAAACTCAATGTAAAGGACAATGTTTAACGATTATTCTTACGTTCAAAATATTTTTTTCAACTCTAATTTTTGACCGGAGAGAATTTACAACTATGTAGTTGAATTAAAAATACTCCTGACTTCTTTTTTCCTAAATGCGACTTTTTGCATTTTTGTGAAACTGTCCAATTTCTCTCTTCACAAAAGCTTTGTAGTAAAAATTTCAAACAATATTCAATGGCTTCATTGTAAACAGAAAACGTAACCTTGTGTAAAAATTCAAAGTTGTGTATCATTGGCGTTAGTTCTTTTTGATTTGGTCTTTAATAAATCATAAATCGATTCATGACCCATTCAACACAAGAAATTTTGAATGCAAGTAAAACTTGAATTGCCGGCCATACTGAAGAAAATACTGTGGTAATAATATAAAGAAAGACAATGGATCATTACATGAGATATGATGTTTATTTTTTTCAAAAATGATTACAAACAAGACATTAGTAAAAAATTTAATGAGCGGCATTTGTTGATACAGGGGGTTTGTCTAATTTAGGTGTAATTGAAGAGAGGGGGAACGATGATTCGCTGGATTTAATCACATAAATCCGTTACAAGCTCAAATGCTGAGAAGGAGGAATAGCATGAGTCTTCTCAGATTGACTTCATGCCTATAATTTAATCGTTTTGAACTCTATACTCAAGCAAAATTTTTGCATGACTTCTGCTGGGTATGTCAATGCGTACGATGCGTTACAACAATTATATGGTCATCTGAATTCAGTGATTAAAAATAAGTGACACTGACATTTGGCTACAGTACACCTGCCTGAATTTGATTGAATTTCTCTCAGATCTTAGTAATTAAGTCGATCACTTAGTCAACTATCACAAGACATTGGTGACTAAATTGATAGGAATCGAGACAAATAGAAGAAATCACAGGAGGGCATAATGAACATTTATGTTGGTCAAATTACTGAATTGTAGTAAGAACTTTTAAACAGGTTTTTCATGTCACTTTGATTATTTTTAATGCTACCATTTGATGACCAGATGACGACATACCTACAGTAATAGCTGTCAATTTTTGGGCTGTTCCTCTTCAAACGTTTAGTTCACGACGATGTCACCTGAAGAGGTGCTAGCCAGCACCTGAGTTGATGAAAATGAGAAATAAGAGGCAAGATTGAAAGGTCTCAAAAGTTGACTAAAAACAAAAAATAAAATGTTCTCTGGTGTTAATGTTTACAAAAACTGGCAGCTGTTGGGTATTGTACTTATATTCTTCCATCCTTTATTCGAGCACACATATTGATGGCAAAACTGAAAAAATGCGTACCTTGGTTGCGGTGTTTCAAAATCTCCATTCCTATTTTGTTTTTCAAAAGAAAACCGAACCTACATCATGACTTGAAATTTTCACAAGATATTCTTCACATAACGAAGTAAAATCACGAAAATTTCAAAGAAATGACGTTGAGAGGTTTTTCATGTGCAGGAAATAAAGTAAGGCAGGAAGTCTGCAACGCTGCGAACCGAGGTACACATTCCTACAGTGTCACCGTGGTTCTTCTGTAATGCGTAGATAAAGACAAAAAATGTTGATGGTGTTGATCTTTCAATATTAATTTCATGAGACTGAAATTATCTTCCGCCTATTGTTTCCGTAACCTCAGGAATGGTAGACGTTGCAGTTTTACATTTGTGATTTGGGATGAGAAAAGACTGATTTGATTTAGATGCATGCTGCTTGGACCTCTTGAACATGAGAAGCTTACAGGGTGATTCATAAGTCCTGCCCCACCCCAAAGACCTGTAAAGTTCTTGTCCCTTTTCAAGGTGATCCTCTTGAAGTTCTGGGAGATTCTATAATTCGTTTCCTTTGTTTAAGGAGTTCTCACAAACTTTCAAGTCTTGATCTCAATGTGTTCAGAAGTTACAATGCTGATGTCAAATGTAGGACTTTTGGACCATCTTATAAAAGAACAACTTAACATTTTAGGATATGGTTTCTGAGAGGACCAGATATATTATGATGAATAAAAAAGTAAGAACTGATGGAAATCGATGGCTAAACCATAAAAACGGATTTCACTCAAAATTTCTAATCCATAGTGTCTTAAGAGAATCAAGCTAATTTTGCCTGAGCAACTTCAGCAGTATTCTTTCTTCACCGAGGAAAAAACGGGGACTTTTAATGAAGAAAAAACAATGAGCACTCTTCTGTTTAAATAATGGAGCAGGAGCAGAAATTTGTAATGTTACAAACTGAAAAACGCATCTTCTGAGATTAGCCATCGTAGAAGCTCCTTTGGGAAGGAATTTATCTAGAAGTAGATGAGATTTTTTGAGAACCAATAATTGGCTCGAGTTTATGAAACAGAAATCAATTCACTTTACGACTAATTAATGCACAAAAGTAATTACTAGCTCATCGAAAAAAAAGGGGAAATAATGGAACTTTCATAAACAGAGCTAGCTGCATCCCTGCATCTACGGGGCATCTGTAGTGGGAGGCACTGCTCTTTCAGTCTCGAAAACTTAAAAAACTCTAGGAGCTATCAGTCATGAGCCAAAGAGGCACTAACTAATCCGAGTGCTCAAATCATCAATTGAATCAAAATGCCAAAATAACGGAAATAATGTGACTACTGAACGAAAACAGGTACGGTTGCTGAACTGAGTTGGCGGCTAACAGAGAGACGAACATCGGAGGTCATTTCACTAAGCTCAGTATTGATTTGTAGGATGAACAAAAAAAAATAAAGACAAAGCCGAAAATAGTAGTTGATCTTTGAAGCCTAACTAAAATAAATCCAATGCAACGGTGAAGTAGCTCAACAACAGTGTTTGTTGAATTCCTTTTAATCGCAAAATTTGAACAAAGATGTAACATAAAACTTCCTGTAATTGTCATCTGTCCCTGTAGATTTGTAAGAATAACTTTCAAAAGCTCAGTTCCTTCCCATGAAGATGAAGAAACAAACGAAATGAATACAAAATTGTGCAAAAGCTTAAATGAATGGTTCCATTCTGCTAGAACTGATAAAAATACGGTTTAAAACGATTCACGACTAAACTTATGTGCTTTTAAAGCTATAAATTCATCTTTAGCGACTAAAATGTAGTGATTTACGATAAAAGAAGCCTTGAATATAAAAATGATAGACCCACAATGTACTTTTAGGTAGAAGGCTTCGTACTTACAGTCTTGAAACTATTTGAGTATGAAAAAGGAAATTAAACAAAAAAACCTGCTAAAGATACACTGAACTTCCAACTTAAAGCTATATTCGTGAAAAACTAGACTTTGATAACAGGTGTATGAATAAATATTTCTGACATTGAGCCAATGCTGTAGTTTCACGCGATCTGTTATTCAACATGTTAATTGAATTGGATACAGCTAATTAAAATTACTGATGATGGTACTTTGCCCTGCAAAGATTCTGTGATGGGAAAATGTAAAAATTACGATTTTCTATTTAATTCCAGATACATTGGATGTTTAGATATGTTTACAAATTTGACTGGTAGATGTAAGAGAAATCAAAGAGTTAGCGACCATCACAAGGTCACTAACAGCCAACTCAGTTCACCGCACGTCTGTAAACAAGACACGATCGAAAAGCAATCATAAATACAAAACAAGAGATCTAACCCTAAACGAGATTATAAATAATAGCAGTTTCAACCCATGAACGAATTATTAACTAAACGCGAGAATCAAAATATAAAACTGTACAAGAGCACGCGTTAGGGGAGTAAAGTGAACCTCCGTTTCAATGAATGATTTACAAAGGCGCAGTCGGACACCGGCCGATTAAACGATGCGTTCATAGAATAATAGATAAGCTTCACATTTGAGAACATCACTCTCAGACACCTGAGTTACGTGCGAGTCACTGATATAGTACCACTGCGGTTCTTGATCCAGTTCTGGACTCGCGCTGTCTCGGCTTCCATTCTGTTCCTTTTCAGTGTCAGCTTCATTGTTTTCTTGAGCCTTGTCCTCCTTCTTTAATGGATTTTTTAGACTCTGGAAAAACTTTAGCCGTTCGTCATCTGGGGTTGGCGGAGACCTTGCCTGCAACATACATCCGAGTGTTAATGAGTAAATGATGCACGACTGAGGATTTAACCATTTATTTCGAACCCTTTTTTTGCAGAGCCTTCAACACTTTTAGACAGGACAAAAATTAGGCCAATAAAAAATTGATATCTTTTGCAGGAGAGCAGAAAATTTTTAGCCTTCAGATTTTTTGAGGTAGGCTTCCCATATTTTAAAGGTGCTCTTAGATTGCTGTTCATATAAGGCTGCTTGCTTCAATATTTTCTTCCCATCTCACACTGTTTCTCTCACTAAAAGTAATACGCTTGGCAATTTTCCTCTGGAGGAGTATTGTGTTGCACACATTGTTTCATTTTCAATGAGGAGTGCTGCCTTCACATTTCAAAACCCCTTTTCGGCGGCCTTCACATTTTGATCGCAACCGACAGCGACCAGATCGGTTATTCGGTCGAGGAAGTTCTGTGCCCCTTATCTTCTGCATTATTTTTTTGATGAAAAAAATGAGAACTATGAAATTTTTACAACTCCATTCATTGTACAAATACTTTTCAACAAAACATTTCTCAGTTTTTTTCTATTTAAGTAAAAATATTTAAAAAACATGACACGGTTATGTTGAGCCTTTTATACCAGAGTAGGAAACTATGAATAACGATGGATACTTGGATTAATTGAGACAAAAATTAAATGATGAGCGCTATTTACCTTAACGTAGGCGATATAGTGGCCACCACCAAGACAACCTGAGTGGACGACGACTCCGTACAGAGAATAAGAGATTTCTTTCTTGCCAGGGGCTCGCCACTCCTACAAAATAAAATGGAAAACATTCACTTCCTTGAAAGAAGGATTGCATGATACTCAAGGAAGGATTCCCTCTTACTGAATATTTTTCACAGATTCAAAAAACTCGAATTTGAAAAACTAGTCGTCAGCTTTGTGGGACATTTTCTTGTGTAGTCAAGTTTTAAACACAACTTTAAGAGCGGAGATTTTGAAACACTGCAACTAAGATACACGCTTGTGCATTTCAGTCATCCATTTTCAAACAATGTGTTACTCATCAACCTACTTATGAATGATGTGACAAGCGGATATTTTCACATACTTCAGTTTTAATAAACCAAAGAAAACATACGAGTATTTTTCTTGATTTTTACTGATTTCATGGTTCTGGTCACCATTACTGAGAAAATTAAAAACATGTGTGCAGTCAATAATCAAAATGCAATCAGAATGCAAACTGACTTAATGGACCACTGAACAAGCTGTGAATGTGAGCATCATGATAAATTTTTTCATCTTCTACGTGGAGCATGATTTGTATGATGAAAATACAGAAAGAAAATCCTAAAAAAAAATAACGTTTTTTGATGCATAAATTCAAACTTTCCACTCATAAAAAAAAAAACAAACAAAAACAAAAATAACCAAAAAAAAACTGTTATTCACTCAAGTTGAATTGCACACTAAGCGTTGCGGTGACAATCTATAGTGGCCCATTATTAGCATCATTTTTGGGATAAGATTTAGAATTTAAGGTGGATTTCAAGAGCATATCGAGGTAACAAAAATTACTAGGTTTGAGAGACTCAGACAAATGGATGGGCTCATGGGTACAAGCAAAATTGCGAACACACCATAGAGAAAGCGATACCCCTCAATTAAGTGTACCTTCTAATGCTGGAAGGCAAAAAAGCCAGCTGAAACTTAAGAGACCAAAATAAGTGGTCGTTTGTGTAGATGGACTTACCTTACGACACTTCTCGGAGCAGTATGGATCAATGTCCAGGATCAGCGGGAATGAGACAAATCGATGGATTTTCTGGAACGACGTGTACATCACTTGGAAACGTTTTAAGTGAAGGATCAACACTGCTGGCGGACTTCGGATCAGGAATTGTTTGCTGGCATTAGAGTAGATGGCCTTCTCTGTTTTTCCTGGACAAAAATTACCAAAGTGTACACTCAGCAGATGCGGAAATTTTGGTTTGATGTGACATCTTATCTAAGATTCTGAAATTCCCTCACTTTCCTGTGGCTTTTCAAGGTTTTAGGATGTAAAATTTCCTGATTTTTGGACAACTTCTAATGTTTTTTTTTTGGGCTCAATGCTTCATGAAAATGATTTCACATAAATGATTTACTGCAAAGTTACTTTGGGAAAATTCAAAATTTGAGAATTTGAAGTTCTTAAAGAGACTAAAACTGACTGATTTGACTGTTAATTTTTGACTCCAGAGCATGTAGGTGCTGTACAAAATGATTGAAAATTTTGGCTGGGCAAAAAGATTTTAAGGCTCCTAGGTAAAATCCCCTAACTTTTCACGTTGGGCAAAACTCTTCGATTTTTTCAAGTTGACTCTTTGAGAACTTCTCACCCTGGATTCTGACATAAAATTTCTCCTAAGGAGGCAGTTGTTGCTAATAACCACGTTAATAATATATCTGCCTGAACTATTGGTGGCTAGATTTTCAGTGCTTAGATGAGAGAATACATATTTTCCTTGTTTGCCGTTTTTATAAAACTACACATGCTCATTTCACAAAATTGATTAACAGAAGTGATTCCGGTTCTTGTGAGGAAACGTCTATCTAGAGAAAGAGAAGCAATTTCGATCCCTCAGGTCATTCAGAGACACTAACGAGGGGAACTTCCCAAGTTGCCGCCTCCGATCGAGTTGAAAAAATTCGTGCAAACTCTTTGAATGAATCTTTTAGACCCAGGTTTTTGTGTTTGTTCCATTGGGCCCCAGAAACACACCCCAAAAATTCTGAAAAGTCCGGTTTTGAACTTGCATTGATAGTGACACCCAGTGTGCGCCGGAAGAGCTGGGCCAGGCGAAGTAGTGCTCCTTTCGCCTCGAGTTATGGGGCGAGCGCTCTACCGCAGAGCTACCGCCTGCTGTTGGAAATTATCACTGCTAAACTGTGTATAAAGACTCGAGCGCCCCTTTGTCTTGCCCAACCCTCCCGGCACTGCATCACTGGGTGCTCAAACAAGACTTCAAGATTTTTTTGGAATGTTTCCAGGGCCCATTGGATAAAACAAAAAAAACACGGATCTAATGAATTCATCCAAAGACTTCATACAAATGTTTTCAGCCCGATCGGAGGCAGCAATTCGGGAAGTTCCCTTTGTAAATCATTAAGTATTAATTTAAATTCTATTATTAGTAAAAATTACTTCATCTTCACATTCAGGAGTAAATGCAAAAGAAAAGTAAGGATGAAAGAACTTCTAAACTTATTCATCAGAAAAATGTTCATTCTTTTAACTCCTTTCAGCTGCGATTAAATCAGTAATTTTACTGGCTGAAAATCTACCTAATGGAACTTTTTGCCTCGAAAGTTTCTAACAGTTTTAAGCTCATAGTAAGAATTATTTGGGTTTTGCTCACATCCAGTGCATGACTAAAATTAACTAACAAAATACTTAAAAAAGGCTAACCTTTATTTTGTACTTTGGCGCAATTTTCGCAGCTGACCTTGTTGCCTCCGCTCAATGTTTCCAGCGCAGTGAACTGATTCAAACAAGATGTTACTGAAAGCTCTGTGTCATTGTACTGGAAGCGTGAATATGTCATGAAGTTAGAGGGTCCCACAATGCTGTCTTCTTCCTCCTCTTCTTCAGACTCGGGAGGATTACTGACCGGTGATTCGACATTGCTGTTGTTCAAAGGAGCGTCATTGCTATTTTCATTGGAGTCCTCCCGAAGCCCATTATCCTCCGGCAAAGGCGAACCTCCCACTCGCGAGGTCAAAGTCCTATCATGGTCATTATTGTTATCATACTCACTGTTCCCGGGCAAGTCAAATGAATCAATGGGCGGTTGATCGTAATTCTCACGGAATTCACTAATTGAGTCTAGCTGGTCGTGGTTTTTGTAAAATTCATTAGATGGCTCCGACATGTAGCTGTTGGTATAAGCCGCACTGAAATCAAGGTTCGATAGCTTCGACTTGACCGAGTTGGCGTCAACTCCGGTAGTGTGGAGGTCATCAAAGCCGCTTGGAGAGCCGGGACTCGCATTGGCGCATATTGAGTCAGGGCTCCCGCATCCTGCGGTAGATTCCAAAGGTATCGGACTAATTTGGACTGATAGGCTCACACCATTTTCAAACGGATTTACTGAGCTGTCAGGCGAATATTCCGAATTTAAACTATTGTCTGTGACACTGCACATGTTCTCTGGGGTGTTAGGTGTTGGAATTGGGCTGACACGGGTTGAGCCAGGCTTCTCGGAGCTGTAGCCACTTTCACCATCCGCTTTTTTGCTATCTTCGTTATCTTCTAATTCAGCACTATCACTTTCCTCTGAAATTCATAAATACAATCATCAGCATGAGTAGACAAGAACAAAACTATCTAAGGTGTGTGAATTTTGATCAATTTTTATAGTATGTATCTTTAGAGTATTAATAGCCCTAACTTTCTAGATTGCAACGTACAACAGCTACATAAAAAACAATCTGATAGGTAATTTGAGAAATAGGACTGACTAAATTTCATGAATTCATTTGGTGATTTTGTTGCACATAATATCCTTTGACTATTCCCAGATTTTTTTAAGATTGGTAAAAGAAAAAGAGCTTTTCAATAAAATTGATTGATGCTACGCCCCTAAAATTGAGAACTTAGGATCCACAAAGAACAGACTTTGACTGACTCTTTATTTTCCTTCATCTGTAAATTGACATTTATTTTGTCATGACATTTTTAAGAGTGATGAAAGTTAATGATTCTGAGAGTGTAGAAAAAAAATTACAATTGCAGCGTAAAATATTCCCCCAAAATTTTCGAGTTGAGTAAATTTTTCTGTCATTTCCAGGTGTTCTTGACTTCTCAAGAGTTTATCATCCCGAAAAATGAGTGAACACATCATTAGTGGCAAAAAAAAAAAAAATTCTCTGGAAAATTTTAGCACTGAGAATTTTTATTTGATCAAATTAAAAACTTTGACCCAATTCCAAGATTACTTAAATGAATGTCGACGCTGGCCCTTCCCTACCAGCCAAAAAAAATATTATTCCCCCAGAGAAAGGGCTTTCTTTTGTGGGCGCTAAACCTAGCTACATACGGCAATGATGCTTTGGCCAGAAAATAAATAAAATTACAGACGATTTAAAAGGAGGCAACTACGTTCGCCATCTCTGACCCGCTCTCTCACGTTTCACGTTTTCTCTTCAAGCCTCCAAATCTACCTAGTGAACAAAATCCTTTGGGGCAAATACTGGCTGTTTCAGTTATTTCTAAAGTGGACTAAAATCATTGATTCATCAATCAATTCGAAAACCGCGGAAAACCCAATTTTAAACCACAAATTTTTTTGAAATGTTTGGTTTTTTCCAGTTTCGTGTGTACACCCCCCCCCCCCTTAAACAATGACGATATTTTACGGAAAATCGGCGGGAAATACCCGGTGAGCACTTAATCAGTAAAACTGCGCAGCGGTAGTGATGAGCACCCGGCAGGGGTTGCAATCGTACTGATGAGTGATGACACTGTTTATGTAGCTCCTCAATCACCCTGTTTACTTGAGGAAACATGTGCGCTTCGGAAGTCCCCAATCCCGCCATATCGGAAAATGACCTTTGCGCTGGCATCAACGTACAATACGCGGGTGAAGACAAGCATGCTTTCTCCCCAGCCCAGCGGTGTTGCCAGGCGCGCGGAAATTCCCGTGCATTCTTTAAATCAAGTTTGATTTGCATGGTAAAGTTCGAATGCGGACCAAAGATTTCTTTCGTAAAAGCGAATATTCGTTATACCAAAATTCGTTATATGGAATTTATTTTACAATGAAAAGATAGGGATTTTTTCGAGACCGCAAAAAAATTTGTTAATTCGAAGAATTCGTTATATCAACATTTGTTATATCAAAGTTTTACTGTAATGAGAACCAAGAAAATTTTTGGAAAGATTTGACAAAGCCATACCTTGCTTTTTAGGGCTGCGCGAGTCTCCTTGGCCATTCTCTGGTGACAACTGGGAGAAATATTTCGAGTGTTGAGCAGCAGCTACTTGTTTTCGCTTCAAGCGTTGGTTTTTGCTGGATAAACGGTTGTTGCGATGTTCCACAGCTTTCTTCATTGGCTGCAATGAATGTGTGCAACCAAACATTAATTAGGGTAGAATTTTCTCTTAAAGAAACTTTGGGGCACATGGTGGGTAGGTCAGACAAATAGGAAACAAATTTTAATCAGATCTCTTGCTTAGCGTGTTTGACATCAACAAGGCTCACACATTTGTTTCTGTGCAGTTAGGAAGGAACGCGAAGAAAATGACAAACAGAAAAAAAATAAACCTTAGGTTTGGACACAAACACAGTTACTTAGTTTGATATTGGTTCTACCGCAATAAAGACGAACATTGTATGAGCATTTGAATGTTGCCAAATTTCCTCTTAGAAAATACTTATTTTTGAGGAAAGTTATAGATATTATTCCTGAAAATCTTCAACACTTTAAATCAAATTACAAGTAAAATTTTCTAAAAAATTGGAAGAAAAATATTCCTAATTACTCGTTATTTGCCGAAGGAAATTTGGCATCGTACATTGGCAGAAGGCTAATACAGTGTTTTTCCTAAGCACGGCAGAGTTGGCCTGTGTCATTTATTTACCAGTTGCTGTCACTTTGCTAGTATTAGCCTTGTGAGTCTGACTTGGCAAAGAGGGTTTCGGAGGTTCAAGCGTGTTGATACTTTTAAGTAGCATGTTCAAATGGTGTTAACAACTGGGTAAATGGAGTTCAGATAGGATTTGAGTACTGCAAAAATGCACATGTCATGCTGAGAAAAGCTTTAAAAGACCACAACTTATCATTTTTCCTTTCACAAAGAGAAGAAAAGGATGATAGAAACGTTTACGACAGTTATGATCCAGATCATTACCTTGTCTCCAGTGATAGGGAGGCTGAGATCCAAGAACCTTTCCTCTGTTTGAGACACATGGTTACATGATTTACACGTTAAGGTGCTAACTAGAGTGCCTTTGAAGAGGTGCTCTGGGCGCAGTGTAACTGTGTCCGTGATTCGCGTATTCATTTTCTTAATTGCTTCCTTCTGCTTTTCATCTAGCTCGTTTGGGTTCACTTTAGATGTTAGTCCATTGTGAGCGAAAATCTGCTTTTGATACCTCTGTCAGAAAAGAAAAAAAAATTGTGATTTGCGATGGACAAAAAATTGTAACAAATATAAAGTTATCACGGAAGACTAATCAGGGTGTCTAGTTTTTTTTCATTTTGGGAAATCCTGATTTTTCCTGACTTTGACTGCTAAATCTTGATTTCATAATTTTTCCAAATCCTGATATTTTGCGAACAAAAATTAAAATTTCTACATTAGCGTATGCGAAAGCAGTCCGATCGGATGGTCAACTTTTCTCAAATCCTGATTTTACGACGGATTTTTTCTCAAATCCTGATGAAATCAGGCAAATCGGAAAAATCCTGATGCTAGACACCCTGCTAATAGACAGATACAGTAAAACTTTGATATGACGAACGTCAATAAAACGAATTCTTCGAATTGACGAATTTTTTTCTTGGTCCCAAAAAAATCCCTATCTTTTCAATGTAAAATAAATTCTATTTATCGAATTTCGGCATAACGAATATTTGCTTTTACGAAGGAAATCTTCGGTCCGAGTACAAACTTTACCATGTAAATCGAACACAATTTGACGAATGCACGGGAATTTCCGCACGCCCGGCAACTCTGCGGGGGAGAAAGCATGCTTGTCTTTACCCGCGTTTTGTACCTCGGTGTTGGTGCAAAGGTCATTTTCCGATACGGCGGGATTGGGAATTTCCGAGGCGCACATGTTTCCTCGAATAAACACCCCGAATAAGGAGCTACGTGAACAGTGTCATCAGTACGATTTCAACCCCTGCCGTGTGCTCCTCACTACCGCTCCGCAGTTTTACTGATCAAGAGCTAAATGGGTGTTCCCCACCGATTTTCCGTAAAATATCGTCATAGTCTAAGAGGGGGAGGGGAGGGGTGTACACGAAACTAGAAAAAACCGAACATTTCAAAAAAATTTGTGGCCTATAATCGGGTTTTCCGCGGTTTTCGATTTAACAAATTTTTTCGCCAGTCCCCAGAAATTCGTTATATCAAAGTTTTACTGTAGTTACATTCTGGACAACCTGCCAGGCAAGATAACAATGGAGAAGAACGTTTGTTGGTCTGATAACGAATATTTTTCTGTTTTTCAATGTGACTTTTCTTTTGACAATTGGCTGCAAAGTTTTCATGCAAAAAGCAAACGCAGCATTCAAATAATTTCAATGAAAGCTTAGAGCTTTGCCTTATAAATTCAGATCACAACCAGGCTTGCTGCAAACTAGAAGAGAAAGTGAATTTTAGATAGGAACTGTATGAGAACAAAACAAAGATTACTAATAACTTACCTTCAGATCTTCCACTCTTACACATTCCAACAGATGCCTGAGCAATTCATGGGAATCGTGTTGATCAAACCCCTGGAACTGAGGACACTTGACCCGTAAAGAATCTAGAAGTTTGCGAGGGGCAAAAGAGCCTGCAGTGCCAGGAGTGGTTATTTCGTGTAACGTATTCGCCAAAGCCTCAGTTATAGGTCCCCATTTGCCAAGGACAAGTTTCTAAAAAGTTAAAAACAAACACCCTCTTATTAACGATCAACAAACATCTTGGAGCCTTCATTGACATTTCTTTTTATGACTTTAATAACCTATCTCAATAATGTTAGAATTCTTGAAAAGTGGATTGGGTTTGACTGAGGGTGACGGTGTCACCATGCAAAGCAGTGTTAACTGCCACAACTGGAGAAAAGTAAACAACTGCCAACTCTGATCATAATTCAAGTGCTTTGCAATACAGTGCTCCTCAAACGGCACACAGTGTATCAAGTTAATGGGAGAGGCCGGACAAAATTTGGAAACTTAACACGCATATAATGAGTTTATATAAAATTTTGAGGTTCTAAAAGTGGTACCATTGGTTTCCTCGTGAAATTTCCTTCTACAAACACCCGTTGAAATTTAAAATGTGACAAAATAAACATGAAAATTTGCAATTTTAATAAAAAATGTCATGTCTGAGCTCTCTAATTGACTCGATCCACTGTAAGGCACTCCTCAACAGTTGCATTAACACCACTAAAGAGGGAAGGCAGCGCACCCTCCGAAACATCGCCCAGACAAATAATTAGCTAAGAAAAGATTGAGTTTTTAAATTTTACCCATTTTATTCTTAATTTAAGTGTTTTTCCTTACTTTTTAGCCTTATTCTCAGTATCATTTTAATACACTATGTCTAAGTTTTTGACTTTTTTGACAAAGAATCTTTTCAAATATCTCTAAGGATACATTGCCCATAATTGAGATAATTTTTTGCGCCAGAAGAGGGTGTAAAATTGCATCAAGATCTAAAACTTCAATGGTGAAACTATAGAAATGCACATCTCGTTGCGGACTTCCTGTCATACTTGATTTTCTACATGGAGAACTTCTAACATTAACCTGATGAGAACTTTGGTGATTTTCCTTTCCTATGTGAAAATATATTCTGTCAACATTTCAAGCCATTATGTTAGTTTCACCTCCTTTAAAAAAATCAAATTGTAGCAGAGATTTGGAGACGTGGCAACCGAGATACCCATTTTTGCAGTTTCACCATCAAATGAGGGTGGCAGATTAAAACTTCAAATAAATTTTCCCACATCTTCATTTTTGAAACAGCAACCGCAATTTGATTCGGTATTTTGGACGCTAGGTATGTTTAAAAAACTTTTCTCTAAGTTGTACCACCAATATCTTGGTTTTGATTTTTAAAGCACTGGCTTCCGTTCTACTATGGACAGTACTTAAGTTTTCACAGGAGTAATGTCCAATATATACAAGAATATATTTGAGAGAAGCAGAATTGACTTACAACCCGCTCTTCTCCCTCTCTTTCGGGCAGGATGACCTCCTCATCTGGCTCCTGGATCTCTCTCAGAAGCTCCTCCAGAAACGGAGTCTGCGCAAGGCACTGTAGAACGGAGTTGAAAAAACACGTGTTGCCTAGATTTGAAAGACCCTGGAAATTAAGGAGAACAACAAATTTCAACATTATCACCTTCATTCGGAAAAAAAATAATTTTTTACTGAATTGCCTACTAGGCAAGTCAATAATGACCATTTTATGGTCATCTCAGGTCAAAACAGTCCTTCAGTTTTTTTCTCCGTCATGTTTTCAAGGCACAACACCTTGCTGAGGGTGCTATCTACAAGTCTGCCACAGAACTACTCATGAGTGAAGATCATGTCATTGATCCAAGCGAAGCAGCATTAACACCACATTCATTTCAGGTCATCGTTGATTACGACAGTCAAAGTGTCCCATTTTTTTGGCAAAAATTCTTAGCCTTTTACACAGACTTCTTGAGTTTTGAACTTTTGAAAGTAAGAATTCATCAAATTCCGAACTTTCCTGGAATACTCGTCTCCAAATGCTTCTCATACGTTTGAACTATAGAAGCTTGAAAAATTCTGTTTTTTGAGATACGCAGTAAATTTTAGGCTCAATATTAGTGCCAAGGTTAGAGAACAGTATGTTTACCATTGTATGATACACATTGGTACGGTAAATTATTTCCTACAAAGACTAAGAATTATTTTGTCTAACAAGGGGAACTTCCCAAGCTGCCGCCTCCGAGCAGGCTGAAAAAATTTGTAAAAACTCTTGGAATGAATCCATTAGGACAATTTTTTTGTTTCTTCCAATGCGCCCTAGAAAAAACAAAAAAAAACATGGTCCTAATGGATTCATTCAAAGAGTTCGTACGAATTTTTTTAGCCCGATGGGAGGCGGCAGCTCGGGAAGTTCCCCTTAGAAGCTTGGCAAACGAACCAGAGTTTCGATACAAGTAAGATTATTTGACCATTTGCCTGCGACACATTCACTTCACTGAGAAAAAGTTGAACAACGAAAGATGACTCACTCTGACTCGCATCTTGTGGCCAAATGGTCGAGATTTTGTACTACAAAATGCTGAGCTGCTTAATTTTTTCTTCTGTGAGTTGGAACTCGAGTCCTCCTCTAAGATGTTACTTGCGTCCTTTGCACCGTTTGAATTGACTAAGGCTTTTTCTGAAAGAAAAGAGTCAAGTATTTAGCTCTCACTGATGGGAAAAATTGAAAAACCAAAAATGAAATTGAACTGAACGTAAGTTTATCTGAGAAAGAATATGAGCCTTGGAATCTGGACTTAGCAACGGTAATGCTCTATGAACTATAAATGTGAGACTTTCAATATAATCAATGCAATGTGTTCGATAAATTTGTTCTGCAATGAGATATTTTCAAGAGGAGACAAGGGGTCATCAATTTTAAAATCTGCCCTCTCACCTTTGTGATGTTACCGTCTCTGAAGCACCCCTCAAGCAACCAGTGCAAATGTATCACTGATGAAAATAAGGTAAAAGAAACCAAGGTGTGCACTTTGGCTCCGGACGATGACATACGCTCAGTTTCTCGATGATCAGTATTTCCGTTGGTATTAGTAGTAGAAACAGGGCGTCTGAACAGATCTCTTGTTTAGTGCGTATTTGAAAGCTTAGACTATCAAGAAACAATTTTGTGGAAACTTTTGTAGGGGACAGTCGCAAGAACAATTTTATAGAAAATGATAAAAATCGCGAACTCACTTGCGCTATGTTAATTCAGTTGGGACGCGTTTCAGGGTCGAGATGGCTGCCGGCTGATGATGGGGCCATCTTGACCCCGAAACGCGTCCCGACTGAATTAACATAGCGCAAGCGAGTTTGCGATTTTTATCATTTTTTAAAAAACAATTCTGTGACTGGCACAATTGACCCATTCTCCATTACAAAATTGTTTTTTCCTATTCTTTTCCAAAATTTTCGTTCTAATGATGATTAAATCTTGGATGAGAAAGAAAACTGAACTATACGGAAACATTCTCCATATTCATAAAATTCTCCAACACTTTTGGGTAAACTTTGTTACGTCAATATTTTCTTGTTTCGGAGCTGTGTGGACTGTGGACACCCTGAGGGTAAAAAGTACCTAAAAAAAATGTATTTATGGGGAGGGGTTTACCTTGCTTTACAGATAGCTTAGATATTCTAGTCTTGAGAGAAACGACAAGCTCAGGTAACTTCTTATCAGCGTGTTGGTCTAATTCTTCATTACACCTGAAACAGCTGCAACAGAAGTTCCATGATTAGAGGCAAATTATTATTGAAATAAAGGACAAAACCCCAAGCCGGGTAAAATGGTAAAACTATCCAGAAAATAAAGGCTGGGCTCCCCATCATAGGGTTTTACTTTTTTCTAATTTCCAAATTTTCTGTGTTCACCCTGTATTTTCTCTCCAAATTCAGTTCCTTTGGTTTTTCCCTCCGGTGGTAGAAACTTTATCATGTGCGATAAGAGGGATAGAGGGATCCCTGTTACTTGGGTGGGTGTATTTTAGTAATGATGAGAATGAGCAACATAGCTGTTTGACAAACTTGAGGAGTTAAACATTAAACCATACCTCGAATCACTTTTCATTTATCAAAAACAAAATGATTTCTTCTTTGCATAGTCGTTTGTGTGCCCTCTGTGAGGTCACCTCTGATCCGTACCTGAGAGGGAGGAAGCAATACCTGTACCATCAAGGTCAGGTTTTCTCTGCTTCGATGTGTAGGTTTTTTTTTTTTTCTTCATAAAATTTTTTTTGTCACAAAACAAACTAAACCACTAGCAACATTGAGTTTAAAGTCAAATGGGCATGTGCGATTACAGACTCAAATACTGATTTTTTAAGCAGAATCACAAACATTGTACTTCAGAGATGATAGCCTTCAGAAACAAAGGTATTTTTCTCTGTGGCGCTCACATTTCATATTTCAAAGCTCTATGAGGATTAGAGAGTAAATGTCAATTACACATTCAGCAAATTCTACTTGTCGGTGCATCAGTAAAAACTAATGACCAATAAGGACGATGTATGTGAGAAGCTCTTACCGTAAAGTCCAATCATTCATATGCAGCCCAATAAAATGTGGCTCGCTTCTTGCTGCAGCATAGTGCTGAGGAGCATGATTCTTTCCACTATCATCACAGGCAAATTGTCCACATTTCAAGCACATGTACAACTGAAAATTATGAAATGAAATAGATGAGTATGTGCTAAGCTTGGAAAAATCATTTTACTTCATTTAAACTCTGCGTTACAGCAATGCATTCAGGGCTGCATTACGATTTTACAGCAATGCATTCAGGGCTGCATTACGATTTTAGAGCAATACATTCAGGGCTGCATTACGATTTTACAGCAATGCATTCAGGGCTGCATTACAATTGCAAGAATAAGCGTGTGTATGTTCACGGTTGCAAGCAGGAAAAAACACTGGCAACGCAGGAATCTTGGTTAGTGATGATTCAATCTTGTCACATTTCGGTGTTTTTTCGCAAGATTTATTGGCTTGGAGAGGATAGCAATGCAAAAATGCACTGACAGAGAGGAAGCTAATATTACTTTTCTTTCCCAGTGAGAGCGTTTAGTGATAGGTAAACGGCTCTGACTAATTTATCCATCTCTAAGTCAAACAATGAGTACATCTGTATGAGAGCTTTATCTCATTATCTCAAAAGAATCATCTATTGGGATTTTTCCTTTGGCACTTAGAAATTCGTGATTCATTCTATGCAATTAGTGTGCATAGAAATAGAATAACACTGAAATAGTCTTACCCCAGCCTCAGGATTCGGTGAGCTACCTTCTGCTTTGCACTGTTTACACTGTCTCCCCAGCAGATTTTCTCTGGCAAACCGTTCCCTTGTAAGCATAGGATAATTTATACCCTTCGTAAGAACAGGTTTCTTACCGCAGTGCTGGCATGCATCTAAAATGAAAAAATAAGGAAATATAGTTGAAAACTTAAATGAAAGATAATAAATTTGGTCACCACTGCAGAGGTGCATGGGTGGATTAGACCTTTCTAAGTCATTTTTTATTACTATTAATGGCTTGAAAAGAATTTTCTTCCGAGAGTTCCATCCTTCCCCTTAAAAAGTGTTGAACCCAACGAATAGATACGGCCCTTCAGAGGAATAAGCTGAGATAATGGCACTGAGCTGCCTATTTTTGCGGTATGGTAGTAAAACTTTAATAGAAAATATAACTGTTTGAATTTTAGGCATATTTCATTATTCACAAGGCATCCACAGTCTTAAATTTGAAATGGGTGCACCTGTGGAGAGAATCAAAAAGTGTATTGCTCTACTGTGTGAAATATTTCCTAAAAAATTTAAACTTTTGAAAGATGACACACTGCTCAAGGAATTTTTCTTTGTCTTCTAAAGAATTTTTGCCATGTTTTCTGGAAGAAACTTCCAGCAGACATGGCGATGCCCTTGAAAACAAAATAAATATATCAGGAGTTTTGAGACACTACGACTGAAATAAATATTTTCCATATTCGACAGTCCTGCAGAGAGACCCACATTCACTGAAAGATGCATCATGGTGCCTAGAATTATTGAATTTTCTCATTTCTTGATATGTCCTGATTTTCAAGGATAAATTAACCAATGAGACATCTCGATTTAATCTCATTTTTTTCTACATTCTCATAGGAAAAACAATGTTTTCATCCAAAGATCAGGACGAAAAAATAAACTTTTTTTGTCTTCTAACTGATTTTTTGCAGCCGAGACAACATGGATCACCAATTGCAAAAATCATTTAGTTTCCGAGTGGCAAGTAAAAATTCCAGATTTTTAGCACCCATACACTGGCGAATTTTGGTATTCCTTTGTTTTCCTAGGCTGTAGAGGCTATTTATAGGGTGATCATGTTGACCATAAATTTCAGATGGTTACGTCACTGAGTGATATAAGAATGGCTAGAGATATGTAGATACTAACGAATACTTACTTTCATTACTCTTTGGACTTCCCTTAGAATCATCAGAGTCAATGTTACCATTGGTGCAGGGACTCCCCTGTCTCCGACGAGCCATTGAGTTGACAGCTAAGCACAGAGCAGACAGAGGATATTATGTTCATATTACAACAGTATACATGGAATACAAGCAAAGATAATACAATTTTGTTGTAATTCATAGGCTGAGATCCTACAGCAAGATCAGTGCCACTCAGCTCAGACTGCAATAAATAGCACAATTTGTTACAAAATGTGTTACATCTTAGACTAAAAAAGATTAACTACATTTTAACGAGGCAAAATTTCCATTCACAATTTCTTTTAATACCTACTTAGGAAGATTCACATATTTTGAACTGAAAATTTAATTGATTTTTTCCCAGGTTACCGGCACAAATTAGAACATTTTTGAGAGAAATTGTGCTGGTAAAAAAGTTAAGATTCTGTTTGATCAGGAAACCGCAAATTGATTTGATGTGTTCTTAAATATTAATTCTTTTCTTTTACACAAAATATTTATTATATGGACACACAATTTATAGGTCAACTGACTCACAAAATTAAGCACTTAGGAATGTCAGTTAAAAGAAGAAAAAAAAAAAGAATTTCAGAAAAATCTCTTGGTACTGCACTTATCATTCAGTATTGAAATAATTCATTTTGATTTACTCAAGGATTAGAATATTTTGTGTGAGGACCTTTAGGTTTCAACAATGGTAAGTAGTGGCCTACAATTTTGCAAGAAAAAAAGTTTGTATGGCTGAGATAAACGTAGAAAAGATGAAATTAACCAAGTTCACGCTTTTAGGCCCCTCAAAAATTCATATATCAGCCTGTGCTTTGGGCAGTTGTTGTTTACACACACAGGTCGGACCAATTCAATATCTCGATTGAGCAACATACTTAGAGCCACAAAGCAAAAGTGTATATCATTTCCAGTACGCTGAAAAATGCCAGAATCCAATGATTGGAGACCCTCCAACAACATACTGACAATGATGGAAAAGTGGTTGGAGCTAAATTGCTTTGAGTTGCTGTTTCAAAATGGAGCTATCCTAACCTAATTTTAATCTATTTGTCAGAAATGAGATTTGTGATGAAAATTCCACGGCACTCCATACAACTAATGAGCCTGATTTATTTCTTAGCCCAAGGTGTCTTTGGAACCATCTGCAAATCATCAGCTGTCTGATGCGCACTAGTTGATTCTTTCAGCAAGTATATCTGCGACTTATGACTTGGAATTCACACATCAATAGTGTTCGTTTTTGAATACTATGACTTAAACTCACATGATGCCCTAACTGCAGTAAAAATCTCAACTCAATGTTGGGAAACCTCCACCTGTTATAAGGAAATAAATTAATGGGGAAAATTGACCTATCAGACACAAAAAATCTACCAATGAATGGAGAAAGATCCAATTCTAAAAATGAAGGCTTACTTAAGTCCTACATAAAGTTAAGTAGTGTTGACAAGAGTTTGGATGCAGTTTACCCTAGATGACTTGCTCTTCTCTGTTTTACGAGGGGAGAAAGACTAAACTGACCAATTGACGAGAATTTTGGAATTTAAGATGAGAGATCTTGACAGATCATATGCAAATCATTTCAAAGCATAGGTTCAGCATTTGTACTACGGGTCTAAAAAGGGAACATAGTCTAGAAATAGGCTGCAAAAATTTCCGACCTACTCAACAGGCTTTCATACCAACCTTAGATATGCAGTCAGAACGTGGAAACACATGATTGCGGGGCCTGATTCAAAGATGAGTAAAATCTGTTAGTTCCCAAGAGATCACTCAAATTTGCACTACTTGATAACAAAACAGGAACTTAAAACTTGACCTTCATAAAGGCAGATTAGTCATCAGCACTTATCAGATCTAAATGAGCAATAATCACAGAACCATTAAATCATAGAGTCAGGGAGGGTTGATTGACTGCAGTAGCTGAAGTTTGAAGAAAGTTAAAAATGATGCAGTTCAACAAACATTTCACAAAAACCTCGCAACTGTCAGACGGGACACCTCAGTCTAAACAGGCCGGGTAGTTTGGTCAGAAGTCCTAACCTAACTAGGTACGATGAAAAGTTGGAGGCTACTTCACGTTAACTAAACCTCAACTGACAATATTTCTGACCTAAATATTTCACGACAATCCTAATTGCTCTAAGAATAGATTGAGGGAACTAGGATATGTAACCTCAAAATTCACAACGCATGCAAAGGGATGAAATTAGGGCTGATTTGGAGAGGCATGAAAGGGTTCGAGTTCCTGATTTTACTTGGAATAAAGAACAATACTTACTGCGAGAATATCAATGCAGTTCCTGTTATTATGCTCGATGAGACTTTACATCGCACGAACAAACTCTAGTGAAACTTTCCACGATAAAGTGAAAAATGGAATATCCGAGAACCGCGGACTCCACGAAGCAAAACCTAAACCACGGCACAGATCCGAATCCGCGAGATATCCCGAGATGTGACATGGGAAGTGAAAGAAAATGAAATAGTGACGTGACGGTTCCGCCATGAATGAAAAAAATCATGACCAAGATTTTATGTGATATTGCATTGCAGAGCTGTCTATCCGACAAAGGAGGAAGTAAAAGGGGTAAAAGCTCGAACAATGAAATTATATTTCAATGATTAGCGTTATTCTTTTTCAATGGTTTTGAGAATTTCCTTAATTGTAAGTAAAAATGAATTATTTCTGATCTGGATTCATTTGAGGGTAAATTTCTTACGAATTTGCGATAAAAAGTGGTGAATTACCGCGCTTAATTTAGTATTAAAAATGAACGCTAGCGCTGCTGATAGTGCCGTTTTTTGAAACATGTGCATAATCAAAGTCTTTTGAAACTGATGAGCCCGAGTATTCTTTACTCCATGCCATAACCAAACAAAGATTACCTAAGATATCTTGTCTCTGGATATCTCCGAAGGCATGCAAGTTTTTTTATTTATGCAAGAAATTAGAACATAATTTGAAGTGATAAGTAATTAAAAATTGTTTATAATTGTGAATTTTGTGATTTTTTTAAACTTTAGCTGTTCTGCCTGAGCATCTAGTGACGAGGTTGACATTTGGGCTTTCGATTATTCGTTGAATGAACAGAAATAAATAAATTGTGTCATTGTTTTCGTAACAATATCTAAGTGGGTTAAGGTGTATCTACAGCTGCGTGAAGTAAGAAATTTCTCCGCGCAGGGGGCGCCACCGCTGTGTTTTAGAGTCCGTACAGCACCACGTGAGTCCTTGAGCTTTTATAAAAGTTGAAGGAATTTCTGTTTAAATCGAAGATAAATAAGTTCTAGCTATAACATTCTTCTTCCTATTGACCCTAAAAACAACGTGAAAAGTCATTTCTAAAGCTCTGCAATTTGATCCCAGAAAAAAGTAGGGTTAAGCATGATGACCTTGATGCAACCAATCGCGTTTGATCGCTCTCAGCAGTTGGCAGATATCTCTCTCCCACCGTGAGCTGTCTCTCTCGCACTTACAGATATCCCGTAAGAGAAACTGGGATCAATTTACAGCTTTTATCATTAGACTTTCAAAGCTCGCGTTTGTTTCTAAGGATTCCAGACGTATGCTGCTAGAACTTATGAGTCTTAGAATTTAAGATACCTATTGTGATATTTAAATAATCACTGATTTCGGAGTCGGATTTTAGCAGCGCGACGTGGTGGATGTTTTCGGAACTACAGCTGAAGATTAACCTTAAGTTACTCAAGGTTTGACTGGCATGGCAGTTTTATCAAAAGTTTGACATGTAAGGCAATAAATTGTTTTGTTTTGGTCACATGAATACTTGAATTTCTCAAGAATTTGTTCACATTTTTCTATCAAGTGCTCTCTATATCAGAATACCAGTGAATGCCTCAAGTGCTTTTCATCTATGCGTCAGTTCCTCTCATATGTTGACAATTTAAGAAGTTCCACAACGGCCATCTGAAGTTGATAAGTGAATACCTGATAAAACAATGGGCTCCAAAATAGAATATGTTGAGTCAAGCCAGATGTATGCCACCAACTATGTGAGAAATTCCAAAGCAATTGGAATGTTGTGGGGTGTCTTTACAATTTGTTATGCCATAATTAATGTAGTTGCTTTCTTCTCTCCGGAATACATTGGGGCCACTCTTGACTCGGAAAATCCAGCACACTTTGGGCTGTGGCAGAGCTGTTACTTTGGAAATAGTTTCAACGGTGGTGAAGAATGTCTAGGTCGGCTAAGCGATTTTTCAACGATTCCTAGTTCTGCGTTCAAGGCAGCAACTGCAGTCGGAGCAGTCTCTGCTGCGACTGCACTACTTGCAATTTGCTGTATGCTCTTGTTCTTCTTCTTTCAATCAACCACAGTATTTTACATCTGTGGACTTCTGCAAGTTGTCTCAGGTTAGTTGATGTCATTTTATCTGACCCAAGTCCTTAAATTTAATCGCAAACCAAATGAGAGGATGCGTACTTAGAAAATATTCTGATTCCTGTGAAAGATATTCTTTTGCAGCATCTCGTTGTGGTGGGCTAATCACAATTTCTGCCAGCCAACAAGTCACACCTAGGATATTGTCGTTGCAGTGTTTGTTTTATTTTCGCAAGGCTTTTGCTTTGATTTTAGTGCAGTCTTGGATAATTGAATCCCTTAGTTTAGTAACAACCCAAAGCGGGTTTCTTACGATGAGCATTTTTTTGCATGGGAACACTCATTTTCTGGCTGTTACACAGTTTTTATCGTCACCTGAATAATTTCATTTTCAGAGATTGTTCATTTTTGAAGTGAGAGATTTAGTTGTGAGCCTAGCCCAAGGAATAGTGAAAAGCTGGTGGGGGGATAAATAGAGGGATCAGACTCTTGGACTTCTCTTAGAATAGGGAAATAATCTAACTCAATGTGGTGTGGCAAATTCTCTTTAGAAATTTCTGCTCCATTCTTTAATCCCTAATTCGTAAATCAATGAAGGAAATCGAAATGTCTACTCATCTTTTCCTCTTATTTATGAAATGATTTACCAAAGTAACAACTATTTTGCTAAAGTACCTACGCTAAAATTCTCAAAGTAATTAATAATTTTTCTAATAACTCGTAAATAATATCTCTGGAATATCCTTGTTTTACCTTTTTCAGCGGTGTGTTTGGTTTCATCCGTAAGTGTCTATCCATTTGGCTGGGATTCTCCTCATATCAAGAGGACCTGTGGACCTCAGGCTGGCCGATTTGAACGAGGTGACTGCGAAATCCGATGGGCTTACCTTCTAGCCATTATCGGCTGTCTAGACGCTGTTATTTTGGCAGTGCTAGCCTTCATTTTGGCCTCAAAACATGTCAAACTCCAACCTGAACCTGTTTATGGAATGAATGGTTCAGTTTATAAAGGTAACATTGGTTCAATTGCACACTAATTTATGATAATTTTTTGATCCAAGTATAATCTCTCAATCTTTGAGAGGCCGTTGTGGTAGAGGAAAGCATTTTAAACAAAAAATTCAACTTTGGAAAAATTCCTCTCTTGTCATGGAAAAATTGATTCATGATGATTTTGGTCTGAACGCACAGGCTGATCATTTTTCGTCCTCATGCTGTATAAGCAATATTGGTCAGTTAGTTTGGGCTTGCGCAAGCTCAAAAAGGAGGCTCTGAGCTTATCTTGCATGGGAGAGAGAGGGATAAAGCGCAATTTTACACAAGCCTCTCATTCAAAAAAAAAAAAAAATTCTTAACTTGCTTTACTAACATTCTTACTTTTGAGGACCATCGCATATTTAAAAGGAGATTTTTGATGCCAGTTATATCCACTTGCCAATTTATCATAAATAGCAAGTTGAGGACATGGTTGGCAGCAAGCGGTCCTTGCTCTGAATTTTCCAAACTTTTCTTTGTTTTTTCAACATATGTTCTTCCTTTCTGTGCAGGTGAAGTGAACAATGGATTTATGGGAGACGCCCACTCAGTAGCTGGGTCTCGTAAATCGCTAAACCTCCATCCTGTTATGCTTATCCCGCAACCAGATGCACACGGTCATCCTGACCACTACTCGGAATTCTCGAATCGCACAGGAAGATCTAAGTCATCAGCTTATAGAGCTGAGTATGCCTCCAGCATGCAGAACTTTCAACTTTGATTGTGGCCGTTCATGTAAAAATAGTTTCTTTTCGAACTTGGAATTTTGAATCTCAACCAAATTATAAGACTTCTGAAATTAAAAATGACCCCTGAGGAAACTCCATAGAGATAGTGGCGTCAAATTTCTTTGGGGAGAGACATGGGGCTGAGCTCTGAAAGTATACGGTTTTCCACTCAGATGAAGAGGAAAGCGTCAATAATATGAATGAAGAGCTGCATCATTCAACATCAAAAGTGGTTCCTGTGTCCAAAAAAGTCCAATTAATTACTTTATCAATAGATTTATGTATCATTTCATTAAAGTCTCGTCCAGAATTTTTCATGGCAAATTTTTTTGGGAAGTTAGCTAAATGATCAAAATATTTAAAAAACTAGTAGAGCCATTAATAATTACTCAATTTCCAATACACTGCGTACCCATAATTGTACTCAAGTGTAAAACTTCATAAGTTCTGTTGACGCTGGACAGAGTCTCTCAAGGATTCTGAGGGCCACCTTCATTTTTTATTTAAGAGTATACTCTTTTTTTCTTCTTTTTTTTTAAAAAATAAAAAATGCATTGCAACTTTGCACTTGAAACATTCTACCTGTATCTTTTGCATTGTTTTTGTATTAAATTACTTTTCTCATCTGAGTTTTCCAAACGTACAAAATTCAGAGTAATGTTATCTGAATGCTGTATGTTATTTTTATTGTGATCCTCTATTGTAGAGGCAATACAGCGACCCTTTTTTCAAATATAAATCATAAATACTGTGACAAATGCTCAAACAACTTATATTCTTGAAGAAAAAAGTGTACGCAGGGGTGCAGAAAAAGTGCAAGCATGCCAACTGGGGCTGGCGCGTGGCAGCAGGAAATTCAAGAGAATTTGAGGAAATTTTCTAATGAAAGGAGGCTTTTTTTGGTTTTAGTGAAAAGTGATCTAAAACCATGAGAGCATGCTGCCTTCTGAATTTTTTTCTTTTTTAAGTCCTTTTGACAAATTTGTAGATGATAAAATGTTGAGGTTGAGATTGCTAATAATATTTGCTCCAAAAAACTTTCTGCACACCTGAATGTTTGCTAATTTCTATCAGTGGTGTAACTAGAAAACCCTGTATTTAGGTTTGCCACATTGTAAATTGTTTGTTACTTTCTATTTTTGACCATAGCTTTCATCTCCTACTTAATTTATATATTTTTTTTACACCCAAATTCTATAAATATTTCATGCTAGTTTTTTCTTGGAAAAATAATATGAAAGCGCACATTTTTGAACGCTGAAGTAAAATTTAAGGGTTTTCTAGTTCACCATTAATATATTGTCCTCTTTCAGAGAAGTTTATGGAAGAGAGATGCTGATATTTTTTACGATGTCCTTTTAAGGCTTTTTTATGTCTTTGTACTTAATGCTTGTATTTTTTTAAGTAAACTGTTCAATATTTTTGTATGAAATTTGTTTCAACGTTTGTGTGAGTGATTTTGACGAATCTCTGTGATAAAAAAGTCTTCCAATAGAAAGCCATTATATTCCATGAGAAAAAACAGAAGAAGGATGAATTTTAGCGCAATTTAAAAAATGTCAATTTTCAAAGACTTGGTTGCAATTTTAAAGTGGTCAAGATAATGTATTGACAGTGAAATTGCAAAAATGCATATCTTGGTTTGCAACAGCACAGACTTCCTGTCTTAATTTATTTTCTTAATGGATTAGTGCTTAACGTCAAACCTTGAAAACCTTCATGATTTTTTTTCCCGATTTGAAGAATATCCTAAAAATAACAAGCCATAGTGTCGGTTTGTTTCATGTATTGAAGTGATGACGGACATTTTGAAACGGCTGCAATCAAGGTACGAAGTTTCACTGTCGATGAGCTTTAAATCGTGACTAAATGATTTTATCGTAAGATAACATGGAAAAGTAACGTTTTGTTGTCAAAGAGAGTGAATGATCTTAACTTAATGCTTTAGTTTTAGTTTTAAATTACATCAGCTGCTGGGATGAAAAATGATCAAATTTTATGGAATTATATGTTTATCCATTGCATATTCAAATTGCCATTACCGGTAGGTTTTTGCATAAATGAAACACCAGACCGGTTTAATTCATCTCCATCCAGCCAATTAGAGGCACCGTTTTCCCTACGTTAGTCTTGCTTAAAGTGGACTGAAATTGCTTTGAATCCAAACGGCCTGTTGATGCAATCTCTTTTTTAATGTTAAAACATGAACAAAATATTGTCCTTCAATTGTTCTGTTTGTAACTCTATGAAACCGTCCATTTTTTCTTGCTGATTTTAATAATTTTTCTCTTTTGAATACAATGATATTTCTCTTCTACTACTTAAGTTCTATTTTTTTTCAATCTCTGTGCATTGTGGTTAATTTTTTCTTTTTTTGAGCAATTTGCAATACATGATGTTCTTGGAATCAAATATTTGTTTTTTTCTGCAACTATCAAGGTTATCAAAAATTACCAGTTCAAAACACAACAAGCTAATTGTCCAGGTAAAATCCGGTAGCAAATGCGTCCTGCCTTAGGACCTACCTTCTGTCTTAGATGGTGCTCTGTTGATACAAGTTTCAGGAAGTAAATGCCTTTTTAGGTGCTATTCCACTAATGTAAAATTTAGAAAGCAAATTGATGCAAACAAAGGTTTGGCTACACAGCACTGTTTGGAACCTGTCTGAAGGTGCCTCTTTGGCTAGATAAACCCTCTTCCCAAGTCCACCCATAATATAGAAAAAAAACTATCAAGTTTTCAACTAACATAAGTTGAGGGACAGGAGAATGAAAAATGAGCAACAGATAGGACAGATTTGTTGAAATAAAAATATACTTTAGAATGAAAAAAGACCAATAATCAATAAATATATAGAAAAATAACTGTAGAGAAAAAAAAGGAGGTGTTTGCATTTCGGGCATCTTGGAATTTTTTGATGACTTGATGACGTAGGTGGGTACAGCGACGTTTAGCTAAATATGAAAAACGAACCATAATGTCCGATTTTTTTACTTAAATCAACTCATTATATAATTTCAAGCACTTTTTATAGAATGACTTTTTTCCTTAAATTACATCATTTCCAAGAAAATCGACAGGATAAAAATGTCGCCTGTACCCACCTACGTCATCAAGTCATCAAAAAATTCCAAGATGCCCGAAATGCAAACACCTCCTTTTCTTTCTCTATGAAAAATAACAACTGTTATTACAAAAATAAAAAATGTATTTACAATCTATGTATCAAAAATGAGTTTATAATAAAGAAAAAAAATAACTATATTCTATCATAAACGTAATTAACTATAAGCTTTTGGACAAAGTTGCGTAAATGCATTTTATAGGAGAAATTAGTTTATCGCAAAAAGAGTTTATACTGTGGCTCTTAGTTGTACATTTTTATCATGATTTGAGATGAAAACAGAAAAAAGGAACCAGACAGATGCTAAAGTGGAAGCAGTGAGCACTTTGTGAGCTTTTTCTTGAAGGTACAGGTTTTCTATCGGAAGAAGAAAAATTTGAAAAATTAAAGGAGATAGTGACCGAATTGAGTCCGGCAGCAATTTTGAGCTTCCTTTGGTACTTGGAAAAAAAATAAGTTCACGGTATTACTATTCTTGATGAGGAGGTGCAAGCAATATAAGCAAAATCAAACGTACTTTGAAAACATATCCTTAGCTTCTCAAGTTTTCAACTGGCTTTTTAGCTTCAGATCATCAATACAATTGCTACACCTCATATCTGAAAATGTTCATTTTCATTTAAAAAAAAAGAAAGAATAAAGAAAGAAAAAAAAATGCGTAATCTGTATTCCCAAGTAATTAAAAGTATTTTTACTTCAACATGATTAGGCCTTCAGGAGCACAGTCAAAATCTTGTTGAGAGTTATGCGCTTCAAACTTTAAACTGAACTGAAATTTGTTAAATTGATACTTCAATTCATTTAAAAATCCACCATCCTACAAACTTTTGCGTTCATTGCGTTATGAATCAAGTCTGGTTCCCTCTGCTTAGTAATTCAAGCTTTTTTTCATGTTTTCTTTGACTCTAAGAGCCATATATCTGAGCATTTAAACACAGCAAGAAAATATATTGCACAGGCCATGCATCAGACAGTCTGAATTCCTTACAAAAAAATTACCTAAAAGAATGCAAAACAATTAACAATAATGAAATAATAAATGCAACATTTAATTTATCAGAATGGCGTCCTAACCTTTCTCAAAGCTGGAAGCGCACATTCTACCTACTTAAAAATACCACAGCTTCAGAGAACCCTCTTGACCAAACCTCACATTTTCCCAACATTACATCATAAAATACAAGTAAATAAGAAAAATATAAAAAATGTATAAACACTAAAGAAAAGGCACCAATAATACGAGAAAATAAAGCTGAAGAAGACAATTAGAACTAAACCCTTCTAAAGTCGGTACAGATAGTTCAACCTTACTGCGAATATTATACAGGGTAGCAAGTAGGAAATGATATACAAAGCGATGGACAAGGAGGACAAAAGGAAAATGGTACGATCCTATTGGTTGAAGCGGGTGGTCATTATATACTATGAAAGGAAGTGATGGACTAACTATTGTCAATTGCCCTTAATTAGTCTATTACTTACTTCCTTTGTACAACGCAACCACTGTTTTTCCACTGATAGGAATGCTTCTTTTCCTTTTTGTCTTCTTTGTCTATCAATTACAAAAATCAGTCTGCAGGAGTTTCAGATCACTCCTATAACTTCAGAGGAAATTAAAGCTGGGTAGAAGTTGGATTCTGAATCAAAACTGAGTCAAACTCAAACTTTCTGACTGTGGATGTTCAAAAAAAAAAAAAAAAAAAAAAAATAGGAATTTACGGCTCAAAAAAATGGAAATACCAATCCAATCTCCTTATTGATTTGTTCAGAAGTTATAAGAATGTCTGATCATTTCTGGATAATCCCACATTACAAATTACAATCATATACGAATATAAACGATAATATCTATCTTGCTAGAAGTGCACAGAACAACTTAAAATTATTTTTGTACACACAAATTAACGCCATGCGTTCGGAGTAATGAGGATTTCCATTTTAATCTCTCTTATCCCTGAGTTTTTGTTTGCAAAGTCTGAAACGCTGAGTTCATAACAATTACATTATGCTAATATAAAATAGAAACTACATAAAAACAAGTACTTTCGGCATATTTTTCAATTATTCTCAGCCAAAAAAAAATTCACTTGAAAATATTCCTTTCATACCATTCTTATGGAGAGAAATCAGCTCATATCTTAAAAATGCAGCTTAGGCTTAGATAGTTATTGTGCCTTCAAAGCACCATGACTGAATTTAAAATCTTTTCAAATTTTGCCGAAATATGAAGGGCTAAAGAAGATAGAAAGAAAATTTAATGATGGTAGAAACAGACAATAATCAGACAATAATGGAAAAAACTTATTCCTTGGAACTATTTGAATAAATGACATTCTATTAATACCGTTTCAAGTATGTAAGGCACTTAGAAAAAGGCTCATTTTTCTGTATCAGTTTTACTTTTTTGGAGGTTAAGCCAGAGTATAAGAGAAAATTCAAAAATATTTGACATATATAAGTGTTTCAAAAATAGTTTGCTATGAAAAACTTCAAAGTTTTATTTTAAAACATTGAAAATTCTGGAGGATGGGAAGATATGAGTTTCATAGTATGCGTACATTACAAGACTAAGAATGTATATTATGCTCATTTGAAAGGGTCAATAAAACTACAGGCTAAATGGTAAGAAGGAGGAAACTGACCATGAAGAAATTAGGCGTCGACAACATGAAAATAGATTGTTGAAGGAAATTTCATGAAAGAATTGAAGAATTTTTTTAAAAAAAGTAAAAGAAAAAAGAAATTATCTAAATGATAACAAAATTTAAAAAACTTTTTTTCAAATTAAGGCCACTTTTCATTCAACTTTTGCATGCTCGATTATTTGATAAAACAGCTAAACAATCTGAGTAAAGAACACTTATTTATGGCACAGCTGATTGTTTTTTATCAAAATTTTCCATTTTTTCACTACAGACAGACCGAACCCAAAAATAAAATGAAAGCAAGGCAAGCTCCTTATTTAGAGCTTTATCTATAAGCGGTCTCCTCTGAAATCTAATGTGAGTTCGCAGGCCCTACATAGAAAAAATTTTGAAACCTTAAATCGAGAATTTCAAACATTCAGAATCATTAAATTTGGGGTTATTAAAAATGATTTCTTTTGTAGTTGACAAAGTGGAAAAAAAATAACCTGTTACGTTATTTCATACTTGTTTGACAGAACAAAAATAATAAAAAAAACAAAATTACCAAAATAGTAATTAAAAACTAATTCTGATTAAATCTGAATAAAGCTTTTCCACTCATTATTTGAAAAAAGGGTTACATCTATGAGAAGAATTAGATAAGAAAATCATTGGTGTTCATTTCGATGGAAATGAATCTAATAAAAATAATATCAACAAAAAAGTGATTAAAAAAATAATAGAAAAGGGAGAAGCCCGTCATTGGGCAATGAAATTAAGTGCACTTGGGCTCTAACCGACACTTGGGTCATCTTGCCTTTATAACAGGTTCAACAATTCAAAAAATTCTGTGTAAAATCAGAAAAAAAAGGTTATTTAACTTAAAAAAACCTACTACGTAACAATCTAACAAAAACACCCTGAAAGGCAAGGAGGTTAAACTATTTATTATTGAGACGGTTTCTTATTCATACTTTTGCTCGCAAGAGAGATTTTTGGAGATTAAAAAATAAAAGAAAGGAAGGAAAAAAAATAAAAAAAATATAGTAATTATGGCAGAGTAAGTGCTTTGGGGTACTAGCACCTGAAAATAAAATATAAAGATCAGACTGAAGATCTTGGATTTTTGCACTGAGTATAGTTACAATGACCTAGAGAGGTCAACTGAGAACCCTTGGGGGAATGGACAAAGGCTTACTCCTATATTCAGGGTTACCACAGTAGTTAGAAGATGAAAATACCTGACATTTCCCTGATTTCCCAGCCACATTTTTGTAAAATTCCCTGACGATTGGGGATATTCTGGGTGGTGAGAAAGACACTATTTGAAATAGTTTTCGCGCAAAATTTCTTGTTTGAAGGGTGATTTGAAAATTTTTGCTTGACTTTTTAGTCATTTTTCTTGACATTTTTTTGAATTCCCTGATGATGGCAACCCAGTATTTTAAACTCTAGAGTTTAGAGAAAAAAGGTGACAGGAGCATGGCATGCTGAAACTACGAGAATTTTGTTTTGCCTCCTGAGATCAGTTTCAATTCGAATTTTATTTTGTTTTCAGACTATAACGGGTCAAGATTCTTCTTCAGAATGAATAAATTAAATAATGAACGTATGATAAATTACGATTGCCTGAAGGTGCCAATAAAAGGCTATTCAATGATCCACATTTTCAGAATACTGTAATCTTCAAGTAGAAAATGGAGTTAAATGACCAGAATTTAAAACGCGTAAAATCTTATTCTCATTCACAATATGGTTCTCCCTGCAAAGAGCTGCTTTTCCACCGAACCCTTAAACCTATCTTAAAATTAAAGTTAGGAAGGAGATGAGTAGCACCAAAAATGAATTTAAAACCAAAGGTCTCCTGCCATATCTTCCTCTTGTTTGACAACGGTCGATTGGGTTTCTGGCGATGCGTTCCCATGATGGGCTTCATCCTCCGATTCACTGACCTGCAGGTCATCTTGAATGTGTTCCGATTTCATCCTCATCGCCTCCGAGGTCCGACCTGATTCTGCATCCTGATCAACATAGTAATCCATTCTATGGTCGTCTGCTGGTGTTTCCTGCACCTCCATTTGGTTGTTTTGCCGCGCTCTCAAAAAGTCTGATGGGTCGTAGTTGGGATCGACATCCATAGTCTCTTCTGAAAATGGAAAAACATTATTTAACTTTGTTCCGACTTTATTTTAGTGGTAGATCTCATCTAAGCCTAAACTTAGGTGCCCATGGACCAGTAGACAAGGTATGGATTTAAGCATTTTGATACATGTTTCTTAACCAGCTTTCTCAGAGAAAACGCGCAACGAAAATTATTAAAATCAACTTCTAAATAAGTTTTAAGCGTTTTCATCTTACATTGGTTACAGAAAAATTGAATTCCCCGCTCAAAAGAAATACAGGACTTTGCGTTAGTCAAATTGTACACTGCAACGGTTTCTCAATCGAGCATTGTTCCTTTCTCCCCCTGAGTTACTCAAAGTTTAAACAACTTAATAAGGCTGAGCCAAAACATCAGGATTGAGGTTGTCAAATTTTCATATTGCAGAGATTGCCACGGTAATAATAATGTGTGAGTTGACTGAAGTACATTACTGTTTTTTCCATGAGCGGGAAGCTTGAATTTATGCCAAGCGAAGAGTTATTAACTGGTTAGGAGTTAGATTCGGTAATTTTTGTTGTGCGAATCGTGTTTTACGTGAAATTTTGGGTAAGAAACATGTATCGGAATGCTTAAATTTGTATATTGTCTACTGGTGGTACTGGTCCATTTTCTCAATGGCAGAAGGAGAATATTATTTTTTGTTATTCTTACATCTGCTCAGTAGTAGTGGTGCAATTTGATCCATGTCTTTTGGAAACAATGAATCTCAGTAGCAATGTTAAAAAAATGTCTGCAAGGAATCGCATACATTTTTGTAACATTGCAACTAAGTTTTTGCACTCATCATCTGAACATAGATTTTTAGGGTTAAGTCCCCTTTAATAGCTATCAGAGAAGCATTGATAATTTTTTGTCTTTTAAATTTCAACCTTTGAGAAAACCGAGTTTTTGATGATGTCATCAATTTTTCACTGCACCTTATTAACTTGCAACCCTACCGAAGAAAAGATGAAATTAACTTATTTGAAAATTATTTTCCCTGAAAATTGCCATCCCTGACAGCAATATTTTTTTGCCAGAAATCTCCTTACATCTATTGCATTACCTGAACTTCAAAATTTAATCTTAATGAATGATAAGTTGATTCTTCAGAGAGAATTTTTTGCTCTATGAGGGATTCTCCTATGAAATATCAACACACGGGTGTGCGGAAGTTGATACTTTCTCCATTCACTTACATGAATAACTCATTACCTCGATTGCTAAAGTCTCTGATGATTATTGCCCAGGCGTTTGAACCTTGTGCAGCTGAGGTAATAAATTACAGTGTTCAGTATGTGATTGGATATTTAACTCTTGGTAAGATTAAATATTTGACTTTCGCAAACTTGCTTCTCCCCCATTAGGACAGAAATATAAGCTCACCATCGATATGCTGAGGACCTGAACTGGGGCCAGAAACAGAGGGCTCGCCCTGATTTGAAAAATAAGCGATGTTTCCCAACTGCATCATTGCCTCAGCCACCTGGTGACTGTCATCATCCGCATTTATCCCTTGCCCTTCAACTTCTTCTTCTTCACTTGAGAACTGCAAATCTGCACAGGCATCCAAAATCATTACATCTATCACAGACACTTAGTTTTTAATGTGAGACTATGAAGGAAGTATTTTATTTTTCATTTTATTTTCATTTTAATACATGAGAGCCGCAAGGCTATGGTAGGTATACGTCAGCTACAGAAAGGACGAAAAAGAAAATTTTACATTTCAGCTAAGCACTAAAAATCACAATCAACTGGGCACTAAATAACAAAAAAAGAACAAAAAGAGATGATCAGCTAAAAAACAACAAAAACAAGGACAGCTATTCATCCGAGAGGGTGTCCGAATTCACACCATTCCATTGAATGAATGAATGAATCATATGAATTTGAATGCGCAATCAGTAAATAAGATAAAACTTTAAATCAGTTAAAAAATTTTGATAAAATCACCCATTGGAAGTTAGTTACAAGGATGGTAACAACACTGCAAAATACTGTCAGTTTTGATTTTTAGAATATTTTTTTGATAAAGAGGGGTATTGATATGGGCCATTTTCGGCCTACCCAACCTGAATTTTCTCGATTCTACGATTTTTTGCTTATTGAAAGTCTATATTTTTAGGAATGCATCATGATTTTGTCATTTTTGGTCTCTAATCACGTCTATGTTTTTCATGATTTTTCCTGGCAAATTAAAGTTCCTTGTTGCTAAGAGCCTTGTGATAGTTTTGTACGTACCTTTTTCCAGGAGTCCGGTCTCTTTTCTCAAATCAGATGATGGTTTCCCAACAGACACGAACTCAAAGTCTTTTGAATGGTGAGAGGAATGTGAGTAGCTTTCTTCGTCTTGCCACTGGCTCAAAGAATCATAATCCGTTTGTTCAAGTACTCTCTTCCGCGTTTTGTTGATATTCGCTTCTAATTGCGATAGGTTATCCCCATACTAAAACAGAGAGACAGAAAGAATTAAACTATTGATATCATATGAGAGGGTTGTTTCATCAAGTCTAATTATAAATATACTTGAGAAAATGAATTTAGAAGTGGAAATCTGTCTTGAAAGGTTATGTGGCGGGTTTTTGATTTAAAATAACAGGCAGACAAAGTGTTTTTAAAAATTAAATGTGTCTCATAGGCTGCAACAAGCTCTATGAACAAAAAATAGAATATATTAGGAGTCAGAATCTGAAAGCATAAATTTAATTGCTACGTTTCTTTTGCTCCTTGAAAAAGAAACTACCTCCATTGCTCGAATTTTCATAGAATATTCATTGGACGAAGAGGAACCAACGGAAAAATTTTCAGGAAATGGTGCAGATCAATTTTCCATTTAAAAAGATGAGTACCACTACCACACAGAGATTTACAAAGTCTCAAAGTGAGATTGGGTTTCTGGAATTACGCATAATATGGACGTATTTCTGTCAAACGGAACTAAGCGCCATCGGGGTAGGAAGGTAGAGGGGGGCTTGGATTGGCGGCGGAACCGGGTGTCGGGCTTATTCGTTCCTATACTCGCAATGCTTTTCCATGGCGCTTAGTTCCGTTTGACAGAACACGCTATCCGGGATTCTAAATTCCTCAAAAGGAACTCAAATCGGTGCTTAGTTCCGTTTGACAGAAATACGTCCATATATCGATGACTGAATGCAGATAATGCGCATCACAGTTGAAATATTTTACCACATGAAAACCTCCAAATATAGTTCATTTTCTTTAGGGAAAACTGATTAAAATGTTTCCTTAGAATTTTGTGTCTTTCTTTTGTAGAGTGAGTGGCGACACAAATTCACAGAAAATGTCAATACAAACTGTTAGCTAATATTCTTTTTTAAAAAATGACACATATTGTAGACTTACATCCTGCAATCTGAGATTCATCGATAAATGGTTTATAAAACCTCAGAAAAGGAAGCCCAAGTACTGTTCAGGCACGATCAGGATTTCCATAATTTATTTATTTTCCGATCCTCTCACTTTTCCTTGATTTTCTTTGCCTCTCCCTGGCTCCTTACTTCTTGAAATCCCTAGCCTTCAAACAAAACTCCCATCTGGATTTTTTCCCCTTTCAATTACCAAGTTGCCGTAAATTCCATGACTATCCAGATATTCCAAACCGCCAGCAACCCTGCACTGATTTACAATGAATTATGTCAATGTTGGCCTTTCAAGTCCTTTTCTGGAGGGACCCTGTTTCTCCAGTGAAAGACATATCTTCTAATCATCTACCTTTTAAAAGCTAAATGCTCGGTTATTTCTCAATTACCATAAAATACCTTTAAATTTGAGAATAAGTACATTCAACTACTCTCTAGCATCTCTTAAAATATCATTAACTTTTGATGACAAAGGAGCTTTGGATAGACATCAAAGGACATAAAAACTAAGTTCAGATAGACTTACACTTCCTAGAGCTTCTTTTGTTATGGAAACCAGCTGCTCCGCTTGTTGCGTAAAAGAGGAGTCTTTCCCATTGTATAAAATGCAGTTTTCCAGAATGAGCTCGATATCATGCAGGAATTCTTGCCGGGAGTGATATTTGTGAGCTGTTGAACAAACAAAACACATAAAATGGTTCTACGATTATTTGAACGAGAAGATCATTGATATTCCTACGTTCTATGAACGATAATATGAAATCTGATGGATCGCTTTGATTGGATCTTCTGTCTTCTTTGACCTCACTTCCTAAGAAAAACAAATATTAATTATTTGGGTTCTTTTATATACTTACATTATTAAATAAGTCCTTTTTAAGAATTGAGAGGTAAATGAATGAAGAAAAAAAAGAGACATTTTTTTCTTTAAACTAGCCAAACTAGGATGATCTGAAATAAGGAGGAATTTTCCAAGAGCCTTCTTACACAAGGAGGCGATCGCCTGGTAAGAATTCGGTCAAGAGTCAAAGTAGTTCTGTAACGTCCGACTCATCTATTTTGAAATGAAATGGAAAAATAAAAACAAAAAAATGTTAATGAGCAGATAAAGATAAAGATAAAAAATGATGTGATTTCTGCAAACACTAAAAATTAAAAACTTTTACCGTTGACTTTCTTCGAGATTGTCTCCAAATCTATAGGATTCTTAACAATGTTGTAGTAGTCTGGAACCAATTTCTTTTTGACAGGTTTCAAGAAAGGCCAGGCGCCAGTTCGCGCTTTTAATTTTGTCGTGACAATGTTATCAAAAACGTATGATAAAGCCACTTGATCGTCATCATCCAAGAGTGGGTTTATCACTTTCTCCAAACGCATGAGACGCTCTTCTTTCTCGCTTAATCGGTCGACACATAATTGAAGCATACGTTTCGCAGCTACTGTCAAGGAACTTTTGGCACCTGAAAGAAAACAGAAATCATACAACCATCATTATAACCTTTCTAACTCGCAGAATTTTCATTTTTGGTCATTTTTATATGTACATATAAATCTGCTGGGCGGATTTCAATGACTTTCTGGCTATTGACAGGTTCTTCTTTTCTTTGAACTTTTCGCAATCCAGCTAGGATATTGCGCCTGTGAGAAGCTTATGGTCTGGGATGAATTTTAAACAAAGACTGACATACTATAACTTGAGAAATGTCAGACATGGAGCAATAATGGAGTTGAACTAAAATTACCATTGTATAACGTTGAATTTTCAATAATTTGATTGACGTCCGACAAAAACTCCTCCCTACTTTGGTAACGGCTTTTGCGCAGATTTTCTCGGATAGTCTGCAAGTCCATCGGAGTGCTAACAATTTTGTAGTAGTCAGGAACAACCTAATTATGAAGAGACAAAACAAATTATTAATAAAAATTATTACGACCTTTTTGTAAGACAAAATGCTTCATGTTTTTACGGTCATATTTTTCAGAATCAAAAAGTTTGGATGCCAAAAGGAAAAAAATGACTGTAGGTAACATAAGGCACAAAAAGATTTTTCAGTAGATTCAATTTGAATAGATAACATAAACTAAAATGGGCGTGTTTCTATCAAACGGAGCTATTTGCATTATAACGTGAGCCCTGTTATGTATATATTCTTATGGGTCTCAAGGCTCATGTCTCATTGCTCATAGTTTCGTTTGACAGAAAAACATCCAAATAGATTACTTTTTTAACAGGGTGTTAACCAAAAAATCAACTTCCTTTAATGATTACTGTTTTGGTTTCTTTTGGTTTATCGTTATTAACCTTACTTCTGAGAGAAAAACGAAAATATATTCGAGGTAGATTTAAAAATAAATTTTGCAGAAAGCTGATTTTTTTTTTTTTTTTTGATCTCATTGCGTAAGCTGACAAATGAACTACTGCCTTTCAACTTCTTTGATTCTCTCTCTGCAGGTGCAACAATTCATGAGTATCACGAAAAATAGGAATCGGGGAAATCATACTTTGCCATTGACAGGAAACAGGAATGGTTGAACATCTGGTAAATCTCGCATTTCATTCAGAATCGATTCCAGAATAGAGGATAAAACAACAACAGGATCTGTGCGGCGTCTGTTAGCCGGCCGCTCTTGTTTCTTCAAGTAGTCGCAGTGCAGTTCGTCTGCTCCTTTACGTTTTTTCTTCAGACCCATTGCATCCTTCGGCACTTTCAACACAAGTGACTTACGCTTCAATTCTTCTGTTTGCTGTGAAAGGAAGTAGAAGAATTTAGGATACGTAGAGTTTGTCAGTTTATTTCATTTTACTTTTTTAAACAAATTTTAACACAGAATTAAATGATTCAAGATAATTTTCCTATTTTCGTGTAAGGTATTATTTAAGTTCTTAGAATTGCTTGATTTCAAGAAATTTTGTAGTGCAATTTGCAAATTATTGACAACACACACTAATTTCACTGATTACCGGATGATAACTGAGTTCCATCAGTGCTTATGATGGCTCTTTTAAGCGAATATTTGGCTATTTTACAACACATAGGATTCCATGACTTGCCGAGCACTGCAATTCAATTCAAATGAGACAAACGCAAAAATTGTGTTGCCGTTCACGAAATTTCGAAATGCTTCCTCACCTTTTAAGTATCGTTAGACCACCTTGAAAAATAAAAACTTTTCTCTGCTTTCTACACTAATGAATTGGTTTTGGAAAAGTTTCGCAAATGTATTATGGGGTAAATATGAGTATCGTTACTTATTAAAGGACCAAATCGAATTTGACTCAATATAAGGACAAAAAGTACACAAATCTGATTTGTTTTGAAATTTAAAATCTGTTTCTGGTTTTTGGAATACTGAGAATCCATGATTACCAAACTCTAATTTTTTTATTGATAACTCGGACCTTTAAGAAGGTGTTACTCGTAAAACAACTTGTACTATTTCACGCTACCTTTATCAACTTTCCGGATAGAGTAACTTTGGTCCCGTCAATGTTGACTAAGTCTTCTTCTTCTTGCATAACCTCCTTCTCGGTTTCTTCTTCTGGCTCATCAGCCGACATCGGCACTGATGCATTACTGGTAGATGCATTTGACGAATATAATGGGCATGCTTTATTCGTACGCATGTGCCCCACCTGCCAAAAAAAAGTTAAACTTGAAGGAAAGAGAAAAAATTTTATAAACTTTTGGCTTTAAGACCAAGATAGGATACAATTATAACAATCAATTGGTTATGGCAATTGGTTCTTGGTGGCTGATAAGCACACCACTGGAAAGAGACTAAAAATGGCAAAACATGAGGATATTACTTTCACGATTTGATTCTGATCAAAAAGCCATTTAACTACTGTAGCAGAGACGCACTCTAGCTTGAGAGTACGCCTCTGTTAGGAGCATCTCGGACATACGTGAGAGATCGCGTATTTCCGAGGTGCTCCTAACAGAGGCGTACTCTCAAGCTAGAGTGCGTCTCTGCTACACTACAGATCCTTATAAAATGGAAATAGGGTTTGAACAAGAACTTACTGGGAAGTTTTTAATTTTTTCGCAAACAGATATAATTTATTATTCCTGTTTGACGCGTCCATTAGAGGTAATAGAAGAAGTAAGAGATAAGGAATCCACCATTATCTATAAAATAAAAAAAAATTAGGAAGGAAGAAAAAGAAAAAGAAAAAAAGGGTAATGCAAAATAGAAATTTAAATTTCTTGCAAAATGACTGTCATTTATCATCAGTAATGAAACCTTTGGGAACGAGAACAGAGGGGAAAATAGTAAATTATGATGGGTCATCAACCTAACACCACCAAATCTATCATCTGTGGTTTCTTTAAGTGCTCTCGAAGTCACTAGTAGATGTGATTTTAGGTTCTCCTTACTGCACTGTGACTAAGATCTTTTCATCCACAAATTGGTATGAGTACTCACTTGACCACAAGCACCGCATTTGAGTTTCAAGTCAGGCTTCAATTTAATCGGCCTTTTCCGACGCGGGGGCTCACCAGATTTATCCGACCTGTGCTTGTTTTTTGAGTGACTAGATGGAGAGCCATCGCCCAATGTTGAACTTCCTGAAATGAACAAAATCAATAACAGTAAATAGGCAACTATTTCATGTAACGTGATTGAGAAAATCATTGAAAAACTGGAAGTTGAATCTTACTATGTATTGATGCCAGGTGATAGAAAATTAAGGTTCTGCCATTTGAAAGGTTTAACTAGTTGCTAAACAAAAAACTCAACAAACAGAGCAATGTGATGAACATGACATTGAAGTAAAGCAATGAAAATCTTCATTAAAGGTAATCAAGATCTGAACTTATTCCTTAACTTTTACGGATATTTTTAATTTTATTACTAAACTTTTACGGATATTTTTTGGTATTTTTTAGTTTGATTCCATTGAGTTTGGTTTTTGAGCACCTTTAAGAGATGGAAAATACTTCTTAAATGCTTCATTTTCAGCTTAAGTAATTTTCAAAAAAACATCGACAAATATTTCATTGTTCGCCATCCAATTTCTTGCTGATTTTTAGTTTTTTAGAATGAAACACTTGAACATTATGTTTCTTGATATTCCATATGATTTTTTCATCGCAAATGCTTTTGAATGATTTTTCCTTAGATGCCACTCTCTTAAAAGTCTACCATACTAACAAACTCATCTTCACTTTGGCTTAACAACATGGATTTTCACTAACCAGGGAAGCGTTCGCGTTCTTGATTCCGCTTGATCCTTCTAAGCTGTTCCTGAATTCTCCGTTTCTCTCTCTTCATTTCTTCTTTCTGAGCATCATCAGGGGTTGCAAACTGCTTGATGAATGCCTCATCTTTAGTTGATCTGATTTTCACATATGCATCAATGACCGCCGGTTTCCGCACAACCTCCATTCGAGTATACTCTTTCCCAGAGGCATTTCGAAAAGTGCGGTAAATTTTGAGTACACGACCTGCAAGAACATTCAAACGTTAGTAGAGCGCATATATATATAAAATAAATCGGGGCAATCCCTTCTAGAACGAAAAAAACTGGCAGAAGAAAGCAATCTTCCTCAAAAATTTCAATAAATTGCCTTTAATATTATTGGACTGCTGTTATTTGATGGTGAAAGAAAATTTACAATAGAGCTTGCTTTATTTTCTGAGGCTATGAATGATGCAGTGTTTATTGTGTCATTGCAAACTGTTTAATTCAACGAGGACTTGGAACATGTCTACATTTTTTTAAAATCTAATCCTCTCTTCTCAGTAGGGTGGAAAATGATCTGATGCATCAAAATTCCCTGACTAATTTTGGCAAAATTCACTATTTTTTTTGAACAATTTTTTTTAAAAATTCTCAACCACTCTTGGGAAGGTAAGCCTAGCCCTGCTGCATTCATTTAAGACTAGTGACATATTGTTTGAGAGCATCTTGGAAATTTTAAAACTAAAGTGCAGTCTTCTCTACAAATAGAAAAATTGCCTGACTTATGTCTGACTTACAAGGTTTTTTAAAAGTTCCTGACTTTTCCAGATTTTCCCTGACGTTTGCCACCCTGCCCTGTCTCAGGCATTTCAAACGCCGTCTCCTCTGAATCAACAAAAATTTTAAAGATAATTTCTCTTGAGCATTTTGGGATTTAATCACAATGCCTGCTGACACTTTCAAAAACTCTCAAGAGCATGCTGAACTCAAAATATTTAATGAAATGGCGGAAATGATGCGACTTGCTTTTTGTGGATACAGATTGATGACTCGATGATGTCCCTTGACTTTTACCTTGTTTTGAAGTGGCAAAACTGCTCATCGACTGGCTATCTTCATCATCCTTTCTTTTATCTTTGTTTTTACGAGCCTCTGCATCGCCTTCTCCCATTATTAATTTCCGTAGTTCTTGCCTTTCCTGTTCCTCCTTTTCTAAGGAAAGCTGCAAAAAAAAATGATGAATAAATACAAAAATCCTAGAGAACCAATAAAAATTGAAAACAGTAACAGACTATATTCAGTAATAAATTATATTTACAAAAAATTCACAGCAGCAAACAAGAAGATAATTTTCTTTGAATAAAAAAATTTCCTGATTTATTTCCAACTTCATTGTTGCTTAAAATTTTCCGTCTCTTTCGAGGTTTTCCTTGAATTTGTAAGCACCTGTCTTTGACGCTTTTCATTGACATTGACATGTTTTTAGCATTTTTTGACCTAAGAAGACAAAAAATGCTACCTTGAAAAATTTTATTTGTGCGCTTAGGCCCTTCCCAAGGATGATCACATATCGAGGACTACGGAATGATACCGCCTAACTGTCAATTTTGACGAAAATGAGTTGGCAACTTTGTTGCATTTTACAGTATAAAATATGCGAGCTGATGTTTTTGTATTTTTCCAAGTCCGCATGGAAGCGCTGCAATAACGCTGTAATGTATAAGAAAGTTGCAACCCTAAGCTCAAAATTACAAAAATGGAAAAGTTTTTTATTTGTCCTGTAAAATCGTCAATTTACAGATAGGCAGCATCCTTATTAAGCCATTGCTATTTAAAAATATCTGTAAAGCGAGCATTGACAGCGGCTGAAATAATTGTAAATTACACAAAACAACATCCTCACCTGTGTGCTAGTTTTCTTATTTGCCAGCATGTTTTCTAAATTCTTTCCCATCTCCTCAATGTCTGAGCTGTCTTCTTCGTCAGTACTTTCACCCTCATCTGTCGACAGGACTTCACAAGATGACAAAACTCGATTTTGAAGGTCGAAGATTCTCTGACACTCTTCTTTGTACCTAAAAGAGAAACCTATCTCATTATCGGGATCATGCAAAGATCATCAGGATAGAACAATGAAATCGGAGAGAGATTTGTCGACATTTAAGTACCAAGTAAGTTAACACATGTAAAACTGCACAAAGAGCGAAGAGATATCAGCCTCAAAAGACTTCAAGGCTTTGTGTTCAATATACTCCTGCTAGCTTTGAATATCCATGGTGAAACTCTCGAACAATGTATCTAGTTTGCAGCGTTTTAAAATCTCCGATCCTGCTTTATCTTTTTCGAGCAAATCAACATCGTTCTTTAAAGTTTTCACAGAATTTTCTTTACATAGAGAGGAAACATCATGAGGGTTTTAAAGAATTGACATTGAGTAATTTTACATTTAAAAAATAAAGTATGACAGGAAGTCTGCAATGTTATAAACCGAAACATCATCAACATAAAATTATTTAAATAAATTATAGCAAAATAAAGAGCCCACTATTGAACGCCAAAATAACACAAGATACATCTGTCAAAAATACCAGAAATTAAAAAACAATAGAACAAGGGGAGAATAAGGTTGCTTTTAGCGCTAGATGCAATAAAGAAAAATGATACCAACTCAATGAAATTTCAATGTTCTTTGCAGCTCGCCAAAAATTTTCATCAGACTGTCCAGACTTACCAGACAGTCTTGAAGGAAAGTGAATGCGAAAGCATCCCTAAAAATGATGACATATTTGATCAATTATTAGAGAAAAATCTGAACATTTAGAGAGTATGCTTGAAATATCCATAAAGAAATATCAAGAAATAAAAAGAATTTTGTAAAATCTGACAGCCTTCCTTCCTCAAACATCCCTGATTTAAAAACAATCTAGACTACAATTTCCCGTTGCAAGATATTGTAAAATTGGACTAAACGTACCTTTCTTGATGTTCTGCGATGGAAAATCTGTTGCCTCGAGAGAATTTGGTCATGCCTTCCTCTCCTGCTTTTGCTTTTTCTGTTGACAGTGTACGCACCACATCAATGACCTCCCAACGGGATAACTTTTTAATCTGTGTAGGAATAAAAGATATTAGTTTCACAAATTAAAAATTGGTACAATAAAAACTAATGGGGTAAAAATTCAAAAAGGTAATTCAATTGTTATTAAGGCAATTGGTTGCTTTGTTTTTTTTTTGTTTTCTAATTGTTTAAGGTTATGTAATTTAAATCGAGCTAAAAAATACACATACATAACGCATTCAATTTTCCATTAGAATAGTCTGACTAAATTTAGGCTGATAATGAATAAGGTCGGAACTGACAGTGAAACTAACAGAAAGAGAGCGGAACAAAATTGTTGCACAAATATTCATGGTCGACATGATAATTTTTGAGCCTTTCAACATTCATTTACAGAAAAAAACACATTTGAAGGTGAGCAATTGGAGCTACTCCATTCTTGATAAACTCAGAAACGTACAGAAACGGAATATAAATTTTCACCTCTTCTTCGGGTACACCAAACTTCCGTAAAAGATTCTTTGCATTGCTAAGTGAAAGCCTACGTAAATCAGCGTCCGTTCCAGTGACAGTCCTCTTTGGTTGTGCTTCTTGTTCCTCCTTGCTTTGCTGGAATTGACAAAGAAACATTTTCTGTATTTTTTGTAATTACACATGATGATAATCACCCGGAGATAAAAGCAAGTGCTGCATAGGACAAATCCCTCAAAAACTGTGTAAAAATTAAAATAGAATTGAAAAAAAAAGTTAATGAAAGTTTATCTATAAGCACCGATAAGTGGAAAAGTTTTTTGTGATTGAATTTTCCCTCAATTAGCTTGTGTAAACGAATCTTTCATACATCAATCTCAAAAACGTTAATTTTATATACATTAGTTTTTTCAGAGAATCAATTCGCTCCAATGAAGGAGAGGCCTGATCAAGATTCATTGTACTTACTTTCTATTCATAAAAACCTGAAATTTATACTTAAAAGGTCGAAGTATTGTTTCCGTTTCCACTTTATTCTTTTCAACTGTATTCTTAAAATCTTGTTTTGGCTGAACGTTGTGTGGAAAAAAAAAAGAAATTTCCTTTACAGCACTTCAAAATATGTATAGAGATGTGTACTTTGAAGTCGCAAATCATGAAAAGAAAGGCTGGAGTTTTAAGAGACACCATTATACAGAGGGATAGTCATATTATACGTTTTTTCTAATTTATCAACTTGAAAGTTGATAGCATTTTTCATTTTTAAGTTGGTTAAAAAAAAAGAAATATAACCATGATATGAACTCACAAAGTCATGATAAGAGGAAAAAACCATGGTTATTAATCAGAGCAAGTATGTATAATACTGTTAAGGACTGTAAGAAGATAAATAGAACGCAGACATACCGTTGGTTTGTTGGGAATACGGACGTAGGAGAAACCCTCTCCGCAGCCAGTTGGATCAGCAGGTCCAGTTAACTGTAAAAGGCACTTGCTTTTCATTGCTTGGATGTACGCTCGTGTTGTGTTCCACGGAGCAACCTTAACCTCATCGTCCATCTTCAACTGCATTTCTTCATCATCTTCATCTTGCGGTGTAAAGATGAACTTCTCTCCATATCCTGCATCCTACATCCACAGTAATTTTCCTCATTAATTATTACTGACATTTTCCGGGATCCGGTAATATTTAAAGAAAAAAGATTCACTGCTTGCTTAAGCAGTATTCCCAAAAGATATGTCATTTAGTTCAATTTTAAAAGAGAAAAAAAGGATTTTATTTGTATGATGAAGTCAATTTCTCTGGGCAAATGCAGAAATGTAACAAAAGGAACAAGACATCGTTAAAAAATCATTTTGTGAGTACCTGTGAGTTTAAGAAAAATAAATTGATTAATAAGTTTTTGCTAATGTTGAGGGCGCAACTTTTTCTTCCAGACCCATCAGAAAATTTATTCTCAAAAACTCAAAATTGTCAAAAGAGAGATACTATTTTTTGACACTATATCCGAAAGCGAGTAAAAAAAGAATTCATAAGGTGGAAATCGAAAGTTACTTCTTGGCAGAGTTTTAAAAAGGATGTATAACAAACTCCAATTCTCCAAAGAAGTTTTTTCTCATGCTTTTCTACTGTCAACAGTTAGATAAATAGACGAATTTATGCTTAAAAAAATATTTCTGCACAGAGTTTCCAGTGCAAAATCGACCTCTTTTGCATAAATATGTCCAAACAAGTTTGAAATTCGATTAACAAAAGGGAGTAAAAATTGATTATCATACGCTAATTAGGGTCCTCCTACTTGTCTACGAACTAGATAGGATAGCCTAAATCAATCTGAAATTTTAACTCTCATTTTTGTAAAATAAAAAGCTGATTACATCTAATCAAGGGTTGCTTATTTTTCATCAAAACTGAGAATCGCTAATTTTTAGGGTAAAAGTTGAGACCCTGATTTAAACAAAATACAGATGTTACTGAACCTTTAATCTCTGCTCAGCTGCAATCATGCTGAAATAAGCGCAACACTGTTCAGGAGACACCATCGCTCGGATTTCTTCTTCCGTTGGGAGCCGAAAGTCAGGTTTGATCACCCACCAATTCGAATCCATTCCTATTACAATGTAACATGTAAGGTTAGAGAGTGTTAATTTTTATCATGAGAGAATGGCTTTAAAATTTTCAACAGGAAGAGATATTTCATTCAATACGAGGGGTAAAAAATTTTTTTTGAGGTGTCTAATACAACTTTGCCTTCAATTTTTCCTGCTAAAGCCGAATATGACCTCAGATTTTTTCTAGAAATTGAACATTTTCCGGGAAATGGAATTTTCTTAAAAAAAGTGTTTTTCAATGTAAAATCCTATATAAAAAAGATGGCTCTGTTTGCCAGGTTAATATCATCCGATTTGGCTGAAACTTGGCAGAGAGTGTTTTTTGATCAAATGGATTAGTTCTTGGGGGTAAGACTGAAAAAATTCCAACATTGCCAAATTCACGCCACCCTGATGATACATGCATGTATAAAATAATTTCAATTCTTTTGAATTTTTAATCTTTCACAAGTACATATTCAAACTCTTTTCAAACTTTTCAGTTCGAGAGAACTTCAAAAAGTTCATCCAAAACTTACATCACCAACTTTAAAAAGCTCATTATCAGGTTTAGGTGCAGGTTTGCGCCTCTTCATAGAAGTCAAAGAGACGATCCTGATGATGGAGATGAAACTTGATAGGGAATCCAACTGGATGTGGAAAAACATACCAGTTCTTTTGAAATCAGCACATAGTTTCAGTCTTTTTCGAATACTGCTTTCTGAATGGGACGGGAACGCTCTTCTGATGTCATCCATTTTAATACGTTTTGGAATATCTCGGCTTTTCCAAAACAGTCTGTAAATGAATACCTGTAAAAGAAGACAGACTTCAGAACTACAGAGATTAGTCATGTTTCAACCATCAATAATTAAACCCCATAAACCATTCATAACTTTGATTACGTGATAAGTTTACATTTTGTAAATTTTTTACTCTTTTGAGTAGCTTCCAATTTAGAAGATTGTTTGCATACAGTTGCACTTGAAAATTAACTTGAATTTAGAATTCGCGGTAGAATCTGAATTACATTCTTTGTATTTGTGACGAGTGAGGGAGAAAGACGTCGAAACAATCTAGCCATGCATACTCTTAAACTCTGGTTAACATGGAATCGTAACAAAACTTAAAATTTGATTACATTTTTCATATTTGATTTAGTAGGGATCATGACACTTTGGCCATGTGAGAGTGCAAAAAACTAAAAAAGCACCGACCATTTTTGGTACTTTGATGTTTTCATCTCAAAGCAAAAGATCCAGTTTGCCTGAGGAAATGCCCATTCAAAGGCAGAATTCAAGAGAAGAAGTAGGGATGTCGATACTTATCCGATACTTGCAAAGTATCGATACTTAACGATACTCGGCATCGATACTCCACGATATCGATACCATGCAGTATCGATGCCAAGACCCCAGTATCGACGGTATCGATACTTAATCTGATTTGGCCATGAAGAAGGCCTCTTTTTCTTTTTTAAAAAATTCTCTCCCCACTATTTCACCTTCATGATGCACTGTGAGTACTGTGACAAACGACGGAGTAATCAAGTTTCTCAAGATGATTATACTTCAATAAAAATGTTAAAAGCTCAGTTCGATAACTGTAGTTAAGGGCTCAAAATAGTTGACTAAGGACACGAACAGGGCTTTTTCGAGAGAGGCGTAAATCTGGCGGAATTTAACGGCCGACAGACATACGCACACTCAGAATCACGGCATAATTCAGAAATAGTATCGATGGTATCGATACCTCATAAGTATCGATACTTCAGCTCGATGCTCGATACCGGTATCGATGCTTAGAGTCGATACCAGTATCGATACCGAGTATCGATACTTCCCTGACTATCGACATCCCTAAGAAGAAGGAAAAGAAAAAATTATTACTTTTGAAAACTGACTCACAGCCAAGATTTTCCTTGCGTCTGCTGTGATTTGCTGATTATGAGACAGTCAAGTCAAAATGTCATCCTGTAGCTACTCATACAGTAAGTGAATAAATGTCAGTGTATGTACAAATTCATTATGTTTACTGACTTTTGACTGCAGGCACATATTTTTGATAATCTTACCTGCAGGAAATCTCGAACGAAATTATTCGCTCGTTTGGAGTTTGGTCCTGGTACTTCGTAAAGAGGGCATAACTGACCGGCCGTGAACACAGCATCGACCTCCCTTATGGAATACTGGTGTCTATTGAGCCAAACAAATTAATTCAGAGAGTGGTCAGCTATGTTTGAGATTATGAAATGTTGTATACATCAAGACCAAGATCTATTGCCTCAGGTTTTAGATTTTTCTTTTACTTATCTTGTGGCATTAAAGTGGCTGAGAATCTGAGTGCTTCTTCTGCCAAGTTTTCATGAACGAATATTCTGCCATCATGCAAAATTCACTACATTCATTTACACAGTGTTTTTTTTTACTTCAAAATTTCAAGTTACATTTTTTAAAATAAAAATAATCAATTCACTGCAAATTTGTCTTAGTTTCATGGTTAAAAAAAAGAAAAATCTCAAGATTTGGAATTTATTGATAGATAAGAATGGCAACGAAACGTGAGCAAATAGCTGTGGAATCACTTTAATATTAACTTCTTCACATAGAAACATGCTCCTGGCATTTTGAAGCCATGGTTCAAAATTCCATGGCTTAGAAAAAGGTAAAATTTGACTTGTTTGATTAGTGTTGATGATGTTGCCGACTCAATTAAAGCAGATCTAGTAAAAATGAAGTGTTACCTTGTCCGAATAACGAGGAAATCGGAGTAAAGCAATTTATGTTCATAAATCGGAGCTCGGTACATGTTATTTTCAATAGCTTGAATCGCTTTCCCTGGAGAAAGGACACCCAGAAAAGGTGACGTATGCGCAAAAGCAGTTTCACCGTATTTGAACTCCGGAGGGCCTGTATCCTTACCAGCTTTTCTTTTGTAGTAGTTTTTGAACTTGGTGCACATTCCTACCTGAGATCAAAAGAAATTAACACATTCTTTAGAGGCATGTCAATTCAAATTATAAGAATGAATAGTGGCATTAATTCTTATGTTTGTTTTTTTCAGAGTAAAGCTACATAATCTCGTCTCTAAATTTTTTTTTACGGGAGCATGAATCTTTATTATATTTTATTCCCTTTAGGGTTTTAATACATAGCTCATTTTACATTTTTTTACAGAGGTCGATTTCTCACACAAACCACTAAGTTTAACTGTACATTCTTAAGAAATTTAGAATTGCTGAGTGTCACTTCCTTTCCGTCCAGTTTTACCTTTCAAAGGTTAGAGGTCATATCAGAAGCTAGGAAGCTTAATTTGGATTAATTGCAAAGCACTTGGGTGGACCTGCATCAACTTGAGCGATTAGTATGGTCAGTTTTATTAATTTTTGATAAGTTTTAAAAAAGGTGCTGCTTACTTTATGAGAAACTTCCAAAATAAGAAAAAAAGAAATCAGAAAGAAACAGATTTTGGAGCTATGGGAAGTTCTTTATCTTAAAACTTGTGTTTGCCACTCAAATTTTCTTGGGACAAAAATATTGTGATTTTCTGACCATTTCTCTTTACAGACATCACAAAAATTGCTAATTTTATTACGAAATAATCCTGTAACTATGCGAATCATGAGAGTTGAAATTAGTGGTAGTTTGTCGTACAATGCGTTCGGACAAAAACTTTAAGCCTTACTTGGTTTATAAGAGGAGGGTGCTCTTCGCAGAACTCCACGAGAACCAGTTCACCGTCTTTCCCTGTCAAGTCTTCTGGAGTGCGCATGAAAAAAACGTCACCGCCTCCCGATGCGGCTCGCTCTTGCTCACGTTGTTTGGCCTTTTTCTTGATATGTTTCACCAACGGGTTGACTGGGTGTGGGCCGGGGTGGGCGAGCGCACCGTGTGAGAATCGTTTCATTGGTGGACGGTGGAAGTTACGCAGTCTAATCGGTCCCATGTGTGTCTGGACAAATGGTGGCCGCAATTCGACAACCGGAGTTGAGTGCTGGATCAGGTTTGCTCCAGCAACTTTCATTCGTAGTGAGGTTTCCGTTGACCGTGGCATGTAGTGGCTTTAAGTCAAAAAACAAAAATTATCAAACTTAATTTACTTGATAACAGCACATTATTGAAGATAACTGTTTTGAAAGAAATACCTTATTATATTAAAGACTGGAGACTAGTAACGTTCTAAATCCAATAAAGACGGAAAATATTGCTGACTGAGAGATAAAACGGTACAAATAATTCGGAATACACCCATGATGTACATTTCTTTCCACTTTGCTAAGAAATAAAAAGAATGGCCAAATTGGAGGATAAAATTTTTAAAAAAAAGTTTAGCTCACTCTTTTGCACTTCTGTTGGAACTTCCCGGAGCACATTCGGCTCCATCCTTAGCCGTCAACGAAATGGATGAACTCGAATTTGCTTTGAGACGTATTCCAATAAATACATTTTAACTGCTACAGAGTACACTAGAAATTGTGCTCATCTAAACTTGTTCTCTCCCTGTCTGTGGTTTTTCGACAGATATGTCAACACATTGATGAGTATGAAGGACGGTTAGAAAGAAAATAATCATGGATCATCAAATGTACTGCAATTAAAATCAACAGAGACCTCCGTTATTGTAAGCTGGACAATTTTGTTTTTTTTTGCTATCAAAAGGACTCTATTTGTAGCTTTTTCTAACTGTGTCCTAACTTCACCCCAAAATTTCCAAAAGAAACTAATACACTTAAGGGCTTAAAACATTAATAAATCTGTATGAATAAAAATGACTTTAAATTATAGCCTGAAAATATATATTTATGACAATGTGTAAGTCTATGTCAGAGTCTATACATCGACTAAAGGTCTAAGTTGATTTACATATGTGATCTCATATGAATGAGAAGTATTGATTTTTAACTAACCTGTCATTGGACACGTTGAAGGGGTCATGATCGGCAGACTCTGGCTCAGGTGGGGGCGCATCTTCCTCGAGGACATTGATGACACCAGCCTTGCCAAGAAGGATCTTTGACTTCTTCACGTGTGGATGTGGAATCTTCACTTTGACTGGTGTCGCACTGTCTGATCTTTGTTTTGTGGGATCAACATCGTTCGGCACTCCTAGGATTATGTTTTCATCATTCGGGTCCAACGTCAAGATTTTTGGCTTTGGGATCGAGCTCATCGCCTCCGCATCCCAGATAATTTCATCCTCCCACAGACCGTAGATCAGCTCTTCGTTTTCAACTGGGAATATCGAGTACCAGGTGTCATCTCCGTTGTCATCAGCCTTCTGACCACCTTTTCCTGACCTGGATACAGCGAGACAAGTTTTAAAGCATTATGTCTAGAACACTCAATCATACTCATTCCTTCTCTTTCCCTGATTTTTGGGAGCTCATTTCAAGAGCATTCCTGATGATTTTATTATCTGTTCAATGAAAGTTTCTTTACTATTCTGATGATTTGAAGATTCAAATATGTCATTCAAGAGTCAATTATGGTGATTTAGGTACAATAACAATAACTCTAAGCGGTAGGGAAGAGATTCCTAGTTTCTGGAACAAATTGCCTGATTTTTCTATAAAATTTTTCATTCCCTGATGAAGCCTAGTTATTCCCAGTCCTAGACATCATGTTCTAAACACACCATGCGCACATAAAAATTCAACGAAATTTGATGAAAATGTCAAACTTTGATTTAAAATGTTATCACTCCTCTCTACGTACTTAAACCTGTGGCCTGGGATTATGAGGGACTGTTAAATAAAAATTACCAATATAGCACGGGTAAAATATTGTGTGTCATGTAAATAGTGCATTTCCGTCAACCCACGCCTCTTTTAATTAGATTTAATTTTTTTTACTTCTTTATCTTTAAACTGTCATATCACCATGAGTAATCATGCCGTTGATATTCTTTTGATAGCCTAATGACTTTCCATCTTATACAATTGAAGCTCTACCATTAATGGCATTATTTGATTACTTACATTCAACAACACCAAAGTAGAAGTCGTGAAAAGGGGAGTTTCATTCTTTCAAAGTTGCAAGTAATTAATCCTTTCTCATAAAAGTACATCCCTTTTTGCCAGCTGTTTGATTGGGCTGATGTTGAATACTACTTACTAATAGTGGTTAACACTTGATAGAGCTACAATTCAAAAATGCTAATTCAGCAATTAGAGCCTCAGAGAAAATTTTGATGTGGAAATGAAACTATTCATGGAGAGACGTTTCTTAAAAGTTTGAAAAAATGTCAAAATTGCGAAATCCGAATCACTGCTATGAAGAGTATTCAACAAAAATTTCGGTGAAAATCCACAAAATTAAACCAATTTGAAGTTACAATGGTTATAAGTTTGTAGTTTTGAAGCAAAATTATTTTTTAATTTTATTCTGCCATGTTTCAGGCTTGAAAATGAGCACTTACAAAACAAATTTATTTCCTCCAGTGGGTAAAACAAAAAGGCATTATGCTATTTGAAACTTTTTCTTTGGTCTAACTGCTGAGTGTTTCTGGTCCTGGACCAAAACTCCGTTTTTTGAACATGAAAAAAATTACTCTTATAACAAGTTGGACTTCAATTTGTAATACAGAACTGCAATTTATGGTTGACTTTAGAAACCACACAGGTGCCATTAGTTCCCTTATGAGGATAAGTGCTTTGTAAATGAGTCAGAAGTACACTACAGTTCCTAATGGAAAAATGAATTTCAATTTGCTTTCATGCACTGAAGTCCATTTTCTCATGGATGATCAAACATGAATAAAAATAAATTTTGGTGAAGCTTCGAGAAGGTACAACAAAAAGGATGAAAACTCAAAGAGAAACATGAGCAAAAATACTTGATTCATAACAAGAGCCTTTTATACAGAATCTTTGACAAATTTTTTAGGAACACCTTTTCAGAACTTTTGCTTCTAAAATGAGCAATAATTGAACTGCAGCCTGATTGTTGAAATTTTTTGTTTGTTGGGACGACATAGATATATATATATGAGTCGCTTTTATAGCGCTCTTTGGCGCTGTGCGACGCCTAATCGCCACAAAGCTCGGTCTTCCCACAGGTCATCAGGGAGTTGACAATCTCTTATCTCATTTAACACCCCCTGTCGCCAACCTCTCACTGGGCGTCCCCTACGTCTCCTCCCAGGAGGAACCCAATCAAGCATCTTTTTTGGCAGCCTCTCTTCCGTCATCCTATTGACATGACCATACCAAACAAGTTGTTTGGTCATGACGTCGAACACGATGTCATTTTCGACTTCCATTATCTGACGCACTCTATCATTACGGACCCGATCTCTCCTAGAAATTCCTGCTGACCTTCTCCAGAAATCCATCTCCGTTGCTCTTAGCATATCCTGTGTCCGTTTCTTCAGCTGCCAAACTTCACATCCGTATGTTAATATACTTTTGACTACAGCGTTGTATATCCTCCTCTTGTTATCTTTGGAAATCCGCTGATCCCAGAGGATTCCATTTAACATCGCTAAACGCTAACGACATAGATGACATACGTTAAAAGGCGGAGCGTGATTGGTCGGCTATGTCTTATCGCTGCTTTGTCGGGTTGAACTCACAACAAGCTAACGGCACCTCTCAAATTTCCGACAGTATGTTGACAGAGGCACGACAAAGCAGCGATAAGACATAGCCGACCAATCACGCTCCGCCTTTTAACCTATGTCATCTATGTTGTCCCGACGAACAAAAAAGTTTAACAATCAGGCTGCTGTTGTGGCTATGGTTCTCTTCAAACAAACTACTTACTTCAATTATTGCCTTCAATTAGTCTTGCGGGAAAACTTACATTTGACTTTTTCCGGCCAGCTTGTTCGTGGCTGAAGAATTCATTTGACTTGTGGCCAGACGTACACCGCCCACACCAGCAAGCGGATTCAATGGGTTGATTCCTTTCCCTGGCTGACTAAACGTTTGCGCTGTTCTATTCCCACTGCTCGGAACCCACCCAGCAGCATTTGTTTTCGAGTTTAACTTCTGAATGACCTGCAAAATGAAAAAAAAATTGTACCATTTTTCTCATACTCAAATAATCAGGGTTGCCACAAAATTTAGAAAATGAAATTCCCTGACATTTCTCTGACACATTTTGGTGGAATTCCCTGACAATTGAAGATAAGACGGATGGTTAAGAAGGCATAATTGAACATAGTTTTCAGGCAAAATTTCTTGTTTGAAACCTCAAACCAATTCTAGAAAGCAAATGAAGGTGATTTAACAAAGTTTCCCTGACATTTCCAGGTTTTCCCTGACTGTGGCAACCCTGAAAAATGTACATTCATTTACTTGCCATATATTGACAGTAAAACTCCTGACCACGCATCTCCGTTTGTGACTTGCAGACTTCCTGTCAAACTTTACTTTTTAAAAGGAAAACTACTCAATCATAATTCTTAAAAACTGCCTCGATTTTTCTTCTATGTGCAAAAAGAATTCTGTAAAAACTACAAAGAATGATGTAGATTTTTGCTATTTTAAAAAGTAGAACACGAACAGCGATTTTAAAATGCTGAAAACGAGATACATTGGTTGGGAGTTTCACCGTTGATATATACTCTGACTATTAATAGAGATTTGCTCTAAAAAAAGTCAAAATAATTAGCTTTGGTATCTTAAGTAAATCTTTTCAAACTTGACACTTAAAAATTTGGATAATTCACTCAACCTTTGGAAATTTAATGTTGTGATTGCTTCAATGCTTAGTTTAAGCTACGAGGAAAATTTTCAGACAAAAATTAAATAAAAGTATTTGGTGCAATGCCTCACAGATGATTCAGAACTTGTGCAGTTTGGATGACCCCTGACATGACTTACTTCTTTTTTCCCCTTTATTCTTCATTTACATAGCTCTTGAAAATGTTCGGAAAAAATGGGCATACTGACTGATATTCACCAATATATTTTCTGCTATATTATTTTACTTCACTGATTATCCATCTGCTGAACAACACCGACATTGTTTTTTCCCACACTCTAAGTTCTGTCCTTTTCCCAGCAATACTTGGTCTACTAAAACCAATTTTCAACAATTAAAGGGGTGTTGCAACAGCTCTGGCTAAATTCCTGATGAAGGTTACAACATTAGACTTTTCTACTTTTAGTAGTGGGACACTTTAATTTGTAAAATTTTAAGTTTGATCCTAAAAGTAGCTTCCTGTTTTTAGAGAACATTTTAAAAATACGATACCTGATGTTTGATGTCCTCTCCGTTCCATACTACGTCATCTTCCCAATGCAACTGAGACACCATTAGAAATGCATCATCTGGAAAAGGCTCCGCTTTGTTCTCGGTCGGGGAACTCACCTGGTTGAAAGTCCAGAAATAATTTTTCACACACTCATCTGACACTTTTATGATGTGCGTATGTCTTAGCCAATGGCTATCGTATAGTCGGAATGATTGATTGCCAGCGCAATAGGTTCAATTATTAGACGATGAGAGAGGTTTAAGTGTTAGAGAAAATATAATTGACTTCAAAATGACTAATTTACATAGCTGCCATTCCATTTTAAATTTGGATGAGAATGAGCCTCTAGACAGGGTAAGAACTGGAGGCTCTAAGCACATGAATCTGCATCAGAATTTTGCGTAGAATTCAATGGTACAAACGGGAATTCATGAAACCAACTAATAAGCGAGATATTTGCGTAAATAGACTGCGCATTTTTGTAAATCCCGCTCGCCTAATATACGAATGANTTCAAAATGACTAATTTACATAGCTGCCATTCCATTTTAAATTTGGATGAGAATTGCAACATAGTGAATTTTAGTTGGATTAGGTTTTCTTTTTTTCCTGTCTAGGCCAAATTTCACGACACCGAACTCTTCCCCCTCCAATCAAACAGGGCTGAAGTACTCAATTCCCATGAATCAAGTTGCTATTTGCTTTCAACTTGTACTAAATTTCATACTCCCTCTAAAAGTTATGTACTTCAAACTTTCACCGTCAAAGATTTTTGTATTGGACTGAGCAGAACTCACCTGGTAAATGAGGGATGAAACTTCTTCTTTATTCATATTAAGCTCAATGGAATTAGATCCAAAAATTTTTTATTGGAACTAAGTTCTGTCTCTTCCAATTAACTTGAAATAGCTAGCTGATAAAACTTACTTTTGGTTTAATTTTGAAGCCATAGTTGAAACCTTCTCCGGTTTCTGGAACGTCTAACATATCGTACCATACTTGTGCAGGACCGAATCTCCAATCTGCCACTCTTGGGCCCGCATCCGGGTTCTCGCTGTTTTCTTCGGTTTTTGGTGCTGATTTGTCGTCGTCAGGCCTCAAAAGCTTGTCCTTAAAAGAGGAGTCAGGATAAAAATTAATATATTCTTAGACTTTAATACTGTGGAACAGGATGAATATAAAAAATGAAAAAACATTATGGAAAACTTTGAACTACAGATGTCAGGGGCAAGCACCATTTCCACATAATTATGCCTTAATTATTGTAAAATATCGATGGCCAAAACGCAAAACCAGGTATCTCTATTTGCAACATTACAAACTTCCGGTCATTCTTTGTTTATTCTTTGGAAAACTAGTGGATCAAATTTATTGAAAATTTTCTTGATTTCTTTTCTCTGTTAGTAGAATACTCTGTAAAAATTTCAGGCTATGGGACTGGCTTGTTTTTTTTCAAAAAAAATAAAATATGAATGGACATTTTGAAACATGGCAACAAACATGCGTCGTTTTGCACTTTGGCCATCAATATATTAAATTCCCCTTTTAGATGAAGACATTATAATTGACCACAGTTTTTTCTAGAGAAAATTATAATAATACCAATAGCCATTTATACTGATCTATAGAACTTGGAAACTTTTAATTTTTCGCTCAAAAAAGAAAAATGGTCGAAAGATACTTACTTCATCGTCAGATTGAACTTGGTCTAGTTCCGGGGGAGGAGCATAATTGAAGGCCCATCCTGGTTTTCGAGTTTCTGAATCAGAGCCCGAATCTGACAAATAACGCTGGTTCCCATCATCGTCTTTTTTCTTCTTCTTTCGTCGTTTCTTGACATTTCGCCAGATTTGAGGCAAACTGCTAGGCTTGCCAACACCAAACAGTCTTGAGAATCGCAATACCTAAGCAGCAAAAACAAAAAATGAGGTTATCGAAAGACTACTTGCCTGCAGACAGATTTACAGGAAATACGAGTGGTATGAGAGAAGTTTTGCAGATAGTTCATGCAATGAGATATCAATGCATTCTGGTGAGAAAATCTCATTCCAACACATGGATTCTAAGAGTTTGCCAAGAATGGGTCCACGATTTGATGTTCTAAAAAAAGTTGTTTTTTTTTCATGTCACTCGTATGTACCTGAGGTTCATCAGATGCATGGTGACCAACTGCTGAACTACTGACACCGCTGTATCGATGGCTGAAGTACGAAACACTGTATCTCCATTGCAGCGTTTCAAAATCCCTACTCCTATTTTATTTTTTGAAGAGAAACAAGTAAACTCTATAGCTTGAGATTCATAAAGAATATTTTTCTATCAGAGACAAAAAATCAATAAATTTTTCACGAAATCAAGTTGACTGCTTTTCTAATGAAAAATGAAAGTAGGACAGGAAGTCTGCTACGTCGCAAAACTGAGAAACATGGTTTTGCACTTTGTTCACCAATATGTATTAGAACTCACATGCAATACAGTTACCCTGACTATAGTCTGTGCAAACCAATTGCACAGGGTAAAAATTCGGGAATTTTCGGGCGAGCCAAGAATTGCACTGTCGGATCCCGGCGAGGATCCGCTGGGTCAGCGCTGAGCTCACCGGAGTATTGTTCCCATTGTGTCCACGCCAAGTCTTTACCTGGCGGCTTGACCCTTGTCATTAAGGCCCTCTGACTACTGGTGGACCAAAAATTGCACACCAATTTTTTTTATCATTTGTGAATTTTTCCTTCATTTCAACGAATTCGGATTCAGCTTGCAATCCTGATGAAAAATATGTACAATTGTAGGTAAGTATAATGGTAAGTTATAGTATTCCAGAACTTTTTTGGAGTTTTTGGAAAGCGCTGAAGGAATTCGCGAGTTCTGTAATACAATAATTTACCATTATATTTGCCTATAATTATATATATTTTTCATCAGGATTGCAAGATGAATCCGAATCCATTAAAATGAAGGAAAAATTCACAGATGATTGAAAAATTGGTGTGCAATTTTTGGTCCACCAGTAGCCAGAGGGCCTTAATGACAAGGGTCCGGCCGCCAGATACCTAAAGGCCCGTCGTGGACACAATAGGAACAATACCCCGGTGAGCTCAGCGCTGACCCAGCGGCTCCTCACCGGGATCCGACGTTGCAATTCTCGGCTCGCCCGAAAATGCCCAAATTTTTGCTCTGTCTAATTGGTTTGCACGGACTATACCTTTGGAGCACCTGAGGTTTAATTAACAAACCTCAGAAAGGATGTTTTCTCCACCCTGTGTAAGTAATGCTCAGAAATTGGGGGAAATATTCACTGAGTAGAAAAGGTATGGATACGCACCTTGCCAAACCGGAAGTCAGGAAACAAGTCTCTAACATCAACACCAGCATACTTAGAGGGGAGCATTGCTGCCAGCGGGGTCTCAAGTTTCTTATTATCCTCATTATCGCTCGTTCCAATGACACCATCATTTTCTCCAGAGGAAGTTGGTGGCTTCAGGTCACAATTTACTTTGAGACCGACCTCTTCATCATCAGCATCATAATCTGTGGTTTCACCATTGCAATCATTTATTGACCTCAGATCAAAAGGTTCGCTGACATCCTCCGCAACTTCAGCAAAATCGGAGAAATCAACCGCTGAGGGAGACTTTAAATCATAATCATTGTCCTCTAGTGATTCTACCTCAAGTTTAACTGTACCATGTGCATCACCATTTGAAATAGGTACAGTGCCATTTGACTGATCAACAAGTTTCAGGTCATCGTTACTGATCACCTCATTGAGCAAAGTATTCAGACCAAACCGACCGAGAGATGACAAATGTCTTTTGGACTCACGGTCAAGGAAACCATCGTCTTCCAGTTCGCCAGATGCATCAACATTACCAAAGAGGAAATTTGTGAAGTTGAATTTTGAATTCGAGATGGAATCATCATCACTGTCATCTCTGTCATCCATGGTAGGAATTTCATGTGTCCGGTGGGTAATTTGTGAGAGATATACTTACAGACTAAATCTAAATAATTTAATTAAAAATTCAGGCACAACACTGTTACTTTCATGTACAAACTGAGTTTCAAAGATTAATATTAATTATTTTACCCGTTATCACTACCCATCCCATCACGAGTTTTTTCTCCGGATTGTTTTCCTTTCCTTTTTCAGGTACGTTCACATTGTTAGTCAGCGGCTGCGGCTAGTGCCGCGCCGGCCACTACGCACACCAACTGCGGATTGCATGTTCCATGTTGTAGTGTGTGAACGTACCTTAATCTTTGATGTGTTGTGGTTTGTTTTGACGTTCCTCGGGTTCTCTTATCACTCCTATCGCAGTCGCAATAATTAAGGGAATTACTTATTTTATTGAAATTGAAATCCCAACAAGACCTATTATTACTCTTCATTCGTGTTGTTGTGCATATCTGTCCAGAGCTTAGTTGTTTTTTCGTGCATTTTTTACTTACATCCATGTAGCACACATATTTTTTAGTCGCTCGTTACTGGTATTACGACTCTCAAAAAAAAGCTCTGCATATCATAATGATCCTTTTTGCTTACCCATGAGTCCTTTAAAAAATTTACACGATGACGACAGAAGTAAGAGAAGCTAGACTTGATGTAAGTCATTTTTAAACATGTTATAGGTTAATTTTTCTTAATAAGACGAGCCAAGGCACGCAGTCGTACCGCTCATGCGTTGAGGTCATGAATTAGGATTCTCTCAACCCTTAGTTCTCATATATCTCAGCTCTTAAGGAAATAATTCTCTGCTTGTTAATGTTCCTTGGTCAGAAACTGAATGTAGTGTTATCGATTCGGCTTCTGCCAAGGTGTCTCCATCGGTACGTTTAACTGAGCTGTACATTCACCCGCTCAGTTTCTTACTGAATATTGTTAGATTTTCCCTCTTAAAGTTCAAGGAAATTTATAAGGACTTGCTTTTTCGCTTCTTTATACCTCTATCTCTCATATAAAATGTTAGTTCTCTCGAAACCTAACAAGGCGTAAGTAAGTATCTCCTAGAAATTGAGAACGAATTAGAGGTAAAAAGGCAGTTTCTGAAACCCGGCAATTATATTAAAAAATGTCAAGATTTGAAATTGTTCGTTTTCCCGAAGAAAGTAAGGAAGTTTGAATCATCAGGTTAAAATTCTGTAATTGTGATTTTGGCATTCTCGTTTGTTTCTCGGCTGCTTTTTACACGTGGAATAAACATTTCTCAGTTCTTGAGAGTGGAAGGTGTTGAAATACATAGAGATGCACTGCTATGGGGAAGCATTATAAAGCTGGTGTGTACCATGCATTTTGCTTGTCAAAATAGGTCCAGGTCCTTGGGACACTTAAAAATGTTTTTATTTCATTACAGATCTACCCTACTAACTACGATGGGCCAGTTCAAGGGTCCATGGATCTGCCCAATGCGCAGCAGAGTCAAAAAAATGGAGAGCCAGAATTCAACACCCTGGATGAACCTATCAGCACTACAATTGTAAGTTTTTCTCTCTTACATGGAAAGATTTGAGAAGAATGCAGACTTCTAGGATTTGTTAGGTAGTCAGGTTTGAATTCCTCCAAGAAGTTTGAAAGCCGGGGTTTTTTTTTCATTTGAAAAAACTGAGCGATGTACCTAAGTACTTTAAAGTTTCCTTCTCTTCTACCTTGAGTAAATGCTCAGCACCTACTCAGTTCACATTTTTTTGTAAGATCTCTTGTTTGATTTTGTCAAGGAAAGCATTTTCATTTACTTAAGTAACTTCCAAAAATTCCAGAGGCTGGATTTTTTTGTCATTCAATCTTTTTAAAAATCTGATGAAAGAATCACATCCATTGTAAACAATCTTTGGAGAAGATTTTGTAGGTAAGCATCTTTTTAGATGAATGCAACAATCTTCAGATACGCTTGTGGAATTTTAATTACCTAATTGAATGTTTTAAAAAAAATTTCAGATGCGAGATCTCAAAGCTGTTGGTATCAAATTCAAACATGTGTTGCAACCAAAGGAGAAGACAACCTTATTGAAAGAATGTAAGACAATTTATTTGATCTTGACCTAGATTAAAGATACCTTTCAATGATTTGAAACATTTCTCTTCAGAATCGGCTGCAGCTAGTTGGAATTTTATCATAGGGTAAAAATTATAAAAGCTCATCCAAATTACAGCAAAGAGTTTAAATCTCTTGATGTTCCGAATTTATTTATTTTTGTTTTTGTTTTCCCTGAAAAAAGTATTTTCACTAGCCTTTATGGAAGCCTATTCTGTCCATGATTAATTATGTGCTAAAAATTATCTAAAACATGCTGAAATCAGGGGACTGTTAAATTGTAATTCTCAACTGGAAATCTCAAAAACTTAAATCAAATTTCTGCAATTTTGAAGAATCTCCATCAGTTTTACCCTAAAATAATATTTCAGCTAGCTACCGATGATTCCAAGAAAAAATTGAAATTCGACCCACCCTAATGAGGAAGAATCAGTAATAGTTTCAAGTGATAATGTTCATCAGTTTTCCTCAGCAAAAATCAAATGTGATGAGAAATTTGTATTTCAAATTGAGATACATATTGATGGTTTAAGTCGGCAATCACATAACTCGGTTTGCGACGTTGCAGACTTCCTGTTATACTTCATTTTTTAAACGGAAAACTACTCAACGGCAATTCTTTAAAACTGCGGTGATTTTTCTTCTCTGTGTGAAGAAAATTCTGCAAAAACTTCAAGGAATGATGTCAATTTGTTCTCCTTTAAAGAAATAACATAGAGGCGGAGATTTTTAGACACCGTAAACGAGTTATGAGATTGCCAACTTACACCGTGGATATGTGTTTTGCTATTGATTTGGCATTGCTATGAAGCGTGCAGGTTTAAAAAAATGATAATCTTGTCTATCATTGGATTTTAAAAACTTATATCCTGAGTCAGCTGAATTTCATTCTGCATGTTGAAAAAATGGCAATTTATGTAAGGTGATGGTGGGTGAACATGTAGGTAATTGAAGTTTCATTCAATTGTTGTACATTAATCCCCTTGTCGGTCTGTTTTACCCGTTTCACTTGCTATAATTGATGACTACTTTTTTCATTTCAGGGGATTTGTGGGGACCCCTATTGCTGTGCACTTTCATGGCTCTGTAAGTTACCTCCTTCTCAAGTAATTTTAGCCTGTCTTCCCAAATATAGTAGGCTTATCTTGCTCAATAAGTGCTATAACGTCTTGCTGAGTGGGAGAGCTTTGAAAGAACAGCCAAGCAAAGTCCCCAGCGTGTCAAGGAAAAACGCTATTTGAACTTTAAAATTTTGTCAAATTTCTCCAACATAATACTTATTTTTTTTAGAATAGTCACAAATATTTTGCTCGAAAATTTTTAAATGCAATGTCCAAAACTGCGAATGAAATTCTCAATGAATATCAAAAAAAAGTATTCACAATGTTCTTGAAAAAAGGAAATTTTCACATAAGTTCCTCTATTCCTCACAATAGCAGCAGAAATTGAGAATGATAGGAAAAGTTCAGAAAGGGCCTTGCACACAAAGATTTGGAAATTCCCCTTAGTTGAATATTTGACGAATTGTTTTTTAGAATTGTCCCCCGCCCTTGCCCCCCCCCCCCCCNCAACGCTGTTTTCAAGGTACGGACTGAGAAGAGTGCTGCTTTGAGCCAAGATTGCTTATTAGTCAGCGCAAGTGTAATAGTAATGTCAATATGATACTGGTCCATGGAGAGATTTTTTGTTTACTTGATTCTGTTGCTCTGGGATTTTGGACGATTTAAATGGGGGTTATCTGAGAGGTCCTTTAAGGAAGTTTCAGAAGTACTGAAAAAGCATTGGAAATATTCAAATGGTCAGGAATTTGTATGTTCCATACATTTGTTCAAACGATTACCATGAGACTTTTACATTGAGAAACTCAGCATGTGTATTATAAAAAGAGGTGGAAGTAAAGTCTGCAAGAGCAGTCATTTTGAGAGTTATCTCAAGTAATCCAGAAATAAGCAGTGACAGGTACAGTGAGGAAAATACTGCTATTCCTGAAGTTCGTCATTCTCAAAAGTTCAGTTTTTTTCATTTTGATTGAATTGGATGTACTTCACATTCATTGCTGTCAAATGTTGCAGGATGCTGCAAGGGTCCCAAGACAAGGCCAACAATGAAAATGATGGCGGTCCAGAATTCGCTGAAGTTTTTGTTATTGTTTGGATAGGTGCTGCTATCGTTACAATAAATTCTAAACTTCTAGGAGGGAATATGTAAGTTAATAATTAATAATCAGATTTTCCAGTAGAAACCATGTCATTAGTTTCATAGAGTCAGCCATGTTGTATACACATAAACTAGAACTAAAACACAGAGACCATAACTGAAACAAAACAGGGGAAAAACTCATTAAAATTAAAACAACCCTGAGTAGTTAAAATTTGGCCTGACTCATATTTGTTTTGAGCAAATCCAAGTGCCTTTAAAATTTCAAAAGGCATTTGTCATCCCCCCCCCCCCCCCCCCCCCCAATTTCACTGTATTTTCTTTTAAGTAATGAAATTTTTTATCAAGCACAAATAGACTTAATTTCAAAAGGATTTGACTGTTTCCAACAGTTCGAAAATAAATGTTCCTACTAATAAATCAGTATAGTTGCAATGTATCAAAAAGTTTATATTCCTGACCGCAAAAGTTTATTTATGAACAAAGACTTCATCTTTAAATTTTTTTTTCCCTCCATTGGTTCTGACGAATCAAATAAATCCCCTCTGATTTGTAATTGCTTGGTCAGGACCTAGTTTTTGTTTTGTTATTAAAATCTAAAGCATCGATAGATTTATATTATTTATAAAATTTTATCTATTATTTTTCAGATCATTTCTGCAGAGCGTTTGCATTCTAGGATACTGTTTATTGCCTCTAGCAATCGCGCTCATAGCCTGTAGATGCCTTGTATTCCTATTCTCTCCTTCAACATTCCTTTTCTTCACAAGTTTATGCATATCAATGTCAGGATTTTTATGGGCAACGTATGGTAAGTAGTTAAAAAATTAAATTCAATTAAAAAATTTAAATATGGTGTCTTCAATCTTTTCTGTTGATATAGCGGGTATCTCAAGTGAAACTCCAAGTCTAAGCCAGTGATATTCAGTTTCCTTTTATCATAGTTCATTATTGAGGCCTCTCTCAAAAATGTTGTTTGCTAGCGGGTTGTATGTATGTTTTTTTACATCTTTAATCGTTCATGGGGGAAGAAACCTTAGTGCATAAAGACAACTTGTTCAGAAAAGCGATTTTTATCGTAAAGTTGCATTTCAAATCGTAACTCAATGATTTTGACATTTTCTTGCAGTCCAAGATTTGCCGTAATACATGGATGGTGAGATATATTTTGCACCTTAAGCTTGAAATCAAACATTATCGGAACATTTTCATCATCTCAACACTTTCCTTTTGTTTTGTTATGTTTCAGCATCGCTCTTGTTTCTTGGCAACAGTCAGCCAGACGGAAAGAAAGCTCTGGCAGTTTACCCAATATTTTTGTTTTATTTTGTCATAGCCTGGCTAGTTTTAGCGTCCAATGTTCATTAATTCCATTGTCTTGCGTTCTTGTGTGATTTTCTCATGCTCTCGATTTTACGTTTGCAAAAGACTTTAATGTTGTTTTCATTGTTTTATTATTTTTTTAAAACTTGTTTGATTTGTGATAACAGTATACATGTGCATAAAGTCCAATTCTAATCTCCTTCTCATTTTCCTCAAACTTTTTTTAAACTTTTATTTGGACGGATGGCAGATTCGGCTGTAGTTAGGTTGATTCCAGTCAAAAATGCAGTCTTCAAAATTCAATGGATTTTTAATTTTCTGGACTTGTTCTACAGAAAATACGATGAAAGCAAGGAGTCAGTCTCCTTATCAAGCCCTGATTAAAAAAAAATTTGCTATCAAAAATGAAAAGCAAAGAATGAATACTTTTGATGATTTTATTTTTTTTTTTCGATAACAAGAACATTAACAAGAATATAAAATAAACAAAATTCAATTAATGAGAAGCAAGGAATGATACAGGAATGACTGCGAAATCAGACCAACCTACTGCTTATAAATTCTTCGGTGCATTTCACATATTCAGATCTATAGCTTCCTTAGAGTACATAGAGTTGTAATGTAAGTGGGAGAGCTGGCGCCACTTTTAAGCATTTTCCATGTCCCGAATTCCGAGACTCCTGTGTGACGCCGGGTCACTTTTTCGATACATAATCGATTGTTTGCGATACACGGGTAACCGGCCATCCGATGACAACAACAACAACAACAACAAAGGAGATAGGAATTACCACGTATTCCACACCGCCATTTTGGATCGAAAATGTATCGAAAAAGCGACCCGAACTCGGCGCACACCGGGCTTGGCATTCGCCGAGCAGAACATGGCGCCAGCTCTCCCACTTACATTACGACTCTATGTACTCTATGATAGCTTCAATAAGAAAGCTTGATAAATTAAAGCACTCTTTCAAATAATGTTATTATGTACAAAAAAAACAAGTATTATGTACATAAATTGAGAACTTGAAATGAAAAATATACCTTGATGACCTCTTTTAATGCTTTTTGGTTGGGAAATCAAATTCTTCGACTGAATTTTTGGTACTAGGTACCTACTAAATTTTCAAAATATTCACTACTTTTTACTCACAATACTTATTCTATGCGACAGATCAGGAAGGTTATTTTGGTGTGTCTGCTTACCTCAATCAGACTTTCAGTTTCAGGGAATCACCTTTAACTTGAAGGCTCCATTCTTCAGGAGTATACATTTTCCTATGTATTAATATTATTGCTACAAAAAGAAGTTTAAGTAGAGTAAACTAATGCAAGAATTAGTAAAAACCGGTAAATCCACATTACCCTACAAGAGATCAATACATATGTGCTGCTGTTCTAAGTTTGACACTCTTTCTGCCAATTTTTAACGTTCAAATTATTTCGTTTGGTATTCTACTACATAACCCTGCAAGCAAACAGAGGATGTCATCTATAGCTGTCTTACACAACATGAAAAAAATGAATGCCGTGCTCACATAGTGAAAGAAAAAAATTGTCGATTTTTAATCACCCAAGTGGTTTCTTAAACTCTTCGGTATGATTGAATACTGACTATTCTTTCTTTTTAAACAAAGAAAAAGAAATTGTATTTAAATAAATTTCCCATTTAGACACAGCTCTGTAAGTCCATTTTCTCAAAATGCCAATTTTACACATTATGTTCTCCTCAGTGGAACAGTAGTATTGATGCAAGGCACCAGTGGAGATGATATCGCAACAAAAATAAAAAAAAAAAGACTTGCTCAAAGAGCAGTACGCTAGAAGATATAGATGGCCATGCTTAAATGACGAGCATAGCATAGCCCGTAGCAATAACACAAATCTAACTAACATCACCTAAGACATTTAAGCGTATAAGTAGATTTGCAGGACTCGGAGCAAAGACTCATTTGGTAAAAACTAAAAAGGACATTGTGACGAGAGAGGCTCAAGAAAAATGTTCAGCGTGCTCTAGTTGATTTTCCTGTACGAAAGTATCTTCCTTCTGATATTCTTGTTTGTAGTATTCTTCCATGAGTTCTTGAAGGTTTTTCTCTAGACTCGCTACCTCGTCGTACATGTGAGCAGCTCTGTAAAATTATCAAATTGTAGCGAATAGTTAGTATACCATGATTTGCCTGTTAATGCAAAATAAGTTTACGTGCATTAAAGGGTTTAGAAAAGGACATGCCTGGATATAAAAGATATGTCGATGGCCAAAGTGCAAAACCACACAACTCCGTAAGCAATGTACTTTATTTTTTCTTTGGAAAACTGGTGAACGTAATTTCTTGAGAACTTTCATAATTTTTCTTCCCTGTTAGCAGAATATTCAATCGAAATTTTAAGTTATATATAGTTGAGTTGTTTCCATTAATGTTGAAAAATGGGGAATTTATACAACTGGAAAGCTTTGGAGGGCGTTTCAAATTTTTCCAAGTTGGTGGTTGCTTTGAAGCTTCAATGTAAAAAGCATACGCCTTACCTTGCTTGCTTGATGTAGCCTCTTAAAATGTTCATTTGCTGGATCATTGGATCTTCTGAAGTGTACATTTGTGCATTTTCAGGCTTCCAACCCTCCTCCAACGTAGCACCACCCTACAAAGAATTACAAACGTAACAGATAATCATTGAAAATCGTAACGATCAGTAATAAAGAATATAAAATCCCTAACAAGAGAGAAATCATGAATCAGTGTTTTGGGGTTTTAATCATAGTCGCTTCTTAAACTGCTCCTTTCCTTGAGAAGCCCCACATGGTTTACAATGTAACCAGTAGGGAAGCCTTGGACTAATCATGATTAAATAGACAAGTTTTGCAAATTTTCAATAAAATTCAGCAAAAAGTCTTTGAAATTGGATGAGATTACAATCATTTGTCACTACAAAAATTACAATATACAAAAAAGAATCTTCTGAGATTTTGAACATCTTTAAGGTAGGTGCATACCCGACTTAAATTTTTCAAGACATGATAGAATATTTTCTTTTGTATTCTGTATTTTTTGTGGCTGCAAGTCATTGTCATTCCTTGTAAGGATCCATTTTCAGAGTCATAACACTGGATTTCATTTTAGGTTCGCAAAAGTTGTTTATTTTATGATAATGTGATCAAGGCTTCCTTAAAACCTCTTTATTCGCACTGTAAACCACTTAAGGACTCCTCAGGAAAGAAGCTGTTTATGAAACGACCATGAATACTTACTGCCCAAAAAGATTTCTTTAGAAAGCACATGAGACTTGGGCACCAGGAGTTTTTTCATGAAAGATTCCCCAAAGCCTATGATATATTGTTGAATCTCTAGTTTGACGCAGAAAAGTTGATAGGTTTTAAGAGTATGTGTACCTTACAACCTGAAGTGAAAATATTGATTCTCCCAATTACCCACTATTTTTCCATCCTTTCCTTGCCTTTAAGCCCAATGTCATTGTTAGGCTGATATAAGCCCAATGTCATTGTTCGGCTGATCTTTCATTTTGATTTCAAAAGAGCATGAGAATCACTGCATTGCAAACATTGTACATATTTAATTTGAGCTGAAAATTGAATCTTTAACCGCAAATTCGCGACCAGAATTTTTTGAAAGCTTTAAATCTTCAAAGTAGTGCGTAAATTAAAGGCCTGTCTAGTTAAAATCTATTTAAAGAATGCCTGAAAGAAAGAAGAATGTTGCGGAAAATTTGGCTGTCATCACTTAAAAGAAAATTCATGATGATTACCTCATTCTTGGAGGTTTGAAGATGAGAGACTGATGTTCTGATATTAGGCGTCCTCTGAGAAATCTGAGATTGCTTCTCTTCCTGTATCCGTTGTTCGATTTCACGTCTGTTGAATAAACATTAAATATTATTAAATTTTGTTAAACAATAAATTTTTTAAGATAATTAATTCTCTATATTTTGAACTTTTTTACCTGCATTGATGTAACTGATGGGTTTATTAACTGTGAGCTGTTGACACTGAGTGAATAAGTACTCGAATTAATAAACAAAACTCACTTTTTTAGAGCACCGACACCACCAGAGACATTTCTGAGTCTTTTGCCTCCTTTCTCAACAGTCAGAAGACTCCGAAAATTGCATGGTATTTTAAGGAATGTTCAGTTAAGTTACTTCAATTAGTTCAGAGCTTGTTTAATCTTTATCTGTTTTCAGTGGAAGGTCTGGATGTAAAAATGTAACACAAGATTTATTTTAAAAACAAAATTGCTTGAAGAAATTTGGTATTCTAATTCGTTGCTATTTTTGGAAAAGTTTATGCGTTCATCGAAGTATCTTAAATTAACGATAACTTCGGAGGCACTTTATGTCATTGAGGGCGCAGTGCAAAAAAAAGGTGTGCCTGATGCGACAATTCGTTGACATAATAAATTAATAAGTTGCTGGTCTTTACACGCAGTTATTGTACCATTTTAATTTGAAAATGAAAACAGCACTTTTCAGAGAACCATAATTGGAAAATTAACATTTAAAATTCAAGATATCTTTTGAGACTTCATCTAGAAATTCAATTTTCTTTTTATAAATAAAGTGATACTTTGCTTTATCAGATATTGTTCAATTTTGAGTAGAAATTAAACATATGTACACTCGGACAACTAGGGAATGATTAACCTTCGTTTTTCCTGTAATCCGAGGAGTTGTTCTTCCGTGGGTAAAGATGGAAGTTGCAACAGTTCCGTGCACAGGTATGACTTGGTTGCTACACGAATTGCACTTTGTAAGCGAAGTTGTAGCTCAGAGATATTTGCACCATTCTTTCTGCCAAAGCTTTCTATTTTCCGACTGAAAAGAGAAAGAACATTTCGAAATTAAAATGGGAAGAATTGAATACAATAGCATCCTTTTAAATTTGCATAATTAAGCACCATGTCTATGAGATAGTATAAAAAATATAAAATGAGCATCAAATTGGGAATCAATACCTGGTTGTATCTATGTTCTCGGCTAATTTTCCGATTTGCAACCTGAGCGTTTGAGCATCGCTTAGTTTGTACATCGTTTCCCCTGCACTGAAACAGAAATTATGAAATAAACTAGGACAAACAGATTGATAAGGATTGTAACTATGAGATAAACTTACACAAAAATTTGTATATATTAGAGAAAGAGCAAATTCTCATTAGTAAACAAAAAATTTGGAATACTGATCTTACAGAGTGGTTAACTCTAACAGTAACTTAGGTCTTTTTTGTAAATTGAATCAAGCCCAATCCACATAGGTCAGTCATTACGCATGTTTGTGCAATCCACTTCCCTGCTTGACTGCAGCCCGTATAATGCAGGAAAAACTCAGAAAAAAATGATCCCATACAAAATTCATTGCATTTTAACTGCCTGTCGTCACTGTGCAGTGGGGTCTTAAAATTGTTTGGCAGAAATGACTATTCTGTGTCGATTGGTTGTAAATGTATTTGATACTACAAGGTCTGTCCGGAAAGTATCCAACCTTGTTGATTATCTCGCCATCAACGGTTGATAAGAGGTTGGGGCTTGGGATTATTTTTGCAGGGACTCTCCTGAGTGCAGGTGCACATCTGCATTATCACTCGTTGAATCAGTCGTTGGTAATTTGCTGATTAGTGCGTGCTATTCTGCTGTGATCGTCGGATTTCGTTTCTCCTAAATCACAGGGGACGCGTCTTGGTTCTATGGGTACGACCCTGAGACAAAAGTGCAATCGTCAGTTTGGATCGCACCTGGGAGACCTCGCCCGTAGAAAGTTCGGAAGAGTCGCAGCAATGTGAAGACAATGTTGACTGTCTTCTTCGATCATGAAGGTGTCGTCCATCATGAACACGCTCCCCATGGCCCCTTGAGCTACGTAAAGTTTCTCGGTAGCTCTTTTTATTCATACTAGAGCATTTGGGAGTGTATTCATGATGGACGACACCTTCATGATCGAAGAAGACAGTCAACATTGTCTTCACATTGCTGCGACTCTTCCGAACTTTCTACGGGCGAGGTCTCCCAGGTGCGATCCAAACTGACGATTGCACTTTTGTCTCAGGGTCGTACCCATAGAACCAAGACGCGTCCCCTGTGATTATCTTCTTCACAAACTCTTCCCACCCCACTCTCCTTAACTTCTTTTTTTTAAGGAGAAACGAAATCCGACGATCACAGCAGAATAGCACGCACTAATCAGCAAATTACCAACGACTGATTCAACGAGTGATAATCCAGATGTGCACCTGCACTCAAGAGAGTCCCTGCAAAAATAATCCCAAGCCCCAACCTCATATCAACCGTTGATGGCAAGATAATCAACAAGGTCGGATACTTTCTGGACAGACCTCGTAGGGTTAAATATTGGAGAGATATTGAAAGCCACCGGGGAATGAAGGAATTAGATGACACAGTTGAAAGAATGGACGATGAGATAATTATAAGTTTTTTTAGTAAGGCTCATATTACAGTGATCTTTTTGAAAAGTTGAATGCCAGAGCTCAATTTTTCAGTTGAATATTCAATTTAAAATCTATCTTATGTTAAAAGCTCCAAAAGTACTTAGTTCTTTTAGAGATGTCAACGACGGAGGGGGGGCAGGGATAGGCAACTGAACCCTATATATTTGGCATTTGACCTTTTACTTGTGTAGTTTTTTATGGCATTTTGAGGGATTTATTGAACTGTCATGTACCCATTCGCAATGGAGCAAAGTCACCCAGAATAATACTTATTAGTATATGTATATATGAAATTAGGAAGACAGGCCAGGTTTCACTTACTTCAAAGATTCACTCATTTTCAGGAACTGTTGAGTTAGTTTGTTTGCTTCTTTGTGGAATTCACTGAGGATTTCATAATATTCTGCGAGCAAAGGTTTACAATTCCTTGTGTCCGTCATCAATTTCCGATTTTCGAGTAACTACAAAAGATGAAACAATAAACACATTACATTCCTTGTAGAAGAAAAGCTGCTGAGCTAGGAGAAGAAAAAAAACCATTGATTTTATTTCTCTCTCTAAATGAAGTATTTTCTGACTTCAAAGTCAATTATTTCAGGTAACCTGTAGATTATATCTAGCAAGTTTGGGAAAAAGTCTGGGTCAGCAACTAAGTTTTCTATGACTATAACTATTATCTAAGCTGAAAATTATGATAGAACTGAGGATGGAAAAGAATTCAGAAGCATATAGGTTGCAATAATTTCTCAATACTTGTACTTCTCAGAATAGTTGATTCTCATAGAAACCACCTGTCAAACGGCTGGTCCATTTCTAATAAGTCATGCAAATTGCATCTTTCGAGGAGCGAGAGGGAGAAGACACAAACTCACCCTGTAGCAATGGATACATAGTCGCAACTCTTGTTCAGACGGCGGGGACAGCTCTTGCTCCTTAGGACCCATTAGAATTTCTTCTAAACAAAAGAGGGAAAAATACAGACTTGTTAATGGTTTATGTGAGGAATCCAAATAACACACCTAAGACTCTGCTCAGATTTTTAGTAAATAATAGCAGGACCTCGAATGCTCAAAACAACATTGCAACCGGTACAAATGGGTAGCAAAATAAGAGAGGAGGAGTTAATATGCTTACTAAAGTGACTAAAAGTGGAGGAATTAACACCTCATGTTTTTACAGTCGAATCTTGTAGCGTACCTTGAAAAAAAAAGTCTGGCAAACGACAAGTTTTGACCTCCAATATTAATTAAATTATTGCTCTTCAAAACGCATAGTCTTTGGTAGTACACATTCTGTACGATTTACTTCAATCTTTCGTTTTTTTTTTCTTTTTGCTGCAATGCCTAAATTTTGATTGAAAATTTTTCTCAAGATCTGTGAACTGTCGATTTTCATACAGAAACGGCAAAAATCCTCGACAAGGGTACAAAAACTTCTAAACAGCATGATCAGTGAGCTATGTAAAAAAAAAGAACTAGGTCAGTTTGCGGCAATCTAAAAAATCACGCATCATTTGCATTACTGCAGATAACTTAAAATATGAGGAAGCATTCCTTTGAAAGTCACCACTTTGAGAAACCAAAGGAAATGAGGGATTTTAAATGTAGGAGGGCCAAGGATTTTCTGCACCTCTGATGATCTGCAATGGTGAGCAGTGATGATTAACAAGGCCTGTGCTCAGACTAATGTACGGGACTTGGCCTCCACTTGATTTGGGTCTTAGCTCACCGCTTATAGATATTTTAACTTTTTTTCAAACCTCACTTGCTGTTTGCAGATTGAGGAAATGACTGCAGTCATGACACATGATAGCACCACACAGGCGACAATGGTGCTGCCGCCGTGCCAAGTGAAAACTCCGCGTGCACTCTGGACACCTGGAGACATTCGCACCATCTAACCAAGGAACCACGGCTTGCTCATGGGCTGAAATAACAACATAATGAATAAATACATGACAAATAAACTTCAAAAAATTATAATTGTTTTAACGGTCGATTTCATGCAAATTTAAATGAGACTAAAGCCTACTTATAGGACCTGAAACCTACATGAAGAGTTTCTAGCTGATCTGAGCACAGAATGCAAGGGCTACGTGGATGAGGGAATGTTAGGGACAAAAAAACATTCTATGATTTCAAAATCTACTTTCTTAAATGCAATTGGCTGACAATTTCCTTCTAAAATATTGCTGAATTACATCTAAAGTATGTCAAACATCTAGGAAATTGAAAAAAAGAAAAAAGTTCAACAGTTCCCAAGTAAAGACATTGATTACGAAAGGAATTGACATTGATTACGAAAGGAATTGACATTGATTGCGAAAGGAATTGACATTGATTACGAAAGGAATTCATGCAATGATGTGATGTACAAGCGGGATCGTTGTTCCTGTGAAAAATAGTTTTCCATAACCTGCTATACATCATTCAAAGGACCACAGGAGATAGTTCGGGCATAGACTTTTCTCGTAAAGAAAGCCTTTCTCCTCAATAGTATCGCACCTGTCTTCGGCACTCGTGTTTTCCTTATCCTCTCCTCATTGCAGGATGCGTCGACTTGCAATTACCTGAAGACAAGGACTCCACATCTTATCTGATAAAATTAGTCAGTCTCTATATAGGTGATAGGTAAATCTTCGATTAAGAGCGTGGGTCCGGACCACTTTTCTGTAGCCACCGGAGCTGTGCACTGCGGTGTATGCAGGGTTACGGAAAACTATTTTTCGCAGGAACAACGATCCTGCTTGTATTTTCACTACTTTGTTTGGGAAACAACAAATTCGGATGAAACACTGGTGGAAAACTAGAATTCAGAATTTTTGAGAGGCAAATTCTTCGAAAATTTTGATAGGAGCTGGTGGTCAGTTTTCCTTCAGAAAATAATGGAGCAGAGCAGAGACTTACGATATGGCAATCTGAGTTACGCATTCTTCGATTTTAGCCATTGATGCGTGTCTCCTTGTTTCAACATTCAAATCTGTTAGGTACCAAATGAGAAAAATTTTGACTATTTCATACTTGAAACTGTCCATGAAAAAAGGAACTTCGATGTATGGAAGCAGGTTTTGAAATGATGAAGTTGAGTCAAAAAATTAAACATCGATTTTTCACAGAAAAACACTTTCTAGTGTCTAGAAAAATAAGCTGGAAAGCTTTAGTTCATTGTTCCAATGTTACATCTTCATCGAAGGAATTTCTGAAATTCAGCAAGAAACAGGATAGGACAACCACTTTTGGCAATCAATGTTTTACTAAGAAATTCTACAAAAATCTGTTCATCTTAGCAGTGGCTGCAAAAATTTACCTTTTTTCTTGACTGGATCATGTGGCATACCCATCAGTAATTTATCTAATCGAATTATAAGTTTGTTTGTTTCGGCAGAGAAGCGTTCAATCCTGTCATTGCGAATGCGCTTGAAAGCATCTGTGTGACACTTAAAAGATCCTGAAAAAAAAACCGATGAAAAGGAAATTGAGTTAAGCATCAACAGTTTCTAGTATGAATCTCAGTTTTGTTAAAAAAGGCTTTACAGCACTTGATCAGACTACTTTTTTATTTGAAGAATTTTCTTTAAGGTGAGTTAAAAAAATTAAACTTTCAGATTTTTCACTGTATAGAATCACATAAAACTTTCGAATTGAGATGTTTTAATATAAAGCCATCGATTCATAAGCACGTAGTCAGTCCCGCTGCACCTCTAAAAATAAATTCATAAATCCCTACAAATGACGATAGTGGCACAGAGATTCTGCCTATATCAGCTGAGCATAAGGGAAGTATTTACCAACAAAAGACTAAAACGACAAAGGTTTGGAAAGGAGATACATATGCTGAAAGTTTCGTTCCTCCATGGGACTTAAAATTTAAAAGTCAAAACTTACAGTTAAATATTCACAAGCCAGATACTTTTTGTCAGCTTTCAATTTTGAACGCGATAAGAAATGCTTATAGATGAGCTCAAAACTTTCACTTGGTTTGCTTTTGCTAAATGCTACCTAAAATTTTAGCACAAAACCTTGACTACAGTTGTGCGGAAATTTTTTCTCTCCTGAGAGGTAGGACGATTTTTCATTGCTGTGTGGAGCATTTTCATTTGAAAAAAAATCATTTACCATAATGAACAAAATGTTAGGCCCTGTACACCATTCAGTGAGTAGTTAGCTAGTTGTTGCTTTGGTGCTTAATTTATGTCCAATGTGCAAGAATTTAAAAAAAAATAATGTGTGGAGTCCTTGATTGCCATACCTATAGTTTGTGGATTAACAGCTTCACTGGTTATTATACTGGAGACTGGTTGCACCTTGCTCGAACTTGAGGCACCAGGGCTTGCCACATTATTTTCATCTTGTTTCAGAATCCTCTTCTTGGCTTTCCCAAATATGTCTGCGACAGGAAAGAAAAATACAATCAGTGAGTTGAAAATATAAAAAATGGAGAGATGATGTTCAACAACTGAGAATTCAATTTTTTTGCCATTTGAAACTACTTAAGATGGGGAGATTGACTCGTTCTTGACCAGTTTTAGAAAATGATGAGTAAATATATTTTGCCGATATTGATACCTATCATAATAGAATTTGGCTGTGTATTGAGAGCCAACGTGCAACGCGACGTAATCCCATAACAATGTTTCAAATTTTTGCTCCTGTGCTACTTTTTTGAAGAGAAGCAAGCCAATTTTACAGCTTGAAATTCATAATTAATATTCTGCTGACAGAGAAAAAAACTCAACCAAGTTTTCAAGAAATTACATTGACTAGTTGATCAAAGAAAAAATAAAGCAGGACAAGAAGTCTGCAACATCACAAACGGAGGTAGAGGTGTTGTCAGCTAAGTTGACGGTTGTTTACTTTCGGTTTGCAAGCTTCAACGACAAAATTTGGGCCTCTGCACAAAGCAGCGTTTGCTACTATCCACCTTGAAAACATCCGTCTCATGATCGTATCATAAAGAAACTACTTATCAGTGGCTGTGATTTCTGTGCGGCTAAAAATTAAAGTGTTACAAGGTTTGAAAGCATTAAACAGCTATCTAAGCTTGTGTTCTTGCTTCTGCGAGCGTCAGATGTTTTCATGTGGATAGTAAAGATGCGAAAACGCCAGCAAACCGAAAGTAAACAACCGTCAACTAGGCTGATGACACCTCTACAAGGTTTTGCACTCTTTTGATATATTTGCCAGGCTTTTAAAAGTATCTTAGGAAACGCAGGGATTTGATGATAGTGGATTTTTTCATTATTTACGATCACAATTTTCCTTGACGAAGAAAGGTTGATGAAATTGAGATTAAAAGTAAAATACTGACCTTTTAGTGATTTCAAAATATCCTGTTCCTCTGAATGCTCTTCTTCATAATGTTTAAGTAGCTCAGTGGCATTCCCGAGGTCAGTTTTACAGTTAGGACAAATGAATCCAAAAAGGACAGGAGAGTCATCCTCAGCCATTTTGATAAATTTGAATGCTGCTAGATAGACTGAAATTCGATAGTATAACAATTTAATTAAGTGACTTAACATAATTTAATCATCTGAGCAATAAAATTAATTTAAGATGCATGCAAAGGTAATTATTCTTATTATAGGAATAACGTTCAGACAATGAAGAATAGCAAATCCCAAGTTACAGGTAATGTTCAGGAAGCTTTCCAGTAAGCTTATACTTTCCGCCTTTTACTAAACTTCCAGCATGATCATTTTGGTCAATTTTAGTATACTTCAATGGTATTTTCTTCTTCTTTTCGTACAGTTCAACACGAGAAAAAATGCTTTGGGCACCCGTGAGTATCACTCACTCAACTTAAATACTGTTGAACAGTAAAATTTAGAAATAACTAGGTTCAAAACTGGAATTCCGTTGTTCATTCAGTGAAAATTTGATTATACTTAATTTCTACGAGAAGAAAAAACCAATCCTCAAAAATGTTAACAGTAACAAAATAACTGGTACTAATCAAAATTCATCCACTGTTTTTAGAATTTTTAAAGCAATTTAACGACCATCGGTACGGTTCGTATGGATGAATCACCCTGAGTGAACAAATCTTGTAGAATTTTCTCCTCATCTACTCTTTGGCTGTTCACCAATGCTAAGAATGAGAGAGGCTGGCTCTACAGTTAACTGTAAAAACGTATTCTTTGTATTTCTGTCATCACACTTGATGGTTTAAGAAGCATGGGTGTAACAAAATTTGTCCTCAGCGCCCATTTTTTCATAAGAGCAAAAAAATGTTCAGTTCAGAGGAAACTATACTAGAGTCTAAATTTAAGCGCATACACTGAGAGATATTATACGCAGAGTAAGCAACTACATATAACAAGAGGTGCGACATCTGCCAATGAGCATGCCCTCAATAGGAGATTAGAAATAATTTGTTTTGTCGTCTATGCCTGGCTGTATTTGAACCTATATACACATGCGGTGACAGATAATTTTGATTACATTGATGCAGAAATTAGAGCACAGGTTCATTGACAAATTCATCTATATTGTTTGTTTAATAAAATACTTGTAATCTTAAATGCAAAGACTCAAATCTTAATTACCTCCGCAAGATGAAGTATCAGGGCCTAGAGTAAATTTGTGGGATCCGCAGAATTAGTGAACAACAATACACAAATAGTCTTTTGATATTGAACGTCTAGCCATTGCTGATTACTTTCATGAGTTTTGAAACAACTAATAAGAATACTGGCATCAAAAAACAATGAATTAGTCATTTCAATCACTGATCACTGTGTGTAAGTAAACATTGAGTGTACTACTTTTATTTACTGTGATAACAGGACGGTCAAGAACACAGATTAGTCGTCAAGAATTGATAAAAAGATTGAAGTGACATCACGTGCGTCACAAACCTACGTCATGAAGAAGAGCAAGGATGGTGCATGGCGGGACATTCAAACTTGTGTGTGTACCTCGCAGAGACAAGTACCTCGCAACGGGAGATATTCATGAGCCGCCCTGTGCATGCCGTCCGCAGCGCGCATGGCGCACGACCCACCTCTTTCATTATTATACTTCATCTAGCGTTGAGAGTTCACTAATTACTTTACACGACCAGTGTGTTATTTAAAAAATCGAAAATTACAAAAACAAATTAAAGGAAAAATAAATTTTAAAAAAAATAAAAATTACACGATAGGTATACTATGGTTTCTCTGCCAGGGAGTTCTCCCTACAAGAAATCGTTCACCACCCGCCCGCCGCGCCGGGAGAGCCACGGCGCGTGGCCAGCGCGAAACATGCACTGACGCCTACAAACCTAAAGGGCTACTTCACGCATTGCGCAATGCTTGAAGTATCCCCTTAGGTTTGTAGGCGTCGATGCGAGTTTCGAGCTGCTAGAACGCCACGCAGCGCGGCAGCGCTGCTTCGTGCCATAAACTTGCACACTATTCATAGGTCAAGCTGTTAAAATCTCGGCAAATTGACCTGCAATTCGAAATTAGCGACTTAAAAAAAACACGAGTAACGAAACTCTCGTGATCTTTCAGTCATTATCTGACTTTTTTTTTCCTATTCTCGAGTTTTTGACCAAAGTGCGCCGCGGACGGCGGCTCATGAAATTTTCCCCTGTGCTCAATCGCGAAGCTCTAAGGGCGAGTCGCATGCGCTTGTACTTTAAAAGATCATTTAGTTTTAGAGATGGCCCTTCGTGCCAATTAAGTGCATGTACTTTTAGAGTGAGAAAGTGCACTTTTAGAGTGAGAAAGAGGATCCACCATCTTGATTCGTGAATATTTACTTGAATACCAAAGTATAAACGGATAATCATGTCGCCCTCTCTGCGTGCATTTGTATGTATATACGAGAAAATTCAAGGGGTCCGCCCCATCCATTTTTTTCTACTCCTGATGCATGCAAGTCTGATTCAGCCGGAAAGAGATTCTCCTTCAGTTTGCGGGAACGCAATTTTACCTATTCGGAGGTCGACATAGTTGTCCCAACCAACTCTTACGAGGTCTGTTAGATTAGAAACCGGATTTTGGTCATAACTAGCCCACAATGCGTCCAAATTACGTTTTCTTGAGCTTCTCTGATAGCTGGAAATATACTTCAGACCGCTACGTTCACAGATTTTGTTTCTTTTGATCAGTGTTTATTCTTGAATACGAGTAAGTCAGGTGCGTTTTGCGATTTTCATCATGCGATCACTGATAGAACAAAGTTTCAACATTAAATTTTGTTTTAAACTCGGTATACCTTGTACCAAAACTTTTGGTATACGCTAAGTAAAGTTTACCATGATCATTGTATGAGATGTTCCCACTGTTTTGAATGAGTTAAACGATTCAAAACTGGTCAGGAGTTCGTCAAAGATGAGGAGCATGGGAATCGACCCTAAACGGCAACTGACATTTGTCACGAGGAAGAAATGCGAACAAAAGTGCTCGAAAACGGTCGTTTAGGACCGTTTCGCGACCCTATTTTTACCTCCTATCAGTGTTAGTTTTATTTTTCCCCTCAAAAATTACGATATGAGGTATACTTTACTTTAAGAATGAAATAATTTTTGGTTTTGATGAATATTTTAGTTCGTTTTGATCCGTTTTTTTTTAAATCAGTGAAAAATTTAACATCGTTCGAGTTTCTGACTTGTTGTAATAAATGTCCTTTAATTATCATTAAAACCAAACAGAGTCAAGAATAATTAATTGCTCGAAGTCATATAGTTTTGCGGCGACTTTACCGTCGCCCGAGCCAGGGACGGGAAAAGAGGTACGATCCACGAGCATAATATTACACGCTTATCAGTCACACAAGGTGGGTTGAATATGAATTCTTGAAAATTTATCAACATACCTTCCCTAATCAGCGTATATCTGATTGCTTTCTTTGGTGACTCAATGTTGGTAAAGCGTCAAAAATTGACGGGACAGAATACTAACAAAATACTTTGAGTTATCTGAGATGGTGACCTTCATAATCAACAAGTTTCTAATTTGCACTAACGCATTCTGTATAATTCAATGACCCCACTTAACCGAGTAGCATCAACCAAAAACAAGATAGGTGAAGAGCAAGCGCACTCTTTGATGCAATGAGTCAACTTGATGGAGCAGTTTACCGTATCTCTCTCGCACTCATACGCTTGCTACCTGGGCGATTTTCTGTCTCTCTCGCACTGGGTGCCCTTGAACGGGGTAACCGAGGGTGCAACCACTCTCGGAGGGTCGCGGGGTAACGCGATGCTGCTTTGACGGAAAAACCACCCAAGTCCCGCCTGGCTATTTGCTGTCTCTCTCGCACTTATAGGCTTCCTACCTGGGCGATTTTCTGTCTCACTCGCACACATAAGCGAGAATCCCTGCTATTTTCTGTCTCTCTCGCACTTATACGCTTCCTACCCCGGCGATTTTCTGTCTCTCTCGCAAACTTTAGCGAGTCGCCTGGCTATTTTCTGTCTCTCTCGCACACAATTGCGTCGTGCAAGGCGATTTTCTATCTCTCTCGCACTCAAACGTTTGCTACCTGGGCGATTTTCTGTCTCTCTCGCACTGGGTGCCCTTGAACGGGGTAACCGAGGGTGCAACCACTCTCGGAGGGTCGCGGGGTAACGCGGTGCTGCTTTGACGGAAAAACCACCCAAGTCCCGCCTGGCTATTTGCTGTCTCTCTCGCACTTATAGGCTTCCTACCTGGGCGATTATCTGTCTCACTCGCACACATAAGCGAGAATCCCTGCAATTTTCTGTCTCTCTCGCACACTTTAGCGAGCCGCCTGGCTATTTTCTGTCTCTCTCGCACACAATCGCGTCGTGCAAGGCGATTTTCTATCTCTCTCGCACTCAAACGTTTGCTACCTGGGCGATTTTCTGTCTCTCTCGCACTCATGCGCTTCCTACCCCGGCGATTTTCCGTCTCTCTCGCACTTATACGCTTGCTACCTGGGCGATTTTCTGTCTCTCTCGCACTCATGCGCTTCCTACCCCGGCGATTTTCTGTCTCTCTCGCACTTATACGCTTCCTACCTGGGCGATTTTCTGTCTCTCTCGCACTGGGTGCCCTTGAACGGGGCAACCGTGGGTGCAACCACTCTCGGAGGGTCGCGGGGTAACGCGATGCTGCTTTGGCGGAAAAACCACTCAAGTCCCGCCTGGCTATTTGCTGTCTCTCTCGCACTTATAGGCTTCCTACCTTGGCGATTTTCTTTCTCACTCGCACACATAAGCGAGAATCCCTGCTATTTTCTGTCTCTCTCGCACTTTTACGCTTCCTACCCCGGCGATTTTCTGTCTCTCTCGCATACTTTAGCACTCTCTTGGAGGGTCGCTGGGTAACGCGATGCTGCTTTGACGGAAAAACCACCCAAGTCCCGCCTGGCTATAGCGATAAATCGTTGAAAAGCGTCATAACACGTAACCCTGTGAAAATTAATGCAAAAAAAATTTGAGCGATTATCACTGAAAAAAAAATCTCGGTGTATTTACTTAAAAAAAGGGTAAAATTACCAAGATTTCAGGGTTCTATTTGATCCCAGTTTTTTCTTGGTAAAATTACCATTTATGGAATTTGTAATTTTACCAAGAAAGGTCGGTAAAATTATTGAACTTTCTCGGCAATTTTACTGGACCTTGGTAAAAACGCCAATATTTTTTATCGACTGTGGTAGAGTTACCGAGATAAAAAGGCAAAGTTACCGGGAATTGATTACCAATAAAAGTGGTATTCTTACCTAAAAAAAAAAAACAGTAAAAATCTCGGTTTTTAGGTGAGCTTACCAATCTGTCTTGGTAAAATTTCCAATAATTGGTAAAAAAAGTGAGATGGTAAAGGTACCTTGGTACCTTTACCTTGGTAACGGACCTTGGTAAAAACGCCGAGAATTTTTTTTCAATGTATCATCTAACTAATAAAAGGGAAATACATTGATCATACATTGATCCATCACGCTCGCCTCCCCGCTCCCACCGGTCGGAATCGGTGCGAACTTAGCCGTTCGACGGGTACTGTCCCCGAGGGGTGCAATAAGCTTTCTTTTCGCGATCCGCCCGTCCGTTCGCGAGTAACCGCGGTCGGAAGTCGCGGATATTCCCGTAAGCCCGTGTGCGTTGGAAAGAGAGACGTAGCAGTGCGGGTATATTTCCTGACGCGGCCGTTGCCGGGTGGCCGTCGGATACCTTTAGCTGCGCGCGTAATTGGCCCTTGATTTCCGATGTTCTATGCTATGAACGGCAACACTGCGGGCCTTTCTAAGTTTCATCCGATTATCAGCTGATGAAAGTTTTTGAGCTTTCTTATGTTTCCATAGTTATTCTTCTACGCTTACTGCTCGTATATTTATTCGCCTTCCCCCTCCCCACGAACGTTTTTACTTTGTTTTTTTTTTTTTTAAACTGAGCAGCTGATGAAAATAACATCTTTTTGAATGTTTTGGGTCAGTTATTTTCCATTATCTGAACTTTAGTTGTTGCTTTCATAGTGGGTTTCTTGTGTAATCATGGATTTTTTAACTATTAACCGCACTGCTACGTCTCTCTTTCCAACACACACGGGCTTACGGGAATATCCGCGACTTCCGACCGCGGTTACTCGCGAACGGACGGGCGGATCGCGAAAAGAAAGCTTATTGCACCCCTCGGGGACAGTACCCGTCGAACGGCTAAGTTCGCACCGATTCCGACCGGTGGGAGCGGGGAGGTGAGCGTGATGGATCAGTGTATGATCAATGTATTTCCCTTTTATTAGTTAGATTAATTCCAGTGGAACTCAATTTAACTGTAGCTGTCGTTTTAATAGTGGTTTTCTAGTGTAATCATGGATTTCCTAACTATTTCTGAACT